CCACCCTAGCGGCCTTGTCCGCTGTACGGAAGATCTGATCCCGCCAGCTAAGCTTGCTGTGTACCATGACCCCAAGATACTTGGCAGAACGAACAGTTTGAACCTCGACGGCTCCCACCCTCAACGGCACGATGGTGTCAATCCGTTTTTTTGTCAAAATCACAATCTCGGTTTTGCTCAGAGCAAGCGAGAGACCGTGGTCTGCCATCTATGCGTTTATGGTACGCATAACTCGGTTTAGCTTTAGCTGAGCCAGCTCAACGCTACGTGCAGCTATCAAAGCTGCAACGTCGTCTGCGTACCCAACCAAGACCGTTTCCTCAGGCATTTCAGACCTCAGAAGGCTGTCATAAGCGACGTTCCAGAGGTCTGGGCCGAGTATGGAACCTTGGGCAGCACCAGAAGTGACACTCATCGTCCGCGGGCCCTCCGCAGTGTCATACGTTAGGAGGCGAAACCGGAGATAATCCTCTATGATGCGCATGAGGTATGCCGGCACGTGGAAGGTGTTCTCCAGAGCATCCAGCATATCGCACCACCTCGCCGAATTAAATGCATTTCGCACATCGAGCGTTACGAGCAGCACAACCCTGCAAAAGTAGTGGGTAAAATCCTCAGCTCTCATCACGGCTTGCTTCACCTCCTCAATCGCATCAATCGTTGATCGCCCCATCCTGAATCCATACTGACGAGGGGAGAGGTCCCCCGCAGCGACAACGGCTGAATTTAGCCGGGAACGGATCAATTTCTCGAGGACTTTGCCAGCCGTATCCAACATACACAGAGGTCTGTAAGAGGATGGCAGATCTGGGTCTCCCTTGCCCTTCCCAACAAGCACAAGCCTAGCTGTCTTCCAGCACAAGGGGATAACCCCTTCAACCAGGCAGGCGTTGTACATGCTCAAAAGGATCAAGGGGTTGGTAGTCAAAACCTTCTTGAGGACTTCACCGGGCACCCCATCGGGACCAGGAGCCTTGTTGTTCTTCAGGGATATGACGGCCGCCACCAGCTCTTCAGGGCTGAAAAGTGGGACGTCGTCCACCCTTCCATAATCCCGCAGTGGGCGCAACGCGTGAGCCGGGAAATGGGACTCGACTATCCTCTCCATAGTGACCCTGTCCATGACGGAAGGTGGAGAGCGGGTTCCAAGTTTCTTGGTTACAAGTTTGTAACCCAGGCCCCACGGGTTGGAATCAACATCGTCCCTTAATTTATCCCAGCAACTGCGTTTACTCCGATTGATGGCTCGACGAAGATACCTCCTAGCCACCCTATAAGCATCCGACTTACGCCGTCTGTCTAGGGGTTCTCTAGCCCTGGTAGCAAGTCTTCTGGCCCTCAATGCCGCTCAACGCAATTCCGCAATCTCGGCAGTCCACCAGTACACAGGATGCTTATTGCACCGGTATCTCCTGCAAGGCATAGACTCATCGCAGGCCGAGACAATCAGTTTCATCGTGGATGCAACTAACGCCTCTGCGTGAGGCACGCCAGTTGCAGGATGAACCACCGGCGTTCTTTGTAGGATGGCTCCATTGAATTTTGCCACGTCCAGTTTTTTAATGTTCCATCGAACGGGCACTTGACGAAACGCTGCCACTTGTCTCTGATGACCATCCAGGACGTCAAAAATTATGTACTGGTGGTCACTGGCCGTGTAATCCTCCAGGACTCTCCAGGCTCTGATCCTTGGCAAAAGAGACTCAGATGCAAGGGTAATGTCTGGGATCGTTCCCCGCATCCCAGGGCGCCGGAAAGGTGGCGTGTTGCCCTCGTTGACGACAACGAGTCCGGCTCTGGCAGCAAAGTCCAGAATGTACTTGCCCCGGGAATTTGTGAGGGTCATTCCCCACTCGACAGCCCTAGCATTAAAATCCCCACCCACGACGACGTGTCCTGTGGTATTGCGCACGCTCTGTTCCAGGCGGTCTATCTTCTCACGAAAGTCACGGATGGCCTCATTGGGAGTGAGGTAGACACTAAAGTAAGTGACATTCCGGCACCGAACCCAAACGAAACCTCGGCCCTTCGCGTGACCCCGTACTTGTACTGTAGCTGCATTACGCGCCCAGATTGCAGCAGTACCAAGACTATCAGGGAACCAAAAAGCTGGGTCCCTATCACGGTACTGGTACTGTTCGCTGACTAAAAGCGCATCGACATCGTGTTCTAGGGCAAGCTGACATAGAAGTGCGTCAGCCGTCCTGGATCGCTCAAGATTGCATTGAAGGATTCTTATCTTCGTGGGAGGGCTTTCGCTTGTTGTAGTGCAGATTTAAATGCACTGCACTGTCCAGACCCAGCTATATGCTTCAAGTGTTTTTCAGCGAGCCCATTTTCTTTGCAAAGAAAACAGGACTCGACTTGGCAGTCCTTACGGATGTGACCAACCTCCCCGCACCGAAGGCAGTTCTTGCAAAACGGGAGGAATGGCCGAAACAGAGGCATTTAAAACACCTCTTTACTTCCACTCTCCGTCTGAGCCTGCAGTTGACCCAGCCGACTCTCAGATGTTGGAGTGCCAGCACCTTATTGGCATGTGCGTCTGCCATTTCGGCGACCGCCATCCGCTGCTGGCTCCTATTCGGTTTTGTAAGCCACACCTTCAGAAAAGCCGTTTGCCCACCAAGCTCGGGGATAGCTTTCTTCAGGGCTTCCACAACATCAACCTCTGTCAACACACAATCAATGTTTCGAACCTCGACTGATGTCTTTGGCTCAAGAGAACGGACGGTTCCCTGGCCTTCGACAGCTGCCTTCAGTTCGGCAGTAAAGGCTGCTTTGTCTTTCGACCTACCCAGTTCAAGGAGAACGTCCCCGCCCCGGGTTTGTCTAATCGACCGTACAACCGTATCGGTCTGCTCTGGCTTAGCATTGGCCTTGATCTCCCCCCTGAGGGTTTGACAATGATTGCCTCCATCCTGGGCTTTTTTGGCCGCAACCTTTTAGGTGCAGGCACCGAACCGGGCCCAGTTTGGGCCACGCCAGTTGGCTGTGCCTTCACTGCCTCATTTTTCATGGAGGCGACCTCCACCCGCCTCAATTGCCTCTTCTCCTTTTTGGAAAGGCGTTTTTCCCAAACAGCCCCAGGTGTCTCCACCACTGACCCCTTTCGGGAACTTCCCTGAAGAGGGGTCGTGGGTTGCTGTGCCAGTTGGCGCCTCGCTCGAGCTGCAGCTACGTCCGAAAAGGGTCTGGGCACAGCAGACGAGAGGTCCGTCTGAGTCGCCTTGGCCTTTACCGTGGTCTTTTTGGTCTGGACGCCTTCTTCTCTTTTTGGAGGACTCTAAATGTGGAAGGCCTCCGACGTTTCTTAGAGGGCAGCGATCTTTCATCGGGCAGGGACACCACGTTTTCGGCAATCTTTTCCATGGTCGCCTTGCTTACCAGACGGCAGGCAAAGACGAAGCCAAGGTCATCCTCTAGTTTTGCCATTCCATTTTTTACCACTTGGTTTACGGCTCTCTGGGTCCGGAAGGTGTCCAGCATAGCCTTAATCATCTTTTCCATGTCACGGAGCCGGGTTTCAATGTTACTATCTGCGTCAAGATATTCCTGACGCAGAAGCACAATCTCAGAGCTTTCCGACCGCGACGTCGCTGTGAAGGTTTCCTTCGGCATCCCTACAACAGTTCCCGGCAATGCCAGTTCGACATCTACATCGCCAACATTTTCTGGACCGTTTCCAGCTCCACTTGCCGAAAGGGATCCTAACGGGGGGAACGTAGAGCACTTGAAAGGTGCAGGTGGCGGAGATGTCCTTACGTTTTTCGGTGGTGGCGACTTCTTAAGCTTGGAGCTTCGATCAAAGGGGTTCGGTTCTGCTCCACTTCAGACGCTTCATTTTGCTCATTTGAGCTCCTATTCAATGATGTGTTTGTAGGATTTTTGTTAAAACTCATCGTGTTTTCTCCAGCACATAAGAATCAATATAGGCCTACCTATTAGGCTATGTTAATTTAAGGAATGTCACAGGCCAAGACAGCATCATAAATGCAAAAGAAAATTTACAAGGAAATAAAATAACTAGTTTTTTCTTTAAAAAATTCTACCACCTATGGTGTGTCCCAGCCGTCCATCCAACTGGGAAAACTAAGAACTGAACCAGGAAAAAACTGAGAATCGTTTGTATGGAAATGGGGAATTCAAAGGTTTCAATGACCAATGCAATCTGCCACAAATCAGCTTTTGTTATATTTTCAGGTCGTAATGTCACGTTTTTCACACTTGCAGTAAATTACCACAATGTATTCGTGATCCCTTGAGTTAACTATAATGTTGCCATGATCGCAGGAGATGACCAAAAAGACGTTGCCGTGGTGATGGGAGATTATATAACACAGAATTTTTTTATGATTTATATGAATATGATTTATTGTTCACCGGTTATATAAACATTTTGTTGTAACTTAAAAGTTCCACTCAGCTCAAAACAATTTAGGGTAATTATTTTTATATTATTATTTTTATGGTAATAGGTGAAATCTAAGTTTTTGAAGGAGATTTATTGTCAACAATTCCACCCAGATACACCCAAAGATAGATTTGCTCTATATTTCCTTTAGCAAAATCTGAACTGGACAATCTAATATTTTGTATCTTTTTAACTGCTAGTAGCATTATAAAAAGTGGTGAACAAGTATCTAAACCTCAAAAGGCGTCTGTGATGGTCAATCCAGGTCATTTCCTAATTTTTAATACTATCCATACAATGCCTCCAAATCCCAACATTCAAACTATCACAAAAAAGATATAAAATAAATATAATGTTTGAAAAATATCAAGGCGATCTTTAACCAAAAGGGTAAATCAATCTTTAGGGGGTTTAAACAGATAATAGAAAAATCACCCTATTTACCATCAGCTATTTTACATAAATATTCATAAACTCCTTTTGCTGCATTTTGATTCAAATTTAAATTGAATTCTTGTAAAGACTTGTTTAGAATGTCAACAAATATTTTACATTTCAATAAAACACACAAATTTAGAACAACATTTTATTAAATATCAAAACCAACCAAGGAAACACTAGAAACCACTTTGTTTCTAACATAAATACTACATCAGGTAACTTATAACACAACAATAGGTAAACAACTACATTTAACTTGAGTATTTAAATAAGAAAACTGTACGTTATGGAAACCTTTCAATGTAACCTATCACCAATCAATAGGTAATATAAGTTAACCTGTGTACCCACGATATGAGTACTTACAACACAGTATTAAATGCAAGGTTAAACAAAGCTTTGAAACCTTTAGGATATCAATAAAATATTTTTTTCCAGCAGACCTATTGATAACCTATAAAACTATACTCAACACAAAGTAAAAGTTATGTAAGTTTACGAATGTTAAATATCATGAAATGTACGTTGTATTGTTTAATAACAAATTCCCTACATCTAATTTTGCCAAAAGCTTGGGAAAGCCTTAGAAAGTCAACAAGTTATAGAAACGTAATACAATTACAAAAGGAAATCAACAACATTTCACACAGTAGTAAATGTCTTTTAAATACCGATTGTGCTCCACAATAACTATCAATATCTAATTTTTTTCTTTATTTTCTTTTTCACTTTTAGCTTGTTCAAGTGCAGATTTCAAAGCGTCCGCCCTTTCACAAAGGAATTTGGTCTGAAAAACACCAAAAATAAAACGCTAAGTAAAATTAAATTACTAAATCAGTCACAATATTTCCTTATAATTAATCCTAAAAATAAAGGCTTTCATTTGAGATATTGATCATTTGAATCACTTAAGTTAAAGATACTTACTCAATAAAAAACATATTTCAACGCTACAGAGCAGCAAAGGGCCTTCTAGTTTCACTTAAATTTAATTAAAAACATCACTACTGAAGATGAAAATAACCTTAATAAGTTATTTACTTAATAAGTTATAGTAACAGCAAGACTGTTCGGATGATATCCCAATTTTTCTTGGTACTTTTTGCTATGGTCTGTAATTTCTCCATTCTCTGATTTAATTTTGAACTCATTCCTAATTGTAGTGTTAGATACGAACCAGGGTGCGCCAATAATTCAAAATATTAAAAACAACAATCAATATCACTTAGAACTCTCAGCTGGTACGAGACAATCATTGTTGCCAGCTTAAAATCCATAACTTGAAATTTCCCAGAATTACAATAAATTATTAAAATCGTTAAAGAACATTCTTTTCCTGTAAAATGTAATAAAATTCTTAGTATAACCCAAAAGTTGAGGTCCGTGAAGTTGGAGTACCCATATTAGCGTATCCACTTTTGTTAATACCAATCGTTAGTTCATCGTTAGTTCTCGATATTTCCCGAATTATTTCGTTAGTTCTCAAAAAATAAAAAAAGTTATAGCCGATAATAAGTGAGTACGCTAACTTCACACTTCCGGTTTCTAGCGCGCGCCGTTTTCTCATGAGAAATGTTTACATCTATATATCAATTGTTAGTTCTTCGTTAGTCCTAGATGGTTCTCCAATATTTTCGATAGTTCTCAAAAAATAAAAAAGTTACATGGCATACAAACTTCACAATTATAAAATTACCAGTTTTCTGATTAAAAAATGTGTATATCTATATACCAATCGTTAGTTCGTAGTTTGTCCTTGATAGTTCTCCAATATTTACGTTAGTTCTCGAAAAATAAAAAAGTTACAAGGCATACAAAGTGGGTACGCTAACTGCACAATTATAGAATTTCCAGCGGGCACAGTTTTCTGAATAAAAATGCTTATATCTAAAAAGCCGTCGGCTGGACCAGGGGCGTTGCCGCAACGACTAGCCCCTACTCTACTCAGATAGAGAGAGGGATGGTCGGCCGTGACTTCACCGTTCGGTAGGCTCGCTGTTTCGTCAGGAGTCTGTCGTCGGGTGCCCCTGGTGCGTTGCCCCCATTGCCCCGCTTGATAAGTCACTCCAAAACCACCTGGATCCCTCAAGCTCAGTAGAGTCGTTTTAGCTGCCCCCAACCTCTTTGGACCCCTTGGATTTGTTTTTTTTTTTTTTTTGAGGTTGGCGGCCTCTTTTGACCTTGCATTTGCTTGTCCACATAGACTACAGATCTGTGCGTGGAACGTATCCAGCAAAGCAAGGGGTGAGCTGGTACAGTACAAAGGTGAACTACAAAGGTGAACTGTACTGACAAAATGTTTGTGGCAGTGACCAGGATCGGAACCCACGACATCACTGCCTTGGGCCCGATGACCGTGATGCTACCAACTGAGCCACCGGCTCACCTAAATTATGGGCTCAGCTTACTGTTGACTGTTATAGCCTATTTCCAAAGTAGGTATAACCCAAACTCTTCACCCCGTGACAACCATTAAGATGTTTGTAATACTTACACGAGTCATCATCTCTTGGCCCTTTTTATCAGAAGATTCTTTCACTGCAGATAAAGACTTCTTCAGCGGATACTTAGTTGCAACCTTCTTGGTATCCATACTAGGCAATACTGTGACATTTTCCTAAAAATCATATAAAACTTAAGATATATTTAATCAACTAACAACTTACCGTACATTAAAACCTAAACTAACAACAGTGAAAACAAGTGATCTATGATGCAGGGTGATTCAGGAATATAAATAGGAATGCTAGGAGCTCGTTCAACAAGTAGGAATAAAAGTTCTTTAGGAATATTTCCAGAAATTCTTGACTAGTTAGAAACTTATTAAAAACTGACCAAAATATTTCTATTTAACAGCAAAGCCAGTTCAATTGATAAGCAGTTAATTTAAGGATTAAAATGAAAGGGAATGTTAATCGTTTAAAAATTGGATCTCAAAGCCTTAAATAAATAAATAGAATATTCTTTATTCGAGCACATAAATGTTTAAAACATAGCTATAAAAAACTGTACAGCTGTCCTTTTTTTCAGCTTCAAAAACTCACAGATTTGTATTTTGAACTTAACTACTACTCTTTATTTTTCAAATCTAAGTTGGACTTCCAACTTCTTTTTTTTACTAAAACCGGGCTGGGCGAGAGTAGGATTGGAAGTGGATTAAATGTTAAGTTACAGGATTCAAGAAATTTGCTGGATAAAAGCGTTATGACTTTATCTTGCCTTCCACGGTGTTCGTCAGTTTCAATGACTGAGGACTTGAAGACTTAAACACTACTTTTACAGTATCTGATTTCAATTGTAAAAACATTAAGTTCTGGTAGCATATTATATTCAAACATTGAAAACTATCAAAATGTTAGTATTTTAGATCACTACGTAAAATAGGCACATTGAACTAATAACCCTCTTGTGTTTCCAAGCAATTGCCACAAATTAAAGAACAAACAAATTAACTATAATCTAATCTCACAATTGGCCTACTCGATCTACAACAGGAAAGGTCATATGACACAGAAGGTCGGACAACATGATCAAATTATCAAGACTTAACTGCATGTGTAAAACCCAGGAAAAAACAAAATAGGCACATGGTGATATACATGTCATTTTAAAGTGCTGGTCAAGAAAAGAAACCTTTCTTACAACTAAATTATAATACATTTCACCTCTGCTATCAAGGTAGAATTACTTTGTTAAAAGAGACAGTTGGGAACACATCACGAATTTCAATAATTTACTACAGTAGTCACGCTGCTCTAAGCCCCGCTATTTAAAAAATCCAGAATCACCAACAAGGTAAAGTTAAGTCTAAGCCTTAAGACTACACAATTTTTAAAATACAGTTTTAATACTAATTACTTGTTTCGCTAAATACAAACAGTGCAATTGTTTAACAGGATCATAAAATTGTTTTTAATAGCATGTTATAATAAACAGCGTAATGTGGACATTGCGAAACGATGTAATGTGATCGCCAAGTTTATGAAGCCTTACTTCCTGATAAGCAATAAACGACCCGTTGGTTTTATCGAGAATTTTCAGACTAATTATTGAGGAAAAACTATTATTGAATATTTCCTCGCTCAAAGTTTGTTCCTATCCCAAAAATTAAAAAAAATCCCCACTTAGTGACTTTTTGAATTTTACAAGTTTGTAATCCTAATAATTTTCCCCTTTAAAAACCATATTATTGATCATAACTAAAATATTTTTGGACCATCAGATTCGGTAGTTAATGCAGATTACAACGATATAAGTTTCAAACGGAAAATTGAATTGTATAAATTTAGGGTTGCGTTTAAATGAGCGGTTTGTATATGTGACGCGCGCTAGCTCCACCCGTGAAGGCAGGTTATTATAGTAGGCTATAATAACATAGACAAAAAGAATTAAATACAGACCGTCAAGATGATCAAGTGCACTGGCCTTCTTAAAGCAACAGCCTTCTGTAGGTCAGCACAAGTTACTGTGCTGCGATTACCACTGCACGGCTGACAGTCTATATTTAATTCTTTTTGTCTATGATAATAATTATTAAGTTACTGGTCAATGGAATTGAATAATAATACATACTGCTAGATATTGTCTTTGTCGAAGAATTTCTGTTTCAATGTTTGCCACTCTCTTAGGTACGGCGCTTCTTCTTGTGGTTACATCAAAGAGAACATCTACTACCTCGTCTTCACCAGGGGTTTTATACTCTTCTTTTTGTTCTGCCATCCCTAAAAAAAAGCACAAAATGTTGGTTAAGTTTATGTAAAAACTAACTAAAAACTGTAAAGTTTTCATTAAAACCTACCTATGTTCAGGGCCGGATTTCCAAAAAAGCCCGGGCCTATGGGCGCAAGCTCCCAGGGGACGCACGGCCTAAGGTAAAATATTTGTAAAAACATCTACAATTAAAAATAAATAGACATAACTTAAAAATAAAAATCTGGCAAATAGAGCGTTCTGATTTTGAAGTTCAATGGAACAAATAATTGTTATAAAGTTCAGCTATTTTTTAACGTTACACATCAACTTCGTTACAGCATTGACAAAAACAAGAGAAAGCTTGTTGTCGAGCGGTACGCATCGTATTGTCATTGCCATTGCCACTGCCACTGTGCTGGCTCGGCGCTACTACTGCTACCCAGGAGTGATTAGGGGCGCATTCTGTAATGGAAGGAGGAAGTGTTTGGCATTGTTGTGTAAGTAGGCTGGTAGTGTTGCTAAACAATAACTTGTGCTGACCTACAGAAGGCTGTTGCTTTAAGAAGGCCAGTGCACTTGATCAGGGGAGTCAGTTTTGTGTTTAGTGGTGCGTTAGGTGCACCGGAGGACAGGGTCCTGCTGGGGTAGCTGGAGCCTAAGGCCCTTGGCCTTGGATCCAGGTAAGAAATATTTAAGGGTTTTCAAAATTGGGGTTTAGAGTCTTTTCCAAATTGGGGTTTTAGTTTCTAACTAAATGGTTTATACAGTTCCAGTCTACTCTACCTTTTAGCTTGATATTTATTTTTGTGTTCTTTGTGTTGTTTTGATAATTAATAAGTTGGGTTAAATGTAAGCGAGTGCCGAGTTTCATTCCTGAACAACATCACCCAAAGTAACAGTGGGTACCAATGTGGAATACCAACCGTTACAATGCCATGTTATTGTCGAGACACTGTTAGCACCCTCACCCAAAAAAAACCACTCTGTTGCAAAACGAAAGTATCAACCAACCTTTTAATAGCTTCCAACCTGTAGGATAAACTTAATATATAATAGGCCTACGTGTTATTTAATGTAAAAAACTAGGAGTTTGTCTTTGAAATTAACAAAAAATATTAAATTGAGTGAGCAACAGGTTAAAAAAATTCAATACCGTACTCTCAAAAGCGCCATTTAAATAATTATCTTCTCAGACCTGAGGATCGGTATGATTGATAAAAATGCTTTGTTTTGCTTTGCGAATATAATCTAAATACACCGTATCACCAATCACCAGTATAAACCAACACAAGCAGACTTCTCATCACATTGTATGCACCTATTTTTTTACGTGACCGGTCGCACTAACACATTATTCTGGACTGCGAAGGTCTAGGGGCTAGGAGAAGGGCTCTGTTTGGTCCAAAGCAGCCAGGTGATGAACCAGACGCTAACATTGGGCAAAAACTCCTGCACCTAGTCAAGGACACAGGCATAAGCCCAGTTAGTGGCAAGTGGGATGCACAATAAGCTTCGGTTGATGGCTCGGACCATGAGTCTTACAAACAATCAATCAATCTATCAGTCAACATAGACAACTGAAAATTAACAACAAGGATTTGTTGCAGAAGTTACAAGTCAATGAGTTTAGGCATTATAGGCTATAATAACGTTTAGCTAACATAGTGACACGAGAAGACCCGGAACAAATCAAAACGTAGCCTAATACATTGTTTAGCCTTCAATCTAAGAGTTTTATTAAGCTCTTATAGTAATAGTTAGGTAAGTAGATAGCCTAACTAAATAGGCCTACTATTGTATAATTGTAATGTGTCAACTTTGCCGTTGTCTACCACATAATTGTAATGCTGAAGGAAAGAACTATAAAAATATTCTGATTCTACCCCAATTTTAGTAGGCTACCGGTACCGGTAGTTAGCATAAGTCATTATTGTTGGGAATAGGTGTTGGTAAGGTATTGTCCGTTGGGAATGAATGAATTAGAAAATGTATGAGACGATTGTATTTTTTGTACTGAATGGTGAATAAAATGTTATGACTCTTTTGGTTACCAAATAGATTTAACTTAGGTAGCCTATTCAATAGAGCAGGACTTAAGCTCGAAAGCTCCCTTATCTCAGAGTAGGTTACCGTAATAATATCTATGATAGGCCTACTTAGTTTTTTTTTACATTTTTTTATTTTTTTATAGGCCATTTTTTATTTTACATTCAAACGGACAACTCTTTTCTAGGCTATACATCATAACTTATAACAATTTGAACAATGGTGTTTTTGGCCTCTGAGGGACATCAAAGTGACAAAGTAAATCGGTCCCGATTCTAAGACTTAACGTGCTAACCAGTGTTTGCATTCGCCGGATTATTATCCCGAAAACAAGATTTTTAGACCTTGAGCGGGATTAAAACGGGATGCGGGATGAAACGGGATTTTCGGCTGTGACGACTATTTTTATTTTTTTTCTACTCAATTTTAGAGAAAAACTAACTCAAATTGTTTAAATACTGTAGCAAAATATAATAGTGATGTTACTTACAACTTATAAAAATGATACGTAAAGTTAAATACTAGGAATTGTACCAAAAAAATCATGCGGGATAAAACGGGATTTTTCACCGATTTAAAAGCGGGATAAAACGGGATTTCTCGACCCAGTAAGCGGGATTATTGTTTTGGTCGTGTGGAAACACTGGTGCTAACTAAGGTAATTTAACTGCTAAGTTACTTCGATCCCTAGACCTATAACTTAGGGAAATTCGCTAAAATTACAATTCAAAACTAAAATATTCTTATTTGTAAAAGTAGACCTGGGTTAGACTGGTTTCCAAGTTATGTTTAAATTTAACAAGCTACAACAGACAGAGTTTTTCTGTTGACCAGTAAGAAATTGTACATTTTTACCCCTTGGTAGCCTATTCCAACTTTGAAGCTATTTTGAGTGGCTGTGGCTGTACAGTTGAACGTAAAACAAATTCTAATGTTTGGTTTTAAATCAAAGAATCAATTTCTATACCGTTAGAATATCAGATTATTACACTTTTGTTAAAAACAAAAATACTGTATTCAATTTCAAAAAGAAATAACTTACCGAACAAAGTCAGAATTCAGTAGTCTAGTCAGAGTCAGACGAAGACAAAGTGAAGTATTCGTATTAATATTAATTAACCTACACCATTAACCGCCAAATCAAAACATAAACAAAACAAGAAGAATAAAACAGATGCTGAGAATAAGGAATAGGCACACGGGAGGGACTAAGGCTAAAGGTGTAGTGACGTCATATTCTAGTGACTAATGTCTTCTCTTGAGGCAACACGAACACGATTACCGTAACGAAACGATGTGATTTCAGCGGTGTTCGTGGCATAGTTGGTAGCGTTTCGGACTGATGATCAGGAGGTCCCGGGTTCGAATCCCACTGGCACCGCAAACTTTTTGTCAACAAATTTTTCATATAAGCAAGTTTGGTTGATTAGGTTAGGTTATGACAGTTTAATTTTATAATACTAAATTTTAAAATTAATTTTATAATTAATTACAAATTATAAGTAATCATTAATTCGATTTTATCTTATATAGTTTTTATATTATCAGCAAGTCTGGTTGGTTAGGTTATGTTATGACAGTTAAATTTTAAAAATTAAAAATTAATTTCATAATTTTAAAACAATATTTTATAGTTAAAAAGTTAATTTTATAACTAAAAAAAAAAATTCAACTTAGCAGTTCTAACGGCAAACGCTGACACTACAAGATATGTTAGCCTTAGTCCCTCCCGTGTGCCCCACCGCTGATAATAAGAGATGAACAGAAAGGATAAGTAGGGTACTTACATGGGGTCTCATACCTTATAATGTCATAGCTTATAATCGTGAATCTGTTCCATAGCTTATAATCTTGAAAATGTGGCATGGCTTATAATCAGTTATAAGCTATACCACACTTTCACGAAAAATTACAAGCTATGCCACAATTTCTCTAACACGTTATAAGGTATGAAACGTTTTAAGTTTCACAACCTATAATGGTCAAATAGTGGCGTAGGTTATAATCCGATTTTGTTCTATAGCTTATAATCCTGATTTTTATTCATAGCTTATAATTGAGCAGAATGTTGCATTGTGGGAACGGCAACTTCCGCTCGCTTTAGTGAGGTCTACCAGATTTTATAAGGTCCAATTCCTATGCGGCGACTGATACGACTCTAGTCGTGCGTCTACAGCCGTGCGTTTACTAGTAAAGCCGTACGGCTCGAGACGCTTGTCTGAATTCCTATGCCGCGACTCCTGCGACTCCCACGACTAGTGACTAGTGCAATTGCACTCTTGACCGTCGTGAAATAAGCACAGTTGTCAGCGAATGAAAAGGAAATATTACTGTGAATTGTAAACAACAATGAACAACCTAATCCATTGTTCATGGTACGGCGAAAAGAGGGGTTTCAGATCATTCTCATTCAGAGACATCTTCTTCAAGTATTGAGGGTGCTTCGGGTTGAAAACGTATGGGCGTGTGACGAACCAGTTCATCAACTTTGAATCATCTTTGAAGGTATACACCTCAAACTCCGTAAGTATAAACTATAAATACGTTACAGCCACGCGGCTCCAGTCGCTCCAGTCGCGCGGCTGTAGACGCTCGATATGAAGCGGTTGCATCTACTTTGCATTGAAGCAGTCAATTTTTTCAGCCGCTAACAGTCACATGATAGGAATTGGACCTTTACGATCATTTATAGTAGGATGGATACGATAATTGTAATGAACTGAATACATACAATATGTTTAGGATTTTTTTCACTTCCATTTATTATAAATAATTTTTACTTAGAAAATATATATTTATATTATATTAATAATATACCCCCAAATTACTGATCAATTTATATTTTCTAGAGTTAATTCCAAATAAAATCAGCATTTGACTAAGCACTGGTCAATTTGTATTTACTAAATTAGTTTTTTTTCAGTCCATAATCATAAAAACCTCCAATTAGCCTGTGTCTTAATCACTTAAATTTTTAATATTGTATTTAACAGGATTTGTATTATTGATTCTGGAAACAACAAATGCTTCTATTGACAAATTATTTATATATTTATTTGAAAAGGATGATTTTTTATTTCCTATCCTAACTCTATCATTTATTTTAAATTTAGATTTTCAATTTTGTGATTATTTTTGGCGGGTTGTCAATGGTTATATTTACAAATTGTATATATAAAATCCTTTTCATTTTCTTTATTTACATCAATAATTGGTTTCATTTGAATTAATTATTGAATGAAATTCATTATGTTATTCTTTAACTATTTTTGGAAGAATATTAATCCATCTACAATTTTTATTAATTTCAAAAAGATCTTTCATTTTTTTCATTTCGAGTTCTGTTATATCTTTCAATAATACTTGATTTTTCTTTATTTTCTGTATGATACAATTTAATATTATTCTTGTTCAAAACTACATTAAATCCTTTGTTTATAAATTCTTATCCTTTATCTGTATATAATAAGTTCGGTGATTTTGACCAACTTTTACTGCATCTTTTATTATTTGTTCAAATGCTATAGATACATTTCCCAATCTTTTTTCTTTAAAAGTTTTGGCCAAACATATTTATTACATAATAATTTATTATATTTGGATCATTATGTACACTACTTATTATCTAAATGCGGGGACTTTCTTGGCAAGACTGTTGTTCTGTAAATATCAGTCTATTTGTATTGTTTATTTTTGTATATTTCAACGTCTATTTATTATTTATGTTACTTGTATATGTAATTTATTTACATTTGAATCATTATGTACATTCTTTATTATCTAAATGCATGTATTTTCACTAAGGCCAGAGCGAATGCTATATTATTGTTATTAAATATTTTCTCCAACTTGTTTTGTTGTAAGAATGTAAAAATGGAGTTTGTTCGTTGGTGTGTAAAATAAAAAAAAGAACAACATTCGAATTATGCACTTTCAGCGTGTGTTTGAAGCGCGGTCTTATAGGCCACACTATATACATGAACTCAGACAGCAAAGCAGCACTAATGGCACTTGACAGTTTCGACTTTACCTCCAAGGCTGTATGGGACTGTCATCAAGCCATGAAAGCCCTGGGAAAGACCAACAGGATCATCCTTAGTTGGGTTCCAGGGCACAAAGGTATTGCTGGCAATGAGGGAGCTGACAAGTGGGCAAACAAAGGAGCTGAAAGCCCGCTCATGGGTCCAGAGCCGACGTGTGGTATTGCTTATAACACAGCATGGAGAGCTGTTCGCCAGTGGATGGGCATAGAACATCAAAGGAACTGGGAAAGAACAGAAGGAAATGTACAGTCAAAGAGAATGCTGAAGGCACCTACAGGTGCGATAGCGGCAGAAGCCCTTGGGCTGAGTAGGAAGACCCTGCGGAAGGTGGTTGGCTTTATTAGCGGCCATTGGGTATTCCGTGGACATTTACACAAGATGGGAATTCAAGTTGAAAGCCTCTTATGTAGGAAATGTGGAGAGGAGGAGGAGACAGCATTCCACGTGATATTTATGTGCCCAGCCCTACAAGGTCTGCGCATGAGATCCCTTGGCCTATCGACTGGAGATCAAAGGGAAGAACGGGTCACCATTGTCAAAAGGATCTCACGGTTCACAAAGGACCTGGGATTTGACAAAGAATGAGGACCTGTGAATGAGGGTGCACAATAAGCTGTTCTAGCTGCGTTGCAATCCCATGGTTACTTGAAGCCTGGCCCTCTATTAAAAAAAAAAAAAAAAAAATGCACTTTCAGACAAATTCACGATCAGGCACTGTAGGATTATGGGGAACGCGCCAAGGCACCACCACGTCAACCAGCCAGAAAAAAAAGAGAAGATGGTTGAGGTGGTTGGTTGACGTGGTGGCTCGTTGTTGGGGTGGCACGTTGACTTGAGCGGACACGCCAACCAGCCACCTCAGATAAATTTGTGGCGTCGGGTTGTCGTGGTGGCATGTTGTCATGGTGGTGCATAGACGTGTTCATACATGTCAACCAGCCACTTCTTTAGTGTGGTGGCGGGTTGACGTGGTGGCTGGTTGACGTCTACGTGCGAGGTGGCTGGTTGACGGCACCGAACATTGAGCCATAGATAAACATACTCCCTTAGTAGATTTCTCATCCTTATGGAACAGCTGAAGACAATTTTATTGTTAGTTCTGTACGGTTTATATAGAGGTCGTGTTTTGTTTACAATTTGTTTCCCGTTATTACAGCCATTTAAAACCTCGTTTAACCAAATAATACGATCTAATCATAAACAATAACTTGTCCCCTAGTTATATAACCACACAGTAAAGCACAAATCAAGAAATTAACCCTAAAATAATAGAAACAAAGTTTCGTCGACACTAGCGCCCAGTGTCATGTACATGAACTAGACACGAAAAACGTGCTTCAAAATTTACAATGGGGTGAGAAGTCTACTTGTGTTGGTTAGTCTATGATTGAGCGTACACGACAACCCACCACCTCGTAAAATAGTGGTGGCGGGTTGTCGTGGTGGCACGTTGTCGCATACGTGCGAGGTGGTGGGTTGACGCACGGCCGCCTTTAACTCCAGGCCGCGGCCTTCGAACTGGCAATGCCGCAAGTGGTGTTGTAACAGCTGTTATTGTTTGGAAGCAGCTAATAATATTTGTGTATTTACGAAATATTGGTTACTGGACTATAACAATATTGACTCCGCTTAAAAATGTACAGATATAGATTTTAATTCATATTGTTTCGGTTTTCAATTATGTATTATTTTCAATATTTTAATAAATTTATGTTCATTTAAATTTAAATCAATAAAGTGCGAATTAATGAGCTGATGTCACCTGTCTGCCATGTTATCTTATGGGACGTCTGTCACTGAACAACACCGCTTGCGACGTTCCCAATTCTACCAGGCCACGGCCTGTAGTTTAAGGCGGCCGTGGTTGACGTCATCAAATATGGAGCTTAAAGGCAACCCACCACCTATGATAAAAACTGGTGGTGGTGGGTTGCCGTGGTGGCACGTTGTCGTGGTGGCTCATTGACGTGAGTTTGCACGTCAACCCACCACCTCTGTTTTTTTGTGGTGGCGGGTTGACGCCTCTGACTAAAACACCGAGGTGGTGGTTTTACGTGGAGGCGCCTTGACAACGACCCGGATTATGGGTTTTTTTTAAATATGTATTCCTTTTAATAAAGAAACAATTAGCTGCTCAACCTGGACAGCAACCTAAATATTAAATAAAGAAACTGTCGAAACTGCATAGCAAAACCTAGCCTGCCAACCAACGACAAACAAAGATAAAAAACAATAAAATATTTTTGTAGAAAAAGCTAGAGAAAGACCCTATGTTGTTATGTTTGAGTTTGAATTTCAATTTCTATACACAAACTTAAAATTGTTGAGTAAGTAGAAAATAAGTTACGTCTACCTGGTGGCAGTGGTACCTAGTAAGAAGTCAACTAAACTAGTCTAGTTCACTTTTATCTTTAAATAACATGAGGGCCAAACTCTTACCTAAGAATCATCGCAAACCCTTCCGACATAAAGATATAAAACAGTGGATTAGCTTAACAAGTTCCATCTTTTGTGAGTGTTCTTTGTGCAAAACTAGTATTTCTCTTATGTAATGCTATTGATATTACTAAATATAACATTTTCTTATTAATTTAACACAGAAACTCAGGTAGACCTAATATAAGTATATTCATTCATATTGGCCGCCTGAGCAATTTGATTAGGCTATACAGTTTTAATAGGCCTAGCCTAGCCTGCTAACTTACTAAGGCTACCAGACTTTTTATCTCTGTTCTGACTTGTCCTTTGTTGGGGATGACTCGGGTTTCGGCTTTTGTTAGGCCATAAATTAAATGAAAGCCACGAATTATAAGTTTTCATCTCTCGATCAAACGGTTAACACACATAGAGCGCATGAACGAACACATAAAACATAACCATAACATAGGCCTAGCTTAGAATTTAATACAGTACTGCAAACGGGCAATGGGAACATTCTGCAACCGTCGGTAACAGTGCACTCAGTACCGACTCTCGCAGAACGTTCCCATTGCCTGTTTGCAGGTATTAAATTACAGGCCCTGTTATCCTTATGTTGCGTTTTATGTTTTTGTATTGTGTTTGTTTTTACTCCAATGGTGTTCAATAATTTACAACATCTAGAATATGTTTTAGTTCCTGATGGATAAGTTAATGACTAAACTTAAGTTATGGGCTTAAAAAAAGTCTGAACCCACGAGTCAGAGCTGAGACAGAAAATATGACATATAGTACCATTAACGAAAGAACTTAAGTTATAGTTTTCCTATAGTCACTCGACAAAATTGGCTTCCTTGCACTGTTTATTGTACAGAAAACTGCTAATTGCTGTATTTACTTACTTTGTCGTACGGTTTATACTTTGGCGCACATCAGGATTCCAACCAAACAACACAAAAAAGCGTGGTTTTATTATGCACGTAATCCGTGTAAGCTTGGAAATAGGTTGGCAACACTTGAAGATAATAATACTATGATCAGCTGATTGACTATTATAACTACCATTTAACCTGTCATTTCGTGTTCATAGTTTATGTTCTATTTTCGTTCAACGCTTTGTTTGAACATAACCTAAAGTGTAGTATTTGAAAAATTAATAATTATAAGTGGGCCTAAATAATGAAGCCAGTGAAAGTGATTGTGAATATATGTAAACCAGAATTCAATTTCAGGTTGTGTAGACCAGAAGAAATAGCAGAAACTGCAAAACATGTTTCATTAAACCTGATACCCTAATTGAAAAATAAAGAAAGAAGTATGAACTATAGTAATACCAGTTAAAAGAACCCTGGGCCGTTTCGAGCCGCGCAGGTTTGAATGGTATGCCACACCTACTGGCGCGAACCACGTTATCTTTTCGTTTCTGCGCAGGTTGTTTTGTGAGTGGTATGTCTATAGTATACAAACTGTTTTCCACTTGGTGTGTAAGTAAGAAAGTTACAAAATTGTCATAAAATGTTATATTGGCATATTTTGCAGAACAATCAACTTGTTTATTCTTTTTACTGATTATTACTGTTTATACTTGTACTCTTGTAAATAAGCAACACTTAAAGATACTTACGACTACAATCAGCTGGTTAATTATTTCCTATTCCATTTAATGCTTGGGTTCAACCTAACCTAAAAATGTGTTGTATAGTGTTTGAAAGACTAATAATGTATATGCTTTATATTGACTGTAGGAAAAATATAATGTGTAACACAAGCGGAAATGTCCTTTGCTGCACTCGAGATACGTTCCGCAAGAGCCGCAGGCGAGTGTGTAAACATTTCTCTTGCGTGCAGCAAAGTGCCACTTTGCTCAGTAGTTACACAAATAACTATTATCAATTACTTTGCTACAAATGATTGCTTAACCCTCCAAGTGTCCATAATTTTGGTCTTAATGTTCGCCCAATTATTGCGCAATCGCAGGGTTTTATTAAAACGTATCTTAGAAACTTAAAAACAATGTAAAGTATACTGTTTTATACAGGGTGAGTTTCTACTGACCGTGTTAACTTTGCCAGTGGGTTCTACTCACTAAAAGGAACAAAAAAGTTCCTATAAACCCATGTCCGATTTTCGACCGTTTGGCTGTTTTGGGGGATTTTGTGTTTTTCTTATTTTATTAGACTTTGCTCCACAATTTATGTAATATAAACTTAACCAATTACTTTAGAGAGTTATAGTTAAAATCATTGGAAAGAACATTAAATTTGCTATAAATCAAAGGTTTCATTCAACAATTATACCATTACATAGTCCACGTTATAACCAAAATAAAGTAAAAATGTCATTAAATTAATTAATTACGATAATTTTCATGGGCCTCCTTTGATACATAAACCTGCATTTATGCAATGTTGAAATGCATAAAAAACTTGGCATTTTAATAATCTTTCAAATGATATGCTATTCAATACTATTATTGATATAAACCAGTGAGAAATTACTAATGAAATACAATAAAACACGGTTTACAGATTTTGTTTTTGCACAGTTTTACTGTTAATAATAATTACTGTATACTCGATGATGTATTTTATTGAACTATCTAATAAAATTTGTACATTATTTTAACTTTTAAATATTTATTAAAATTATCTGAATTAATAAAATGTATAAACTCAAGGTTTTTCACATTTTCAAAGATGTAGTGTGTTTGATTCTTAAATGCTGTGTAATTAGTTTTACCTTGTGCTTGATTAAGTCAGCTTTTATTGATTTGTCATCTATAGCTAGATAACTCAGCTGCTTGAACATACCTTGTTGAATAATTTGCTGTTTTAACTTTATATTTCCAAGTCAATTAAGAGTTTTTCAACATTTATTAAAACATGGAGCCTTTTACCAATCAAGATTATGCCAACATGATGAATACAGTAATTATTATTAACAGTAAAACTGTGCAAAAACAAAATCTGTAAACCGTGTTTTATTGTAGTTTATTAGTAATTTCTCACTGGTTTATATCAATAATAGTATTGAATAGCATATCATTTGAAAGATTATTAAAATGCCAAGTTTTTTATGTATTTCAACATTGCATAAATGCAGGTTTATGTATCAAAGGAGGCCCATGAAAATTATCGTAATTAATTAATTTAATGACTTTTTACTTTATTTTGGTTATAACGTGGACTATGTAATGGTATAATTGTTGAATGAAACCTTTGATTTATAGCAAGTTTAATGTTCTTTCCAATGATTTTAACTATAACTCTCTAAAGTAATTGGTTAAGTTCTTATTACATAAATTGTGGAGCAAAGTCTAATAAAATAAGAAAAACACAAAATCCCCCAAAACAGCCAAACGGTCGAAAATCGGACATGGGTTTATAGGAACTTTTTTGTTCCTTTTAGTGAGTAGAACCCACTGGCGAAGTTAACATGGTCAGTAGAAACCCACCCTGTAATTTTATTTGGAAAATTATGGGCTTCAATGTAACATATAAAACATTACAAAAAAAATGTTCTACAATTTTTGTGGGGTTAACATTTCTCAAAAATTATAAAATAAATCAAAAAAGTTAATGTTTGCGCTCAATAAATTGTTATAATTTATTGGTCTACAAATATTTTAAAATGGACACTTTGTTCAGAATTTTATGAGGCTTCCAAAAATATAATAATATAAGGAAGTAGGTTTGCAAATAAATAAGTTATGGGCAAAAAACAGATTTCGGTACATAGCGTTTAGCTAAGAATGCATAGCCTAACCATTGAGGAATCTGGCTGATAATTTACATCAATATCACTACCTACTTCTTCAGGATCATCAACCAGCCCTTCAAAATCACTTAAAACTTCTTATAATGCACCACATATTACACTACTTGTGATTTTTAACACTAAAACAATGATAAACGTAATAAAACACATCAGTCATCGGTGCGAGGTTAACCAAGTTGTTTAGAAATACGCACGTCAGCTGTCTGCTACAATATTTTCGAAACTAAAATGAATAGCGTCTAGAAACAGACATAAGGAGAAAGCTCAGAATATGCCGAAAACAACAATACCAATCTCGATCCAGTTCAATCTGATTCAGTCAGTCCCAGAGCCTTCGCCGTAAACAATGTTTATGGGTCGCAAAAGCGACCCATAACACCACGGCGGGTGTGTTGTGCGTCGATTACGCGACGCTTAACACTCGGAGGGTTAAAGCCTATATCAATTCATATATCAAGCTATGCTAGATAATTTGGCAATAGTACAGTGTTTCCAAAAAAGAATGCCAGGATTTTGAACGGCCGTTGCTTGGGGCAATATACAATAAGTTTAGACAATTCTTTATTCCGTCAAACAATATTTCATTGCAATAGGAAAGGCCAGTACTATTAAAGATAATTAAACGACTTAAACGTCAAATTGAAGGAAAAATAACAAATGGTAGCCTACTTGGATAGGTTAGATTTCAGAAAATTTAATGAAATTCAGAGTGCCATCAATCTTGGTAAGAAAAGAATAGTCCTAAGTAAACTGTTGTTGTTTGCTTTTTTATAGATGTATTTTGATCAAAGTTGTTTTATTTATTTTAGGCTACATTTTACTAAAAAACAAACTTAATTTCTTTGCCTTCCCCACAGCAGCCAATCTGAGTAGCCTACGTAACCTCTTGTTATTGAAGCAGGGGATAAAAATGACGGCTTTAAAGAATATTCTACAAGTTTTCTGGGGCGAGGCATTTCAAGTTTTCATCTATTGCAGGGTTATTGCAAACAAGTTTTAAAATCTTTTATTTTCTCTGATTTGAATGGAACTGATGATGGCTGATAAGACTGGTCAAAAATTGATCTTCAGTGTAACCTCTTTTACATATGTTTACTGTCCTTGAAAAAGTTTATAGTTTTAGGGTAAATTGTATAGCCTAGAATTAGAAGATCTGTACGATACTTACTTACTTACTTACTTGGATACTTGGAGAATTCCCACTGGTATCGCATCAGCGACGTGGTCGTCAGGTTTTTATACATTTCTTCATATTAATTTATATAGATGGATTCATTTCCTCTTCAAGATTGTACATGGCCTAGACATATATTTCATCAACACTGTAGTAGGCCACTTGACTTAAGAATGTTTTTAGCAGGTTCTTGAATTTGTTGATAGAGGGCTCTTGTGTGATGTACTGAGGCAATTTATTGTAAATTTTTATACTATTGAAGTAAGGGCTCTTGCTTGCAAGGGTGGAATTTACTTGAGGTACATGTGGATTTGTTGCTCTTCTTGTGTTGTAATTGTGGACCATGGTGTTTGTTACAAAAATATTGGGGTTCTTCTTAACAAGCAATGCGGATTCCAATATAAAGAGGGACGGAAGTGTGAGGATGTTCAGTTCTTGGAACAAAGGTTTACAGTGTGTCCGTCTATGGACTCCACATATTCTTCTAATTGCACGCTTTTGAAGGATGAAGATGCGTTTTGCCTCACTACAACCACCCCAAAATACCAAACCATATGAGATTATGCTATGAAAACAGCCATAATAAACCTTAAGGAGAATCTCGATGTCAACCAGCTTTTGAAGTCTAAACAGCAGGTAGGTGACAGATGACAGTCTGGGCGCTATTGCATCGACATGTGTTCCCCAATTAAGGTTCTCCGTAATGTGTAGGCCCAAGTATTTGGTTTCACTACAGGTTTCAAGTAGCACCCCGTCCAAGGTCAATATCGGAGGTGGTTCAGGCTTCTTCCTGTTATAAAATTCCATTAATTTGGTTTTACTAGAATTTAGGACCAGATGATTTTTGCTACACCAAGTTGACATTTCAAGCAAGCCAGTTTGGGCGTTTTCAGTCGTGATGTTTCGATTTGGGCTTGGGACTAGGTGACAGGCGTCATCGGCAAAAAGCCATAAATTTCCAGATGATATGGAGCCAGGCAAGTCATTCACGTATAACAGGAATAGGATGGGCCCAAGGTTTGATCCCTGGGGGACACCGATGTTCAGAGCTGGTGATGGAGACGATTTATATGTCCGAAGGATGTTGTCAGGGCCTCTGTGCTTCAAGGATATAATCATGTGCCGATCTTTAAGATTTTTGTACGAGTATTTAATTATAACCAACAAGTTTGTTATGTACATTCTTACATTAAATCAACTACACATGCTCATGTACGTACATTAACTAAATGAGTAACTTGTGTTTTTCAGTTGTTGGAATATTTGCATACCTACAAGAGAAGAAATTTAGTGAATTATGTAAGTACAATATTACAATTATTTTAGCCATTATTTGACATATGTATTTGTGTTTCGATAGGCTTACTTTAAATTGAGTCATGTGCTTTAAGTTAAGTATACACAGCAACACTTTCATAAGAAAGAAAAACAATATTTTTATTCACTAAGCAAAACTTGTATCCTATTGGCATTGTAATGTTATAGGTAGTCCCTCGGAACCAAAATTTTCTAGGGGAAAATCATTTATAAGTATACTGTGAGTCTGAGTATACTGAGCAGTCTTTGCTCGATATTATTTATCTTCTTTTGTAATATATCTTTAATCCGTTATAGGTAATACACTGCAGTTAAATTAGCTAAGAAGCAGTTATGATTCTTATGTACTGTGTAGACACTTTGTTTTTATTTTTGTAACCAATACCGGTATTCATTAAAACAAATATTGAAAAAACAATAAGTTACTTAGTAATACACCTAAATGTTTGGCACAATAATAAGAACCCATTTGAATTTATTACTGAGCAAAATGTAAGGTCTTTTTTAAAGAGTATTATGGTGTATTCGTTTTCAAAGGTTGTTTAAAGCAGTGGTTCCCAAAAGGTGGACAATTTTCAAGGGGTCCGCGGCTAGCTGGTAAAAGATTAAAAAAATTAAAGAGTGTATTCCAGGTGCCATTGTGTTTTTTTTATTATATTTAAAGTATTAAACTTTTATCTCCGTTGGTTGGCGTTATTCTTCACCAGTCCAATAGTAACTATTCTGTTCACTGCGCAGTTTATACCACTCTGCTCCATTTTGTTGTCGCCCGCCAACCTATGCGTGCTGCTACCTGTCGGTAACTTGTGCAACTACGTCCACTTGGACACCGTACAGTGTCGCTGCCCATTAGGTGAGCATTCTGCGTATATCGTTTTGGTTCCAGGGTGGCGGGATTGCTCACAACTTACAACGACGAAGCAGATGAGTTAATTTAAACAAAGCTCAAAGATTTAATTACAACTAATGTTGTAAAAGACTAGCCTACAATTACAAACTAAAATAAGGGGTTTTTTTTCAATGGAAATTTGGCAATATCGTTGTATGAGAGTGGCAACACTTGCTGTCATTCGTTTAGTGCCAGGTTATGTTTTAATTGTGTACACACACAACCTCTCTTTTACTTTTGTTTAGTGTTTATCATTTGTCTTGTGCAGTGATTTTATCAGTACTATGGATCGGTGGTTGAACAGTGTTAAGTTAAAAAGGGAACTAACTAAGACGGATCAAGAAGAATAGGTGTCAAATGACATACCAAGTTCTAGTGCGTTTAGTTAAAGTGCGGATGTAGGCCTAAATCAAGTTCCAAGCGATCAACAGCATAGAAGAAAGTAGCTTTAGTTGCGTGAGTAAGAAATCTAATTTTGTTAAAAATTTTAGGAGATACAACATTGAGTATTTAGAGTTAGGATTTACCTATGCTGGATCTGAAGATGAACCGAGGCCTCAATGTGTACTTTGGCTTGAAGTTATGTCCAATGAGGGCATGAACCTGCTAAACTGTGCCGTCATCTTCAAACAAAACATCCAGAATCCCAAACTAAGTCCATGGAGTTTTTCAAACTGAAGCTTAATGAATTAAAGAAATCTCAAAATGTAATGGAAAAAACTAGTCTCAACATCAATAAAAACGCAACATTAGCTTCTTACCAAATTGCTGAGCTTATTGCAAAATCTGGTAAGCCTCACACAATTGCGGAGGAACTTATCGTTCCTGCAGCTGTACAAATATGTAAAACAATGCTTGGAGAGTCAGCAGCTAAAACAATTGACTCCATTTCTGTATCAAATAATAAAATTCTTAGAAGAATTTCAGACATGTCTGAAAACATCCAAGATAATTTGTTTTTGAAACTCTGCATGAGTGAAATGTTTGCTTTTGCAAATAGATGAAAGCACTGACATTTCCAAATAATCTATTATGCTAGTGTTTGTAAGGTTTGTTTGGGAGAACCAATTGTATGAAGATTTTTTAACCTCCTGTGAACTCATGCATACTAAAGGTGAAGATGTGTTCAAAGCCATTGACCAGTTCCTTTCCCAACATAGTACTGTAGGCGAGAGTTAAGAAGTCCTCTGAGCCAAAGCGAATGCAGCAATGTTTGTGTGTTGCCACGCGGTATTTGCAGGTGCCCTTTTGGTTTTAACGCAGTGGATGTCAGCCCTGACTGCTGCGTGGAACATGAGTAACCCGCTCGACCCGCCTAGATCTCAAGTAGCAAGCGCCTGCATTTTTAGAATAGGCCAGGACTCAGAGGACTTCTTAACTCTCGCCTACAGTATTAGCTGGGAAAACTGTGTTTGGATCACAACTGATGGTGCTGGGGCTATGTCAGGGTATAAAACAGGATTGTTAGGTCAGTTGAAAGAAATCGCTCAAAAATCAAGTGGACATTGTTGTATACATAGAGAGGTTCTGGCTGTGAAAAGAATGCCTGAAACGCTTAAAAAGACTTTTGATGAAGTTGTTAAAATAATAAACTTCATCAAATCACGCCCTCTTTAATGTAGCTGTTTGAAGCCTTGTGCAAAGACATGCAGAGTGACCACATGCAGCTTTTGTTGCACACTAAAATACGATGGCTCAAGAGAAAAAAGATCCTTGAGAGGTTTTTTGAGTTAAGAGATGAACTGCAAGTTTTTCTTCTTGAAACCAAATGTTCAAACACGCTCGCCGATTTCGATTGGCTCTGTATGGTAGCGTACTTAGCAGATATTTTTGAGCATTTGAATGTATTGAACCCGAGTCTACAAGGGCACTATGTTGACATCTTCAGAGTAGAAGATAAGATTGAAGCAATAGTAAAAAAAATCAAGTCTGGTCGAGTTGAAAAGAACTTGCTTTCTTTCAAACTTCCCTACTGTACAAAACTTTTTGGAATTACAATCTGCTGATAAGAAACTGTCTGAAAAAGTAAAACCTGAAATATCACAGCACCTTCAGACCTTAGCTGTTTCAATGAGAGAGTATTTTCCTACTCTAGACCCTCCAAACAGTTGGATAAGAAATCCATTCAGGCCAAGCATTAAAGTGAAGATCTAAATTTGACGAAGTCAGAACAAGATCAACTTATTGATTCATCCAAAAATTGTATGCTGAAGAATGTTTTTGTTGACCATGAAAAAACTGTTGGACTTCTGGTTGACTGCACAACGGGAACACAAGGAGTTATCTCTAAAAGCGTTGAAGCATTTAACTCTTTTTTGTACAACTTACACGTGTGAACAGGCATTCTCAACACTTTATTATATGAAAAATAAGTACAGAAATCGCCTCAACGTACATGAAGACTTCCGTGTAAATGTTTCAAAGCAGAAGCTAAATTTTGATGTAATTTTGGAGAAAAAAATATAGATTTCATCTTTCACACTAAAAAAATCAAGTGGGATTTGTTTAAGTTTCTATTTTCAACTGTTTTACACTAAATATAACTTAAACATTTGCTTTGTAAAATAAAACTAGTTTGTGTCCATGCAATCTTTGGAAATTATTTACCAATGCATTTTTATCTTTCGTTTGTCATAAAGTTATTCCTACATAATAACTAACGTTGTTAACCCTAGTATTTACATTATTTTAGTTTTCAACCTGACATTCTCCTCCTGGAAATTATGAATCAGCTACGACCTAGACATTAAATAAATCAAAATAACAAAAATGGACTTACTGTACCTGGTCATTCTGAACTCCTTAAAATATTAAAAACATACTAAAACTTGATAAATTTGTTTAGAAACTTACCCAAAATTAAGGTTTGTTAATATTTTGTATGTGATTGTTTGTTAAAATGTGTCAATATAAAAAATCCATCCAAAACGCTATCTGATTCATCCTAAAAATATTCTCAAAAAACCTGCTCAGGTACGCTAAAAACGTGCAAATTTAAGTAATTTTGCACAATTTTCCCCGGCCCCCCCTCTGTGCTATAGTTTACTTATTGATTAGCCTACGTTAAATCTATCCTTTATCAATGCCATTACATAAACTGTTAACATATCAATATTTCCTGAAGATGAATGTAAACTTGTATAGTATTTACTTACAATAATACTCTACTTCAATATAATACAATTACTCACTCTTGTTTTGATTTATTATGATATGGTTTTTATCACTTTTTGAAGACTTTTTGGATCACCAAAATCAAAATCATACCACCAATATCATAAGGTAGGCTAGGTAAATTAGATATAAACAAAAAATTCCACAATCAATTTAGATTTTTATTATAGGTAGACTAGATCCATTCCCAGCATAGGCTTTAAGAAACCTGCTCCAATACGTCCCCTTAGCAATCCTAGTAAAATATCTTTATACATTCCCATCCATCTCATAAAAAGTAGCGAGCATTTTAAATCTAGTAGCTCATGGACAAATAGCTCAAATTAAACTCTATATTACTTTCTTAAATCAAATCTTTTGGTTGGAAATTATACAATTATTGGTGTAAATACCCGCATTTATGCAATCAAATGTATTGCTAAATTGCAGCCGATTTCAACTCACATAGGAGCCATCATCGGGCCAGTACAGCCATCATCTTATTGCTTCATTCGAAGGTTGTCAATTCATAATAAATAAATACATAGTACACGTACAGGAACATAAAAACCAACATTTAGGGTTAAAAACTAAGGGTAATACTGCAATGGCACGATTCACGACGTGATCGGGCGGGGGTTATGTAGCGTAGATGACCTTCCAATGAAGCGAGAAGACATCTGCACTGGCCCGACAATGACTCCTATGTGAGTCGAAACCAGTTGCAATTTGGCAACACATTTGATCACTTAAATGCAGGTATTTAAACCAATGCTTAGTATTTAAATGGGACCAGGAGACTAAAATTCAATATAATGACATTTTTATTTGTTGGTATTTCACACAATGTATTGTAAGATATTTTTAAAACTATGTTGAATAATCAAATCTAATTATCATCTTACAGGTGTTCCGGTTGCAGTTGGATTGTTTGTATTTATTTGTCAGAGAATTTGTTTGTTCCTGCTAGAACTATTCATGTACAGACAGTTTGACATGTCTCGTACGCTGCAACTTCTGATTCAGCCCAGTAGTACATCTTCTGAATACCCGAATGTGCACGGATTTTGGTTAAGGATTCTAGCATTTTCTCTCTCCTTATCACATTGCTCTTCTAAGGTCAGTAAGCTAAATAGCTGGTTGTTTTGTTTGAATGGAGTAGGCCTATAAAAAAAATAGTTTTAAAAATCTCTGGATCTGTTCAAATTTTACTTTACAGAGAACTTCCCTACCTTTTATAACCTATAGGGAAGTAGCTATTACCGTAGGTGGTAAGACCTATGCCTGGGACGGATTTACTTTTTCATTTTGATATCCCCAGAGGCCCAAAACACCATTCGTTCAAATTTGTATATATGGATATATATATACAGGGTGAGTTTTAAATGAGTTCCCCCCCCTACTTTTTTCTACATTTCTTAAGATATCAACTCCAGACCACATCAGATAATTGTTGAGTAGTAAGTACTTCATTTTGACTGGGTATACAATTTTGGCCTCCATCTTGGATCCGCCATATTGGATACAAAGTTTTTTTTCATCCATTATTTCAAACTAGAAGTTTACGCTGATTACAATGCAGCAATTAGTTTTTAAAAATCTTGATCCGTTCTAAAGTTATAAGGAATTTTTATAACTTTATTTTTAGCCCATTTTAACATTGTGCATATTTTTACAAACGAAGACCATAATCTCAAAATAGTGCTAGATAAAGATAAGTATACTTTACCATTCATTGTAGACCTATTTTCAATTGGTTATGACGGATGTATTTTTTTCGGCCGCCATCTTGGATCTGCCATTTTGAAATGTGATAAATTAATTTAAATATGAAGATGGTGTTGTAACCCATCATTTTGAACTACTTTTTTAAGCTGAACTCAATGCCGCAATCCGTTGTTGGTTATCAAGCTTTCTTGTTGAAATATTAAAATGATCTTATTCAAAAATTTTAATATTTAAAAAACCAAATATGAAAAATCAAAAGCGGATCCAAGATGGCGGCCTAAAATGTATACCCAGTCAAAATGAAGTACTTACTACTCTACAATGATCTGACGTAGTCCGGAGTTGATATCTTAAGAAATGTAGAAAAAAGTAGGGGGAGAACTAATTTACATGTCACCCTGTATATACGGACACCAGAAAACAGGGTGTCTTTAACATTTAAAACATAGAAAGCCGTATTAAGCAAAAGTTGTATTTTTGTTTCAGCTTGAACAGTAAAAACAGTAAAAAAGTTCCCTGTTTTCTGGTATTCAAACCACTAAAACAAACAACAGAATATCTAAACCTCAATAGTGTAGCACATGGTTAGAAAGCTTATAAAATGGCGCAGTTTTTGACATATTCGGACACTTCCTTGTATACAGGGTGTGAACAAATACAATAGACCAATGTTTTTTAAATGTTTATCAAACATCTTAATTTTTATCTTTGAATCTATTTACAATGGAGTTTTTACAACTGACCCTCCGTCATTTTCTATTATTTTTATTCAAAATTTAATGTAGAACACGAAAATGACATTGTCTACTCAAATCCATTTACAGGTAATTGAGAAATAGCTGTATTAAGTTTGAAAACATAGTTTTTTTTTAAAAACATAAAATAATTCTTTGGGAAGCTAATTTTTGGACTTGGAACCTTTTATATGCATCATTACACTGCATTTACTTTGTACTTACGCCAAAAAATTTTTGTCACACTGATGACCAGCCACCCTGTATATATATACGTCCGTGAACGCGATAACTTGAGTTATGTTTGTCCGATTTGGATCAAATTTGGTTTACAGGTGTAAAGGGGGATAAACCTAAATGAGTTCGCAAACCAGCATGATTGGACCATGGGAAAGGGGTTTTACGGGGGGTTTTCGGGTAAAAAATGGTTTTTCTCATTTTTGACCCTCAAAACACAAAATTTCCCAATTTCTCTCTAGACCTTCTTAAAGAGCGCAAACAAACAAATAATTTAGCATATCAAAGTTATTTTGTACGGTTATTGGTAATGGAGAAAATTCAAAAAAATTGTAAATTTAAAATTCCCACGTTATTCTTATGGAGAATATATATAAAAATGTTGTAGTTTGCTTGTTTATGGATATATTTTTATCAAACTTGGCAAATTTATTTATTTTATACTAAGATATTTATATTTTACTAAAAAATATAATTTATTAGTTTCCTTGTAGCAGCAAGAAAACCTAACATACCAGTTAGGTTGTCCTAGGTACTCGTTAAACCTAACGTTATTTAAATATATTTAATTGAAAATAAATTCAGACAAACAGAAATTTGCTTAGTCAGCAGGTTTGCTTCAAAGGGGGTATTTTTTATATAGGTTAGGTTAGGTATAATGGTATATGTATATGCTTACGGAAGGTCCAACATTGTTATTGGTCATATGGTTAGTTATTTGTAGTGTTAGGCCTATATGTTTTTGCATTGCGTTTAGTACCTAGTTATCGTACTCGTAAGCCACAACAACGTCTTCACCGCGAAACAGTTGAATACAACTGCCTAATGCCTCTGCCGGTTTTACACAACCGTTTGGATGAATAACGCCTGTGTTTGGCCAGCACACAACGACAACCGAACCGAACAGTTGTCGACTAGCGTTACGTAGAGTACAACCACAACGATAACTCCCTGGATCAGTTGTCGACAACTGCCTGGTCTCCACAACCGTTGACAAACAACTGTATCGTTGTTTTCGTCCCACGATTATATATAATATATGATTTATGAGAACCAACCAATCTTAATTAACCATGCGTATTTGATAATTATATGTTATACTTTTAACAATTTTAGCGAATAACTTGAGTAAAAATTATCCAATTGCGATTAAATTTAATGCAAATAAATGTGTATAAACTAGTAAACTACCTACATTTATTTGATCAAGTTTGCTAACCAGAATGATCAGTTTAAAAATCATTAGGTAATTTTGGGTTTTATGGCCCGCATAAAAATTGGTTTTCCCATTTTTGACCCCCAAAACATAAAATTTTCCAATCTATTTCTTAACCATTTTGTAGAGCTTGAAAAAAATTTATGTAAGTGTTGTTGTACATCTAATGGTCAAGAAGAAAATAAAAAAAACTGTAAATTTTACATTTTTATGTTATTTTTAGGCCGTAACAAACAAGAACAAGTTCCTGTGTTGGTACTTAGCTGTATTATAAACTAACTGTGGTATTTGCTTCCGTATGGATTTATTTTGATAAAATTTAGCAAAATTATTCATTTAATACTAAGAGAATAACATAAAAAAAAAAACTATTACGTTCCCTCCAGCAGCAAACCTAAGCACTTGTTAAACGCAATGCTATTTAAATAGTGAATAAATCTTTAATTTTATAGAAATATTTTAGTTAAATTCCAACTAGATAGAAATAGAATATATAATATTCCAAATCAAAATGTTTACTTATTCTGCAGGGTTGCTGCTGCAGGGGTATTTTTATATTTTATGAGGCTGTCATATTAGCACTCGTCTTTATCTTATAGTTGTTGTTTTTTGTTTCAGGAAATGTGGTTTGATGATAAATTTGATGTAGCGTTATTAGTATACCTGATCATTCTAGGAATACTGTTGGGATGGGTAAGTTTGCACCACAGTGTCTATTCACTTTTACATTTTAATTTAGTCTAGTCAACCTACATACAATTATATGTTCTCATCCTATTGCCTGATACTTGTTTTGATGTGAGTTTTATGTTTGGTAATGCTTGAGTTTGTTGACGTCGATTGAATTTTTCATTCCATTTACTTTCTCCCCCTTTACATAGCATATGGAGATGATAATGTTTTCGTCAAAATTTTTGAGTTTGAGTTTTGAGTGGATATATCCGTTTTGGGTCTCCCTGAACCCCAAAAAGTGGTTTTTGAAGTGATGTCTGTGTGTGTCTGTCCTATCTTACAGTACATAGAACAACTAAATCTGAACTATCTTTTAAAGCCTACAAAGCTCTACGAAACCTTTATAAAAATGCAGTGAATGAAGCATAGATGTCTGCTAACATGAACTTTATTGAATCATCCAGTAATAAGTGTCAGGCTGCCTGGTCTCTGATTCGTAAGTCAACAACCTCGACTGCGGAAAGGGTGCACTCTATGATCTCGGCAGAGCAGCATAACAACTTCTTCTTGGAGTCAGTGCAGTCAGCAAAGGCATCCATCATCCCACCTCCTGTCTCTTCTAGCGACCTACTACATAACACGGAGTACCATCAGCAAGCCTCGTTGAACCAGTGGTTGCCTGTCTCTCAAGATGAAGTGTTAAGTGTGGTGTCAAAGCTAAAAATGTCAAAAAGCAAAGATGCTTATGGTGTGTCAAACGCGGTGTTAAAGTCTGTGATAAGTGCAATCCTAGTACCACTCACTCACTGTGTAAATGTTTGCCTAAACGATGGAGTTTTTCCTGAATCCCAAAAGATTTCACGGGTAGTTCCAGTGTTCAAAAAAGGCAAGAAATCTGAGGTTAGTAATTACAGGCCTGTATCATTAGTTCCTTTGTTTGGTAAAATTATGGAGCGTATTATCTATAACCAAATGTGTTTCTTCCTAGCAAGTAATAATATTCTTAGCGAGACTCAATTTGGTTTTCGTAAAAAGTTATCCACAATAGATGCAATTGAGTCGATGTTGTTCAAAATTATTAAAGCTTTTGAAGACGGGAGCTTTGCTCAGATTACTGCTTGTGATCTGAGCAAGGCATTCGATCTTGTAGATCACTCAGTGTTATTAGATAAATTAAATTTTTACGGCATTAAAGGTTCGTGTTTAAAGTTTTTTGAATCATACTTGCATGGAAGATCTCAGTTTGTTGAGTTGAAGGGTGATCGTTCAAGATGTCTGGATGTAATAATGGGAGTACCACAGGGTTCTATCTTGGGACCTTTATTATTCCTTTTATCAATTAATGACCTACCTGCCAATGTGTCCCTTTCTTCAACTACAATGCTTGCAGACAACACAACCTTTCTTAGTATAAGCAATGATACAAATGTCTTGTCTAATATTGCCAAAAATACTATTTTAGAAGCCAAGCAATGGTTTAGTGCTAATGGTTTGATTATTAATGAGAATAAAACTCAACACTTACTCTGTCAGACTAGAAATAGAGTCGAGGATTACAATGAACCAAATGACATAAAAATTTTAGGTTTATTGATTGACAACTGTTTGACCTGGTCTCAACACATTGATTTCATTAGTGGTAAGTTGCCTAGGTTTATTTATCTTCTTAAATGTCTTAGCTCTAGTCTGCCTCAGAATTATTTAAAGTCTGTGTATTATGCTTTTTTTTCACTCAATTTTAAGTTATGGTGTTTTGTTATGGGGAAATAGTACCCATGTAAATAATGTATTGTTAATTCAAAAGAAGGCTGTGAGAATCATAACTAGATCTCGCCGAAGAGCACATTGTAAACCGTTATTTGTGGGCACTGGTATATTAACTGTCATTAATGTTTTTATCCTGCATTGTCTGATTAATGTTAAGAAAAAGGAAAAAGAGTATGATTTGCGCCAAGACATTCATGGTTATAACACAAGAAATAGGGGTTTAGTTGATGTACCTCACTGTAGGCTACAGAAAACTGCAAACAGTCATTTTGATTTAGGTATTAAATTATTTAATAAGCTTCATCCCCAAGTCAAGTCCTTGCCGTTAAGTGTCTTTAAAAGAAAATTAACTATGTGGCTTTCATCTCACCCATTTTACAAAATTGAGGAATTTTTTGAATGTGATCTCATTTTTTGCTAATGTTAAATGTTTTTAAGTTAGGCTAGGATTTGTATTACTGTAATTAATTGTCATATATATTTCATGTTCACTATTTTGATATGTTTTTTACCATATTCCATCTGTGATAATGTTAGAAATTTTGTTTTTAAGTTAGGCTAGGATTTTTATTACTGTAATTAATTTTCATATATTTCATGTTCACTATTTTGATATGTTTTTTACCATATTCCATCTGTGATAATGTTAGAAATTTTGTCCCTCTATGTTCATTGTTACACCTGTGATAACCATTAGCCTTTTTAAGAAAGACCCACTATTATTCATAATTTAAGTTTGTTAAGTTTGCCTATTTTTTAAAAATTATTTTAAACCTGTTAAATGTTAAACTAAGGGCAGCCTATATTTTGGAATTTTCATGTCAAATTTTATTTATTATAAGTATTGCATCTTATATATTTTTACAATAATAATGACGATGTCAATTACCATAATGTATTGTTTAAAGACTGAATAAATTACTATTCAATGACTATTCAATGTCTGCCTGTTTATGTGGATGTGTTTAGAGCTACAGACTATTCCTGTTGTCCGATTTTGATGAAATTTGATATGTAGATACTAATCTACAGTATCTCCAGGGGTGATTTTTCATTTTTTTAAATTTTGATTTTTAATGGACATTTTTTCATAAAACCCCATCAATAAAAAAAATCAGATTTTCTCAAAAATCGCACAAACGATTTTCATAAAAATTTAGTGTGTCTTTTAAATTCTGAACAAAATCAAACACATTAAATTCTGAACAAAAATGGGAAAGGTACTAATCCCATTTCTGTAAAAATTGCGGTTCAAAAGTTATATTCACTTATGTTATTTTTCCATAACAACCCCATAAAATAACAACAAATCAAATTTTTTTTTAAAGCCCTCATAATTCGCTTTTTTGTTTGGTTTTAGTACCAGACAGAGGACAAGAAGTGTTTTGCAAAAATTTTCTGTGATTTTTAAATTTATAGATCTCTTTTAAATCAAAAGATATTTTTTAACAAAGCCTCATCAGTTGTTCTAGAAAAGGGTTTTCCCTACAAACAATAAGAGTACTATTTGTTTTCTACAACCTTAGAACAACCTGGTCATAAATAAGTCAAACTATTATCAGGCAAGGCTGAATACAACTGTCTAAAAATTTATCCACAATGTTCTCAGGTATTCTCAATTTCTTTTGTGGAGCTCCTTTTCTAGCTAAAAAAGAACATTTTTATCTAGGTCGTTTCCCTAATCCAAAAGAGAAAAATTTTTCAGCGGAAAAAATAAGTTTTTGCATATCTGTCAGCTTTAGTTAGCTTTTGAATAATAATTCATCTTAAATAATACTCACTAAGAATTTATTTTACAGCAAGACTGCGCCCTGTTAGAGTCTCACAGGCTGATGAAGCCGTTTACGTACTGTGGTGGAAGTGCGATGGCCTTCAGTTTTTATCACGGTTACCTCAAGTTAATTGCACCTGGTTAGTATATTTGTGGATATTTGACACATAGTTTTGATTACGTTGGGTCAGTTTAGATGTAAACTGCTGGTTTGGGATAGCTTAATAGTGTAGTCAGCCCTCTCCATACACAGTCAATGTGTTCCTGCGATTTTTCTATGTAAAGAGAGTACAATTAATAGACTACTGTTGGTAAAGAAACAATTTCACAACCCCTTCTGAGAATTTAAGTTTTTAATCATGTTTTTCACTCTTTCTCATTCATGCTACTTGTGCTATACTGTAATACACTCCAATACAACGCTTCTGCAGCTGCAGATGTGCTGATTTTTTGTTGATGCATATCCCCTATGATGTTGTTGCCAATGAAGAGAGTGACTCTTCATATTCCATATTATACGCACAATGCATTTTTTGGCTCGTTAATGCGTCTTTTCAGTCCAAAAGCATTAATTATCAATTGTTCATTTTGCTCTTTAACTGACACTAGTGAACACCTGTTTTAGGTTTTATTCTTTGTTTACTGTTTCAGTGACACCAAGACTGAATAAAAGCAATTACCTTTGCAATTATTTGTTTCAAAGGGAATATAGTTATAATTTTATGATTTAATATTTGTTTTGAGTTGATGTTAGTTGTTCCTTACTTATAGTTCAGGCACCTCAGCTTAAAAAAAAACAGGTTTATCTGTGATCTGAACACGAATACAACACAAAGGCGGTTTGTGTTTTGGTTTGCCAAAAAGATTTTTGACTGGAAGACCTGTTTTTACAAAAATATCAAAATTTGTTTAACATAAGTATTTTTTGTTAGAGCCTACAGCAAATCCGATCCCATTATTGGAAACTAGAGTAAATTTCCTTCAAAACAGTTACTGATATATTCATATTTGAGCAAGTACTTTGAAACATGGTTGTTCACATTTTAAATAATTGTGGAAATATCTATTATTTCCTACTGTTACACAGTTTTTCTGACTTAGCCTTGTCTTGTTTTTCAAAAATTCATTTTGTAAAGCTTGGAAAATGAAAAGCCTCCCACCACGTTACAACGGTTACAACTCATTAATAAAATCAGGGAATAAACATTCTCAAGATATTATTTTACAACACCACATAAGTTATCTCTACCCAAGTAACTCTCTACCCAAGAGTTAGGTCTCTACCCAACTCAACACCAACCACTACGTACACGGTACGTGTACGGTTAACCACCAACGACACTAATATCCACTTGACAACGTCTTTGCACAGCATGCCAACTCGACAACAACCACTCTGTACGTGTACGGTTACACCACCAACGACACTAATGTCCACTTGAGAACGTCTCTGCACAGCACGCCAACTCGACACCAACCACTCTGTACGTGTACGGTTACACCACCAACGACACTAATGTCCTCTTGACAACGTCTCTGCACAGCATGCCAACTCAATACCAACCACTCTGTACGTGTACGGTTACACAACCAACGACACTAATGTTCACTTGACAACGTCTCTGCACAGCACGCCAACTCAACACTAATGTTCACTTGACAACGTCTCTCTCGAATGTCCTGTCAAAACAGTCCTGAAGGTCGAACAAACCAGAGCATTATCGGAACTGATCAGCCGGGTCAAAGGCGCCAGCTCGCTTCGCCGCTGCCGCTAGTTCATGTCAACAATAGGTGCGCTGTTATAAAATAATATCTTATCCCCCTAGGAAAACGCCTCGTTACACCTTGCTGAATTGGTTCAAATTGCCTAACACTTTTAAATATGGCATGGCTTTTAAATTTTTAAATATGGGTAAACCAAGGGGGGGAAGCCAAAACAACAGTTTATCATATTCATAATGTTATTATTAATCAAAATAATTTTCAGGCTTGATCAGCAGAATAACTCAATTTCAAGATAATAACCAACTCAATACCAACCAGATTCCACAAAAAAAGCTTTACATACTGATCCCATCATCATCATATGTTTTTGACAAACTTGATGGGTATCAACAATGGACGAAAACACAGGATCTCAAAATGTACCATGTTGCTGACGTGAGTAGCCCTACTACTAGTTTATTTCGTGTCTACAGTAGATTCCCTATTAACAAATTTCCCCAATAGCAAAGAAGCTATTATTATAAGGGGCATGGTATGACCTAGAATCAGGAACTATGTAATATTTTCCATACATTTTTTGTTAATAAACTTTTCCTGTGGTATTCCTATTTATTAGCTATTTACATAAATATTGATTGTAAAATTAAAATTCAAACATTTATGAAATAACTTTTTAATCCAGTGAGTAGAGGTCTGTTAACTTACAAACGGTCGGTAGTTCAAAACTTTTTATATGTTGTCTAGGATGGTAAGTAGGTGTTAAACATGCAAAATGCACAATTTCCCCCCCTCCGTTTTGTCAACCGTTTGAAAGGGTGCTAAAAAAACAAAACAAATTAAAACAAGGGGTATATACATATATTTTTTTTTTGCTTTTGTGACTCCACATTTTATCCAAAAACATTTGACTAGAATTTTAGTTCATAAAAACTACTTATGCTACTTACATGTGACGGCGCAAAATTGCTCATGTTGCAGGAACTCTATGCCCCTTACAAATATCTACTACACCGTTGCTAATATCTGATATATACAAGTATGCAAAGTCACAGTGTCCGCAGTGCAATTAGATTCTGGTGTAGACAGTGTAGCATATTTAAACACAATGTTTTTCTTTTTTTTAATGAGATTCTGGGTAAGGTTCTTTGTTCTGAGCTAATATTCATGTATTTCTCACAGATATAAAGTTATACATAGTACAGTAGTAACAGGGCCGGATTTAGCATTTTGGCGCCCCTAGGCCCAAATAATTTTCCGCCCCCTAGTCTGGTCACAGTTACTTTCCTTTAAACCTTTATTTAAAACTATATCGTGCCCATATAAGCCTAAGTTAATTGCTTGAATACCACTCCTCGTCGGAATTTCATCATTGCAAGTTATTTGAAGATTTTACTTGTTTAGCAACAATATGCCGTCTTAAACACGTTTAGCAATTTTATGCTTTTAGTAAATGCTCACGTTTGTGGGACTGAAACAAAACAACTCAACCCTCCGAGCATTCCTGCAAAAAAAACATGGCCATTAATTCCAATTTCAGGCCCAAAAACATGAACTCCATACAGTACGTGTACCATAGAATAAACATACTCTTTTAGTAGATTTGTCATCATTATTAGCTTAAAACAATTATTGTTATTAAACCTATTTTATCCAAAATAAAACGATCTAATCACAAACAATAGGTCGTCTCCTGGTTGTATTACAAGAAATTAAAACACACATTATAGAACTACCCCTAAAATAATAGAAACAAAAGTAAGTCTAACTAGCGTCCAGTGTCACCAACATGAACTAGACGTGAAAAAATTTGAAATAACAATGTGATAAGAAGTTGACTTGAGTTTGAGTTTTATTTAATCTATGGTAGTACTGATTCTAGGTTATATTTCCAAAGCAAAACAGAGCAATATTCCGGCCAACCATACCGATCTAAGGACCTAAGGGTCTGAGGAGAAAATGACAGCATTAATGGTGCTTTGGAGGGTATTGAATTTTTGTAAAACCTATTGCAAACTGAGATTAATATTTTTTCATTAATTTTAGGCTAAAGATAAATTCTTCATTTGGTTTGAATATTAAACACAACGTATTATATATTTTAACTTGATCCTGCAGATTGTAGTAAACTAATCAAAAGATTAGTTAATAACGTTTGTTTTGTGAGGTGAGGATGGTGGGTAACAGTGTCTAGCATAAATGCGCCCCTAATCCCTCCGATCAGTAGCGCCAGGCCAGCATAGTGACAGTGTAGTGGCAATACGATGCGTACCGATCGGGCGCTCGTCAACATCCCTACAGTTTACTCCCGTAGTCCCTTATAACCAATGTTGTAACGAAATTGATGCGTAATTCTGAAAAATAGCTTACACTGTTTAACAATTATTTCTATCTATGAATTTCGGAATCGGAATGCTTTACTAGCCAGAGTTTTTTTTTATCAACTATGACTATTAGATATTAAGAAAAAAATCCTCACGGCCGTGCGCCCTCTGGGAGCTTGCGCCCATAGGCCCGGGCCTACCAGGCCTACTGGGAAATCCGGCCCTGAGTATAGTAAAGTTGTAAAGTTATACACAGAACTTCTCAGTAGTCACATGATTAGTAAAATTAAATTGTTAAACATTTTACTGCTAGTAGTATAACTTGACAGTTTCTCTTTTTTAAGTTTGTTTCTCATCCTTAATATATTATATCTTAAGTTTATGTATTGTACTACAAAGGTCATGTCATGGCTAATAGTTTAACTGTTGTAAGCAATTTACTGTAAACAAAATGAAAAATAAATATATTATTTCTTATTTCTATTTCTAGTGTATTATTATTATTAACAGATTTTTGTAAATATGAATATTTAATTATACATCTCATTTCTATATCTTGTAATATATTACAAATACCTATAAGCGAAAAAATGTCTTCACAAAACTATAAGTAGGCCTATTAACAAATTTATTTGAAAATGTTTAATTTGGTTTTTTTGAAATTTTTCATATAGGGAATAAGCTATTACTTTAGGTTCTCATGATAAAGACATGGACCATGGACCAATTTACTTCATGTTGTTTTGATGAAATTTTGTATAAACGTGTAATCTTACATGTATTTGAACTATTTTGCAAACCAGCATGGAAGAACCATGGGAACCCGATTATGGAGTAAAATAGGTTTTTCCAATTTTAAACCTAAAAATATAGCATTTTATATTTTTTTCCAAACGGTTTAGTTGAACAAGTTCGCCAACCAGAATGATTGGACGATGGGAACGAGGGGGGGGGCTTATGGGGTAAAAATTGTTTTCATTTTAGCGAATTTCCCTATAGGGAAGTAGCTATTACCGTAGGTGGCACGGTAAGACCTAGACCCGGGACCGATTTACTTTTTCATTTTAATGTCCCCAGAGGCCAAAAACACCATTCGTTCAAATTTTTATATATGTATATATATATATATATATACGTCCGTGAACGCGATAACTTGAGTAATTTTTGTCCGATTTTGATGAAATTTGGTTTAAAGGTGTAAAGCGGGATAAACTTGAATGAGTTCGCGAACCAGCATGATTGGACCATGGGAACGGGGCTTTACGGGGGGTTTTATGGGGTAAAAATTGGGTTTTCTCACTTTTGACCCTCAAAACACAAAATTTCCCAATTTCTCTTTAGACCTTTTTAAAGAGCTTAAAAAAACAAATAATTTAGTATATAAAAGTATTTTTGTTTGATTATTAGTAACCAAGAAAATTAAAAAAATTGTAAATTTAAAATTCCCATGTTATTCTTATGGAGAATATTGTCAAATGTTTGTAGTTTGCTTGTTTATGGATATATTTTGATCAAACTTGGCAAATTTATTTTTTACTAAGCTATCAATATTTTACTCAAAAACACACTTTATTAGTTTCCTTGTAGCAGCAAACCTAGGTACTCGTTAAACCTAATGTTATTAAAATATATTTAACTGAAAATCAATTCAGACAAATGGAAATTCGCTTAGTCGGCAGGTTTGCTGCGGCGGGGGTATTTAACCTTATAAATATAAAATTTTTTATTTCTATCCAAATCATTTTGTTGAACGAGTTCACCAATCAGCATGATCGGACGATGAGAACATGGGCCTATGGGGTAAAAATTGTTTTTTTTTTTAATTTTTAACCCTAAAAATATAAAATTTTGTATTTCTTTCCGAACAGTTTTGTTGAGCTTAAAAAAAAAGAAATAACAAGGATTTCTTTCATAGCAGTGAAAGCCAGTTGAGCGGGAGCAATCATGTATCATGGTTGTAACCATAAAGCCATTTTTTATATAAAAAATGTTTATAGATATAATACAAAATACAAATGTTCCCACACTCTGCACTGCTAGGCTTTACTACTTCCTTCACCACTTCCTACGTCATGGACCTGTTTCCCTCACTTACCATAGCATTTTAGGATTGCCAAAACATCAATCAAACTGCCAAAAAGGGTACCCACACTCTGCACCGCTAGGCTTTACTACTTCCTTCACCACTTCCTACGTATTGGACCTGTTTCCCTCCCTTCACATACCATTTTAATATTTTAGATACATTAATCTAACTGCCCCAAAGCGTTCCCACACTCTGCACTGCTTGCCATTACTACTTCCTTCACCACTTCCCACGTCGTGGACCTGTTTCCCTACCTTCCTAGAGCATTTCAAGATTGCAGATACATTAATCTAACTGCCACAGACAGTTCCTACACTCTGCACTGCTTGCCATTACTACTTCCTTCACCACTTCCCACGTCGTGGACCTGTTTCCTTCCCTATCCATAGCATTTTAGTATTGCAGATACATTAATGTAACTGCCACAAACAGTTCCTACACTCAGCACTGCCAGCCTTTACTACTTCCTTCACCACTTCCAACGTTATGGACCTGTTTCCTTTCCTTTCAATCACATTTTAGGATTGCAGATACTCTAATCTAACTGCCACAGACTGTTCCCACGCTCCGTACTGTTTGTTTTTACTACTTCCTTCACCACTTCCTACGTCTTTGACCTGTTTCCCTCCCTTCCCATAGCATTTTAGGATTGCATACTCATTAATATAACTGTCATAGACGGTTCCCACAGTCCGGACTGTACGCGTTTACTACTTCCTTCACAACTTCCTAAGTCGTGGACTTCTTTCCCCCCTTCCTATAGCATTTTAGTATTTTATATACAATTATCTAACTGCCACGAACGTTTCCCACACTCTGCACTTCTTGCCTTTGCTACTTTCTTCACCACTTCCTACGTTGTGGACCTGTGGTATTTATGACGTTTGCTATTTATGAGATGGATCCATGAATGTGATTCACTGACGAATAAAATCAAAATGTTATTTGTTATAAGATTATTTAGCTACGTAAATCAAATCTGTTAAATACTGTATCTATTCGATTAGTGGTCGTTTCCAAATTGCGACTTAAATGTAAACTTAAGATAACGCTTACCCACTCTGTATTATTTGATCAGTGGCCATCAACCGATTTTTTCCTTTGTACTGGGTCTAGGTTGTGGCTTGATTTAACATATGATTTTAATTCTTTGTTTTGCTTACATTTACGTAGTTATTTTGTAACCATCATGGCAACCCATAAGGCTAATGTTAAAATTAAAAAACTTTGAGTTTCTTTACAATTATATAGGCATCATCAAAAACTGAAATTGGTTACGTCTAAACCATCCAAACATTTCACAAAACAACCTTGGTAAGTTTGGCTAAAATATGTTCAACCGTTCGTTATTGAGATTAAGTGTTATAAAGATTGCATTGAAATTGATCCCAAAGAGCTTTGCTTCGCTCCGCTCAACTAAGTATATTGAAGCGTTGTAAGCTAAACATTTACAGAGAAAATTCCAAAAAGTTAAATTTCAAATCTCCTTGTTGTTTTTATGGATAATAATAAACTGTTGCAATTGCTTTTATGAATATATTTTTATCAAATTTGGAATTATTATTATTTATTTCATACTAAGCTATCAACATTTCAATAAAAAACATACCTCAATACCTTCCCTGTAGCAGCAAACCCAAGTTATCATTAAAATTAATATTTCTTTTTAGAAATAAATCTGACAATTTTAGGGGAATAGCTTAGTAGAAATCCAGCCAGGAAAATGGAAATTCGCTTGGTCTGCAGGTATGCTGCGACAGGGGTATTTATTAACTAAAATTGAAACCAAAACAGACAATTTGTGAATGTTTTTGGATTAAATAAGGAGTTATAAAAGAAACAATAAATAGACTCATTGTTTTAATTTGTATTGTTTGTTTTTTTTATTTTTGCCCCCCTTCAAACGGTTGGCAAAGAAAAGTAGAATGATTTTAAAGGTAATTAAATTCTCTACAACTTTGATTGTGATACTTGTTTTCCTAGAATAGGCCATTGCTGAATTACAGTGTCTAAATTTATAAGTTTTTGCAAATTTCAAAAAATTTTATTTTTTACCTTGTTATAAAGTGAATATTTTCTTAACCATAATTCGTGAAACAAAATATTAAACACAATTAGGTAATTTAATTGTCTACGACATTGACTGTATCTTCTTTTTCACTAAAATACACCAAAACTGAGATACAGGCGAAAATCTCAAGAAAGTGCCGATTGTTTTTTGTTTTTTCGAATATGGCGGCGGGTGCGGAGGGGGGAAAATCGTGCACTTCCATTTTAAACATCTACTTACTATCCCAGACAACATATAAAAAATTTAGAACTACCCCACCGTTTGCAAGTTAACCCCCCATTTTTGTCTCTATTTACTGGACTATTTATGCTAATGCTCTTTAAGGTAATTTACTTAGAATCAAAAATGTTAATAAGTTAAGTAAAGTAATGTATTATTAGTAGGCCTATATTTGTTTGTATTTTTATTTTTTATTCTAGACAGCTTTTTATGTCAATTTGACCTAAATTATTTATTTTTAGGAGATGGTTTTCACTCTTGATCCTGGAACACTCAATTTACGAGCTGATTTTAATCGATCCAGAGAAGTATTTACACATATTTATAAAAAAAATCACATAAGTATAAAAAATAAAATGTTACTTGCATACTCATCCATTTAAGACTAATGATGATAAAAACAAAATGTAATTTTTCTTGTCTTTTGAACAAAATTTATGACCTAGCCTACTTTGTTCTTTACAAATAAATTTATTGATTACTTTTTAAAAGTTAAATAATGGTTGCTAAATATTATTTCTGCTTGAACAATTATCACTACGTCTGAAGATAAATCAAATAAGTATAAAGTATGATTGAAAAGTCCTGGAACGGTGTTATATATTTTTTACCTTTATAGATAAAGTAATACAACTTGGTATATCAATAAATCATAAATGTTTACTCTTTAAGCTATTATTAAATTTTTACCCCTTAAGGGGGATGGCCCTTGAGGAGTAAGACAACATTCTCAAATAAAGGTGTGACGGGTACCGTAGTCACCAAAAATTATTTTCTAAATCTTGGGATTATATTTCAAAAGTAAAAGACCTGGTAAATGGATTTCACAATTCATATACCAGTGTCAGAACATTGGCATTTAGTAGACAGAATTCTTGATGACACGTACCTTGCTCAATCGATCGACCCACAAAAACCGTAGACTTAGCATTTGTACTTTAGAGGGACTGAGGTTGGAGTTGACCGAAAGAAAGACACTTGGCCCCAGACTGTTCAAGGGAGCACTTCGCCTGTCAACGGTTTTTTGGTAAGGCGACTACACTCTATACTATTATTTAAACTTTAAAAATTTTGTGATTGTCCAGGTTAGCTTAACGCCATAAAGTCAGTGATTGATTGATGTTAATCGTAATCATTTTTATAATTAATGATTTCATTTATAATTTGTGTGAATAAATATAGTTACTATTAAATTCCTGTTTGAATATAATAACGTGTCAAAAAGAAATATAATTATTAGAGTTTTTTATATAAATTTCATTTGCTTAGGCCTACTTATGTAAAAGGAGCCTGTAATCATTTTATCATCCAATTTTATTATTGTCTTTATTATTATCTTTATCATATTGTCCATCCACTTTATTTGAATAATGATTAAACATTCTTTTAGCTCTCACTAAAGTATTCTTATTATTTAAATCGATCCCGGTTACGCTCCCGGTCACAATTCTAATCGTGGCAAAGGTATCAAATTAAAGTTCTTATTTAGTAAAACACAATGCCGCAAACCCTAACTCAAACGGACAACCAAGTCAAAAATGGCAGCCGTTCATATAATTCTTTAATCTGCATTTTTAATCTTTGAACAATTGCCATGTTTTACCCTGCTGATATTTTGAGCTCAATTTGTTGGCATTGTATTCTACTAATAAAGACCTTTAATGTGATGTGCATATCAACCTATGCTTACATTTATGATTTTCTTTCGACTTCTAAGCTCACAGTATAATCAGCATTGCAAATTCAAGGAATCTTTGAACAGCTGACATTGATTACTCCATTGTCTGCTTGAGTTCGGATTTGTGTCATTGTACTTTACTAACGGAGACCTATAATTTGATACCAAACTCGACCTATGCTGCTATTTAAGAATTTAATCTGACTCCTCGTGGGCCCTCAAGGGATAAAAGAGTAATAATAGCTTAATTAAAAGAGTAGACATTTATAGCTATATTAGATTTACCAAGTTTCATTTCTTTACCTATAATAGTATAAAATATATTACACCATCCGGGACTTTTCAATCACACAGTATACAGAGTGTTGAAAAAAGGTGGGGACATATTTTACCTAGTGATTCCTTTGGTCAAAATAAAGAGAAAATCAAGAATAACATTTTTTCCAAAATCGCTTCGTTAACCAGATATCCGCCCTTTTGTATTTTTACATAAACATTTTTATCTTTTAATATTTTCAACCGATCTTTATGAAACTTGGTGTGTATTTTAAGGTAGAAGAGGCCCGTGTTAGAAAAAAAGATCATCTCGATTAAACCTAAAATTTCAAAATGGCGGCCATTTAAAATTTTTAAACCTAATTTCCTCAAATATGGCTGGTTTTTTTTAAAATGTCAAGGACACTTTTATTTATAATTTTCATTCATTATATTAAAATTAAACGATACCAAGTTCAAAAAGATAAAATGAGATATAGCTTAAATATTATTATTTTAGCGAATTTCCCTATAGGGAAGTAGCTATTACCGTAGGTGGCATAGTAAGACCTAAGCCCGGGAGTGATTTACTTTTTCATTTTGATGTCCCCTGAGACCAAAACCACCATTCGTTCAAATTTTTATATATGTATATATATATAGATTTATATATACATATATATGTGTGTGTGTCCGTGAACGCAATAACTTGAGTAATTTTTTTCCGATTTTGATGAAATTTGGTTTAAAGGTGTAAAGCGGGATAAACTTGAATGAGTTCGTGAACCAGCATGATCGGACCATGGGAACAGGGCTTTACAGGGGGTTTTATGGGGTAAAAATTGGTTTTTCTCACTTTTGACCCCAAAAACACAAAGCTTCCCAATTTCTCTTTAGACCTTTTTAAAGAGCTTAAAAAAACAAATAATTTAGTATATACAAGTATTTTTGTACGGTTATTGGTAACAGAGAAAATTTAAAAAATTGTAAATTTAAAATTCCCATGTTATTCTTATGGAGAATATTGTAAAATGTTGTAGTTTGGTTGTTTATGGATATATTTTGATCAAACTTGGCAAACTTATTTATTTTGTACTAAGCTATTGATATTTTACTAAAAAAACACACTTTATTTGTTTCCTTGTAGCAGCAAACCTAGGTACTCGACCTATCAGTGGCGTAGATACGGGGGGGGGGGGGGATCAGGGGGATATATCCCCCCCCCTTCAACCTATAATGGGTAAAAAAATTGTAATAACATTAAAAAAATAATGTTTTAACGTATGCAATGAAATAGTGAATCTTTTTAATTTTACTTCTATTGTATTAAGCTTGTTTTTCGTAAATATACTTTCAATATCAATAAATCGTAAACAAACTGCAATGCCAGTGAAAGTAGTATGGTTTTTGCGCGCGAAACAGAATACAGACACAAGTCACGGAAGGTCAACAGCCTATCCGCCCCCCTCCCTTCCGCCACCACTTCACCTTTTACACCTACCTGAAATTAATCGTTGTAACGTGAGCAATAAAATAGTTAATCAAATGTCATGCCTATTGTACTAAGCTTGTTTGTTTGTACGTATACTTTCATTATCAATGAATAAATGGAAACAGATAAACTACATTCCGGTAGCCGGTAGCAGTGGTGGGTTGGGTACAGACGTGAGTCACCGGACGTTCCGCGTTCAACCGCCCATCGACACCCTCCTCCTCTAACCCCGTCTCCCACACTACGCTTGATCTGTCGTCTGGTGTTAATTATTGTGCCAGTGTTTTTTTATCACTGAGCTATAATTCTAACTGGAGGTAGCACTGAATGTCAAAGATGCGTGTCGCCAGCCGCCATGTTTGCGTGAGGCGGGTGTCATAAGAAGCCATGTTATTGCTATGACAAAAAAACTCACTGCTATACCAACCTAGTTATAAGAAGCCATGTTATTGCTATGATAAGAAAACCCGATGCTATACCAACCTAACAAAATCAGCGACACGCTTTTGACAGACTTCTGCTATGGCAGTGCTACCTCCAGTTATAATTTTAGCTCAGTGGTTTTTATGATTTTCGTATTCCGTGGTGTCTCATGAGTGTTCTGCGTGTCTGTGAAGTAAACTGATCGGGGTTTTCGCCCCGAAACGAAAATTTGGAGGCGTTAGCTGGTTTGGCAATGGAACAACGAAGTTAATTGATTTTATTACTCGCCTTTGAAATAAATTTTTTTTAATAGGCCAAGTCACGTTATAGTATATTACATTACTAGTCCTGAAAATAAGTGTTTACCGGACGAGTGTGGTCGTTCCCGTGCGAGAAAGGGTCGAGTACGGGATTACCATGCGAGTTCGGCAAACACATTTTGGACGAGTTACGTACAATAGTTTACGCCATACTACTAGATCTTTACAAATCTTTATATATGACCACCAACTAAAGGACTAAAAATCAATAGTCGTAATCTCTAAGAGAGGTTATGTTTTTGTTTATAAACACTCATTGCCACGCAAATACAGTGTATAATCAGCTGATTGGTGACCGGTAAAACTCATTACAGTACAGTAGTACGCAATGAAACCCCATTTGATTAAGCTGGCGGCAAACAGATGTTTTCTGGACTAAATCCTTGCGTGGGAAGTTCATCAAAATAGTGTTGTGTGGGCGTGTGGCGTAAACATATTAATATTAATCAAAATATTCAGTGTTAAAGGAAGTGTTAGAGAAACATAACGTTAAATGTTATCATATAACGAAAAGCCTAGCCTAAGTACTTTAAAAATAAATGTAATAAAAAAACTAGTCCACCTGCAATTAAAGCGAAAAGTTGCAACAAAATTGCATAAAATGTATTAAGTATTAACACCAGATTTCACTTCCTAAACGCTTAAAAATAGTGTTTAGGGAAGTTATTTTTCTAAAATCTTCCCGGACCCCCCTTGCTTGATGAGGGGTATTCCATACCCCCCAGACCCCCCGGTATCCCCCCCCCCATGACAAGGGTCTATCTACGCCACTGCGACCTATAATGTTATTTAAATATATTTAATTGAAAATCAATTCAGACAAATGTAAATTCGCTTAGTTGTCAGGTTTGCTGCGACGGGGGTATTTAGTTGTAATATGGGGCAAACCTGACTAGCTTCTGCCTTATTCTACCCCATTTTACATCTAAAAATCTTAATATATCAGCTATTTATTATTTGATTTTTTTTAACATGGTATTGTTTGATAGATAATTAAACATTCTAAATAAAAGTGTTCTTGACATTTTTTCATAAAACCAGCCATTTTCGAGTAATTTAAGTTTAAAAATTTTAAATGGCCACCATTTTTTAATTTAAGTTTATTTGAGATTAACTTTTTTTCCAAAAAAGGGTCTCTTCTACCTTAACATACATACCAAGTTTCAAAAAGATCGGTTGAAAATATTAAAACATAAAAATGTTTATCCAAAAAATACAAAATGGCGGATTGTAACGAGTAAATATTTGCTATTTGGGCCGCGCGTCTGTTGAGGTAAGCAAGCGGCGGCGGCGAACCTGGCTAGCGCCCTTTGACCCGGCTTATCAGTTCGGATAAGCTTGGGTATCCTGGGACTACCGGATAGCCGAGGAGGACATTCTAGTGGTGGATCCTGTGCAGTGAAGAGTGAGTGGTGTCTTGTGAAGACGACTGGGTGGTGTACGTAGAGAGAAGTGTACGGTACAGTGAGACTGGTGGACAGTTAGTGTCGGTGTCGAGTTGGGTGTTGTGACCCACTACTGGTGAGTGGACGACGTTCTTTTGATCTTGGTTAAGGAGCTGATATTATTAGTTTGATAATATTAATATCTGATTTTATTGCGAGAGTTAGAGTTGTAACCGTGCTGGTCAAAGCCTGACGATAGTTAGGATTTATATTAGTCAGGAATAATATTAAAGTATTCCTGACGGTTCTGGGCAGGTGCTAAAGCGCAAATAATATATTTTATTAAATGTAGTAGATATTATTTTGCGTTGTACCAAGAGTTAGTTACATAACTAATAACTCTGAGGCCCGACAAACCTAGGCTGCACGATTTAGCGTGCGTAGTTGGAAGCACGTGGCCAGTAGGCTAGTAGCTAATATTATTAGCCTATTAACAGAAGCCCAGCTAACTAATATTAAGTAGGTAGTAGCAGTAGCAGTAGTAGGGTTGTTGTTGATTAATCATTTGATTATCTTAATTTAACCTGAACAGCTCGTTTAGTAATCCAACACGTTATCTTGGCAGCTTGGATAGCGGAGTACCGGCTATCAGATAATATATTTATCTAGTGTTTGGATCGTATTTAGTATTTATTTATCTGCTACTAAGTAGCTCAATAATTTGATAGTAGTGCAATTGGCAGTTAGCTTTGCTTGCTTGGCTTGGTATTTATTCAGGCCAGCTGCTAGAGGTGTAGTCACTCTGCCTATAGTATACTGGTATATTATTATATGGTATTATTATTGAGCGAACTGTTTGATTCTTAGCTTGGGCATTAGAGTTGTGTATTGTATAGTGGCCTAGTAGACCCCGCCTGGTGATAACTCGCGTTGTGGTTTTTATTGGCAAGTCGTCGTGTAACTCACCGTGTTTTAGGCACTCTGGGCTTAACTATTGGATAGTTAGGACGAAGCCCGAGTTGCGTAGTCAGCAACGACCCCCTAGGAGTGTGGAGAATCGGCGTAGGTGATTATTGCACGTTTGTTTTGGTGACTTGTTTTTGACTTGTTCACAGTGCCCGTGTATGAGCCAGTCCTATACCGGTTAGACCCGGCTTTTGGCCTAGTGGTTTCCCTGACCTTGTCGCAGACCCTGGAACTTTACCCAGCCATTGTAGGCTGAGCTATCCCCGGCTAACGGTTGCGACTGCATTTTTAAATATTTTTTTCCAGTGCAAGAAAGTAGCGTCGCAGGATATCTGGTTAACAAAGCGATTTTGGGAAAACATTTATTCTTGATTTTCTCTTTATTTTGACCCAAGAAATCACTAGGTAAAATATGTCCCCACCTTTTTTGAAAACCCTGTATATATATATTTTAGTTTGGTTTAGGCAGAAATTTATTTATTATTTTATTACATCCCTTATGTTGTGCAAGTGTATACAACTTCTCAATGTACACAGTCTTTCCCATACAAAGTATTGTGAACTAAGTTATTGCTTGGAGTAAAATCAACAAATCCTCATGGTAAGTATTTATAAAAAAAACACTATTTTTTCAGAAATTTGAGAGCCACAAACAAGACAGAAGTTTAGTGAGAAACAGAATCTACAAAAATACCATGTATATGGTAGAATACAAAGAAAAGGAACATTATTATGTACTCCTTGAAGCAGCATCTCCTATCAAGACATTCTATGAAACATGTAAAGAGAATAAAGAGTTTGAAAGTAAGTAAAAACTTTAATTTATAACTTCATTATTCCAAATAAACTTGCATGTTACATCTTTAAGAAACAGAATGAATTAAACTAGATTTTTAATAGTACATTGCCTGGATTATTGTGATCTTTTGTTTTTGATGTTATAAACCCCAGGGGAAAATGGTGAGATAGGAGCAGTAGTTAGTCAGGGTCGCAGCTATACATTTTTCTAGTCCTTAACTTGCCGCCCTTTCACCACGCAACTGTATATTTTTTCTAAGTGCCAATGGCATTTTTACGTCAGTCTTAATACGAAGTACACAAACTTTTTAAGAAAATGTCCCAAACTTTTGATGACACATTTTATATTACCCATTATTAAAAACGTAATAATTTTAAAAATTGATATATTATTATGAAACTTAAAACCTGTACATACAATTTTTAAGAGAACAAATAAAACAAATTCTTTAATATGTGTTTATTAAATTGTAGTGAACTGAACATATAGCTCTCTATACAGAAAGCCCCTCAATAAGTTTATAAACTTAATAACATTTTATTTTTCTTAATTTTTTAGCAGCAAACATCTTGATTAGGCCTATGTCAGAAAATAAAATTGTTGACGCTCTAGTGTTTAATTTAGATGATACTTGCTAATAACTAAGGCTTTGATTGTCTTATCTAATGATCAGTGGTGGATCCAGCCAGGGGATGGCCATATTTTTCCATATTTTACATATTTTTCCATATGAAAAAGCCATATATGTTTATGCTATTTTTTTACCTTGTAGAGGTTTTAGGACGCTGTCTAAGACACAACCTGTAATGGGTCAAAATTATAGATGGGTTAAGATTTTATATTTATTATTTATTTATCAGTAGACCTATTCCTTACCTGGTTGGTGATAGTGGTTAACCTATCTTGGTCAGGGAAATAGTAGGCTGTTTTAGGCCTATCCTACGGTTGAAGTAGGGATAACCTCACTTTTGGCAAAATCACTAAAGACACTGTTAGTTTTAGAAGTATACAAGTCACGGAATAGCATTGTTATGTACAAAACAGGTGATACACCGTTTTCATTTAACTCCACAGTCCACGCCTATTATAAACCTTTGGGAAGTATGGTCAAAGTTGTTGTTTAGGCTAGGGTGGTGAACTGTGATCACGAATACAATATCACGTACATAACATGCATACACTTTGTCGGACACTAAGTTACACATCACGGGTGGAAATTATAGGTTTTGTTTAAATAAGTGACGATATTAAAGTTCCACCGTATAATTTCACAGTCGGCGCAGGTAAATAACAACATGACCTGTACCACTAGTCGGCTGTCTTGGCGTTGTGTTGTGAATCGTGACAGCACCAAGTTTGCAACTTGTGACTTCATCGATCAGCTGGGAATGAATCTGCTGATTCCCCATCCCTAGAGTATTAGGGAGGGGTTAAGGGGAGGAGATCACTTGTGGGAAAGGGATGTAAGGGACATTCTAATCCTGTGTTTAACAGTGTTAGGACGTGTCTTACTGTTGGTCAGTGATTTGGCCGTTTAAGTGATTTTACGCAGTGCTAAGTGGGTAGTGAAGATCCCTGGAGTATACAGGTAATTCGCCAAATTTCTTAATAGTGTTTATTATTATTGAAGGCATTTATTTAGCAACTAACCCTCACTTTTTTACTTTAATCATAACTCACGGTAGGGCCTTTGACGGGTGTTTGAACCTGTACAAGTCTGCGTTAGCGTATGCTAGGGCTCGTGTGGGTTAATGGTATATCAAATCAAATCAAATCTTTTTATTGTCTTTCAGCTCTACAAAAGCAATTGACATTGTCAAATGGCATCTTATCATTAAAGCATTAAACATAGTCATAGAATAAATAACAGGAAGCTTGATCTTAAATAAATTATTTAAAAACTTATATCTAAAACCTCCAAGGACAAGAACTTATCTACAGAGTAAAAACATTTTAATTTTAACCATGAATCAAGGACTGTTTTGAATTTTTTTATTGGAATCGTTACAGCAGAAGGGGTTTATACGGCTATAGATATAGGGTTGGATTGTGTTTACCATATAGATACGAGGGTGACAAGGTTTGCTAAATAAATTGCCAAGATTCAGTAGGTGTTAAACTGCGGCGGACAGAGTTGAACCCGTCTCGGCAGGTCTTGCAAACACGAGGTCGGGTGAGCACGCCAGCATTAAGTTAGGAATTATAAGTTTTGAGGTTGAGGAAACTACAACATTAATTTGTTTCAAAATTTTATTCGCTGTAAGATTTTTTATTGTTTCTAAATTTAATTTTATTAGATATCCCCAGGTGCGAACGATGATGATGGTACCGTAGCGCTGTTTGTTATTGGTACTGAGTTTACACCTGATTCAAACTATACATTTGTGCTTATACAAATCTGTACCTGTGCTAGATTATAAAATCAATTATGTTATATGAACCCTGGAAACTTCCCAGCACGCTGACTTGAGCTATCCGCTGGCGAGAGTTTTTGACGTCTTTCCCGCTGTAATTACGGAATAGCGTATTTAATCTGGGATCGCCCAAGCCGCCCTCGAGGACCGGGCGGTATGGAATACCCCTCCGGGTAGGTGGGGTGTCCCAGTAGTATTATGAAAAATAATAACTGCAAACTAGCGTTTTCATTCAATCTAATAAGCATAATAATTTGTAAAACATCAGTTGGTATTTAAATTGGGTTTACTGTATTAAACCTATTTGATAAGGGTGTTCAAAAATAAAAACATAAATTTAAATTAAGTTCATTGGACGGAACTTATTCTTACTTGGAAATCTCCTCAAAACAGGATAGCTTTACCAAGTGCACTTAAATAGCAGGAACTGAGCAAAGTACGAGATTTTACAAATGGCGGGTAGATGTCGGTGACGTTTAAGCATTTAATCAGAAGATAATATCCGTTGGGCATTATCTATGGCATAATTGAACAGTACAAACATAAATCCTTTCGTACTTTTACAGGATTTTTGACATTGTGTAAAACTAATTCAGGTTTTGGTGGGTCTAGCAGCTTTAACTCAATTCTCTGTTCAAAACTTACCACCTCACCACCTGCATACTTGGTAGGTATGTTTTTAACTGAATTCATAGTTCATTATTAGCACTAAACAACACTTCAATTCTAAAGGAACAGTGGTATATTAATAAATTAACAAATTGAATACCGGCGCGCGCGCCACGATAACCATAGCAAATCACTACAGTATTCAGGTATCACTTATTTGACTGATCACTGATCAGTGATCAATAATAATTGTGTTGACGGATCGAAGCACTCAGCGCTCACAGTGGCGGCGATAAGAGCTCGCGGGCCCCCTCCAAATAATCTTAAAAAATATTATATATAAAATATTATATCACATGTATTACTGCCTAAACTTGCACTTTAACTTGGTACGGCGTCTCCCGAGGTGTCATCATCGTCTTCCATGATCGCGGCAAAATGACCTATGACATCATCAGATAACAACATTATCGTCTCCCGCGTTCACGGCCCAATCCCTAATATCTCCCGCCCCGTGACCCGTGGTGACGGGGAAATAATTTTTTCCGCAATCGCGGCAAAATCCTAAATATATCTCGCTCGCAGAAAAACGTCAATAACGTCTCCCGCAATCCGGCAAAATATTGAACGTTTCCTGCAGCCACGAAGACATCGTCATCGTCACCCGCGGGGAAATATTCTCGTTGATATCCGCGATCGCGGCAAAAACGTTGGCCTAATCTTTCAATTTCGTGAGCGTGATCCTCGCGGACATAAAAGCTTTAATTTTAATTGGGCATTATTGTACTGAGTATTAAACTACTGTATTGAAATCGGCTTGAGCTTGATTTTCTGACTTTGTGCTTGATCTTTCAAGCTTATATACAGGCTCTGCTCGAGTGCTCGGCTCGAAAATCAACATTATATAAAAATCAACAGTTTCCAAAGCAAACCGATTTTGAACCGCTCTGATTTGGCCCGAAGCCTATAAGTAAGTAAAATTTTTTACCTGACTCGAAGTAAACAAATCTAAAATGTGGCGTAAACAAATCTAAAGTGTAGCCTCCTAATAGTAAGAAATGAAGTGAAATGAAAATCCTTCTTTAGCATCAATGAAAGAATGGAATTATTTATTAGCTAGTGCATCAGGCACCTAGGTTAATTTGCCGATTTGATCGTAAAAAATTGTCAAGTTCATTAAGTTAAATCAGCATTGAGGGCCCTCTCTGGTGTGCCCCACCGGGGTCTAGGAGGATTATATTAATGATTTATCCTCCTAGGCCGGGGACACATTGGTTCGAAATACGGCCCTATTATAAACAGCGCCTTCACGCAGTCCATGAGGACTGTTGATGCAACCTGCATGACTGATGACAATTCTTTTACTTAGGTTGGTAGAGAGTTTATATAGATCGGCCAAATAATAGTGTCAGTTAAGCTGTTGTAAACTACTTGTCCTAGTGCTCTTACTGGGTTTAACAAATTTTCGGCATAAAAAAACGTATGGTCATTTCATATAAATATTGTTATGATAGGGGGCCCGTGTGGCTGAGCCTGTCACACAATTGCGGGCCCGTGTCCCGGTAAAATTTACCGAAAAATCCCAGTCAGGGCTCACGGGCCCCCATAGCTCGCGGCCCCCCCCCCCCCGCACCGCGGGCCCACTATCGCCACCACTGAGCGCTCATTGTGGCAATAGTTAAAACTTCTGTTTGGACGGAGTCCCAAATGCCCTATATCTGTTGCATAGAGCCTGATGCAGCGCTGTGATTGGTAAAATATTTCCATGCAGTTTATATGGGAGTTTGGACTCAATCATACTGAGTCCGGGCGTACTACTGTCCTTCCGCCCCTACCACGCTTGACAACATGAACATAGTGTAAAAAAAAACCTAGCCTGGCTCTGTCCCCGCCCCTTGGTGCTTGCCGCCCTGGAGCGACTGCTCCACTCACTCCACTGTCGCCACGCTACTGGACACAACATTCTTTAACCCTTTCCAAAGGCTTTTCTGCAGAGACTCGGTGGAAAAAACTGTTGTGATCAAATTAAAAAAAAAATGTAATGTGACTGGCTAAAAAAATTATTATTTTGTAAATACAAGCTTATAATCTAGCCATATTTGAATGTTCTATTTACAATAATGTTTAAATTAAGGTTAACAGTGATTTATAAATCTTTTAATAATGTAAAGTATAAATTAATCAGTTTGTATTTTTTAAGTCCAAAATATGGGGCCCGGGCAAAATATGACGGCTCTTGCCGCCCTAACTACATATCCAAGGCAGCGATATCATGGGTTCGTGACCTGGCGCCTAATACTCATATTTACAGTTTAGCTCATTCTTGTACGATAAAGGCTCACCCCTTGCTTTGATATGAGGCATTTGTGGACAGGTTAATTGAAGATTAAAGCAGACAGCTGAAATATCCACTGACTGAAACAGCTCTCTCTGTCTTTCTCAAACATTTGAAAATTAAGATTATTCTTTTAAATAAAAGAGGTTGGCTTTAAGCCTCCTTTTATCCTTGCATTTGCCCGTCCACGCATACTAACTGCCTGTGCGTGGAACATATCCAGCAAAGCAAGGGGTGAGCCTGTACAGTACGAAGGTGAACTGTACTGATGAAATGTTTGCGGCATTGACCAGGATCCGAACTCACAACATTGCTGCCTTGTGTCCGAAGTCTGTGACGCTACCGATCCACTGACTCACCTAAATATATTACTTTAATAAAGTGTTTAGTGTTATTAATTGCTTTGATATTTTTTGTAAGGGGGCAGTCCAAACATTGATCTTCTTACTGCTTAACATTGGCCTTTTGTTAGAAAGCATCATTAGTTGTTAGCCCAATGATCAATAGCATCTGGGTCTGGTAACGATCTTGCTTAGAATTAAACCAACGACTTTTATATTTGTTTGTAAGCACTATGACCACTTTGCTACCTAGACAATTGTTTTTAGTGGTTAAATACCACCTGTAACCTGTAAAAACTACATGGATTAATAACATTTTAATTCTTTTTCAGAAAACAAAAAAGAAGTTATATCTTCATTTTATTTCACCTTGAAAAAGCTCATTAAAGAGAACCCAGAGACTAGGAATGTTATTAAATTGATTTATTATGATGGTAAGTGTATTTTAATTGTCTTTTATCTAAGATTATTATTAAAGATAAATATAGTATTTTCAGTAAAACGCATTCTGATTTTCAAACCTCTCCGTCCAGAAAGTCTTAGTCAATTATTTAATTTTTAACGGTAGTAAAATATAGGTGAATATTTCTTATTATTGATAAACATGATTTCAGTGGGATTTGAATCATAAACTGAGGATATATTTTTTTTCAAAAAAGACATACTAGCCAGATTTATAAGTTTTATTTAGAGAGTCAAACAGTACACATGGATTATCTGTATTCAGTCCTCAAGTCAGAGGTCAAGGGTCAAATTCAATAGCAGTCAGGACGGCTACGCGAGTTACGTGATATTTCACTCAGTGCTGCTCTGTCCAATCCACCAAGGAGTCGGAAAAGGCGTGCATGCGCACTAAAGAACATTTGGCCAACAAAACCACGGGGACCTGTCTCCTCGAGCAGTTTTCGGGCACTCATCATGCTCACTCAAATTCTTCTCTCTCACTCTGGGTAATTACATAATAGTCTAGGACTTGTAAAAATTTATCAGTCGAGAGTTATAGGTGAAATCTTAAATAAATACTGTATACTATCTTGATTATTTAACATTTTAACTTATTTCATTATTCAAATCCAGTTTAAATATTTAAATCAATATTAACAGAAAATTAAAGTTTTTTACTCTAAAGACTGGTTTTCAGGTCCGTGAAAACACGGTACATTAGGGAATCGTTAAACTGTAACAGATAATTCAGTTAACGTCTAAAACAAAACAGCTAAACTTGAATCATACAGGTCCGTGCAAACATGGTTGATTAAATAAGTATTTTAAAAGATCAACTAGTCAATTAAACTAAATCATACAAGTCCGTGAGAACACGGTACCGTAGGGAATTACTAAACATTAACAGCCAATTCATTCAACGTTTAAAGAAACAACTAAACTAATCTCTATAGGTTGGTGCAAGCACGGATGAATAATTAACTTGTTTAGCTAAAGTTAAAACAATCCAGTTAAGCCATAGAATATTAATTATCAGAGGAATATCAACCAATTAAGCGTTTAAAAATAGAGGTTCATAGCACAGACTAATTTTAGATAGTTGAAATTGTCTAAAATCAGAAAAGACCCGTGCTGACTAAATAATTCCTGGAGTATCGATTTTTAGGATAAATAATATTTACTACATGATTCTGGAGAGGTTAGTGTAATTACGGATGATTAATTAAGTATTGTGCTCATAGAATAGAAGCAAACTTAAATCATACAGGTCAGTGCAAACACGGTAACCTTTGAATCAGTAGATAATCATTGTAAATTGTCAATAAAATAATAGTTATTAAACTATCCAATATAGGTTTGTGAAATCACCTGAAGGAAGGTTAATTAAGTCTATTTTAATCACACATATTTGGTGATAGTAGCTTAAACCAAAAATATTCGTGGAAAGAATCCTAAAGGATAGGTGGAGTGTTAAAATAAATATAAATAAACAGTTATTTATAATCCTCTGCAGGTCCGTGAAAACACGGTGCCCTTTAATAATTAATTATTCTTGCTAACTGAGAGCCTTTATCATAAACTCAATCCAGGTCCATGTAAACACGGTACTGTAGGAATAGTTATGGCTTTGATTGATCCTATAAAATTAAAAATCAGTAGTAAATATCTGAATAAAGCTAGACAACTAATTCAGAAAAAATTGTAAACGTTATAATAAGCTATATCCAGGTCCGTGTGAATACAGTACTTTTGGAATAGTGTAGACTTTGTTTGCCCGATAAATAACTACATTAAACCGTGTATTATTTATATTTATTTTAATACTCCAATAATAATTCAATCTAATTACACCCTTGATAGTAAACTAAATCTAGGCCTGTGTGAACACAGCATTACAAGAATAATGTATGATTTGTTTGATTTATAAAAAAAAAGTATAAACCACTATAATAATAGTTTCTAAAATAAAGTATTGATAATTCGCTGTATTTAGGAGGAGATAATTGTTAAAAGTTGAAAGCCTTAGTTTAAAATACGAGCTTACAAGAAAACAATAGTAAACCCAGTGACATTTCAGAGTGAGATATCGTTTAGATAACAAGGTACACGACCCAGGACTTGGCCAACAATGTGATTGATAAAATATACGATTATTATTCCTTAATCCTTGCTGTATACTGTTTGTAGTTACTAATTGGTAAATAGTAACTACAAATCAAGTAAATTGATTTGATTTGATTTGATTAGTTGCTTGTATGAGTAGACTTGGACTAAGCAAACATATTTTTTTTTTTACAAATTTTTTGTAGTTATTTGTTGCTTGCTTGCAGGGACGTAACTAGGGGGGGGGGGGGGGCACGTGGGGCATGAGCCCCAGGCGCCAGTTGTTAGGGGCGCCAACACAGGCACGGATTTTTTCAAACAAAAATTGTTGAAAATATTTTTAATCCGTCTTGTGTTGCAAAAGAAAATCATTATATTTTTATATAAGTCTAAGAAGTACAAAGTTAAATGATGAATGCTATCTGACTGTAATTATACTGTTTATGAATCATGTTAACGGTCCGTATGAACTTGTACAGAGCGAGTATGAGGATGAGCATACTGCGTTGTCTGTCTGTCGTCGATGAGTCACTAGGACGGCACCGGCGCGGCGTCAGAACACTTCCAACCCCCTCCCGGCAACCACCTACCCCTCCGCACACCATCCCTCACACCAGTCACCACACACACACATACTACAAACACAACACTAACACATCGACGCTCGCTGGTCTGACCCATCGATATACAACATGTCTGACCTTGACTAACTGCGTATGTTGTGCACTTAGTGTAGTTGACAACAGTTCATGTGAGTTGACAATCAATGTAAAAAAAAACACTTGTAAAATGGCGTTTGCCGTGCATGTAATTAATAAATAAATAAAAATACTTCATTCTACTCGTAATCAGTTGTTCAGGACACGATTTGCGCGTTACTAGCAATATTATTTTTGTGAATGATTTCGTTTTCAAATAAACTATTTGTCTTTGAAAATACGTACCGTACTGTATTCAATTATTTACCACATATATTATCTAGGCCTTAGTACTTTGAACTTGAGGTTAAGCATTTTAAGACCTAAATACTGTAGTATTAATGTATTGTACCGATGGACAGACCATACATTTTTTAAGAAGATTTGTAAGGAATTGGTTTCAGTCCAATTGATGGGGGGGGGGGGGTGCCAAAATAGGTGTTTGCCCCGGGTACTGAATAGCCTAGTTACGTCCCTGGCTTAATTCAACTGCACCTTCTTTTGCCTACTACATGTAGTTGTGACAAATGACAAATGACAATTCTTTATTGCACATAACATCTGTTAGAGTTATTACAAATGTAATACACAGACAGGTACATTGTCAAGGTTTCTAATAAATAAGTAAATCTAAATAGGTATATAAAAAACCTAGGATTTAGCCAGTAAGTTACCCCTACAAAGCTACAGCATGGTGGAACTGTTTATGTTAGGAGAGGTTGATGAGAGATTGGGTGTCTGTTACCAGGAGTCGTTGAAAAATTCCTCAAGAGTGTAATATGCTTTTTCTACTAAAACTGTTTTGATTTTGCCTGTAAATTTTGCTAAGTTTAATTGCTTTAAGGAGTTTGGAATTTTATTGTAAATTTTTAACCCCATATAGAGAGGACTTGTTTCATATTTTTTTAAATTATGAGTGGGGTATTGAAAAATGTCTTGTCTTCGGGTATTATATGAGTGATTACTAAGATAATTTTGAAACATACCAGGATTTCCATGAACCATTTTTAAAATTTCAAAAACGTATATTGAAGTTAGAGTTAAAATTTTAAAATTTCGAAACAATTGTCTACATGATGTTTTTTTGGGGCAATTTGCAAGAGTTCTGATTATTGACTTTTGTTTTTTAAAAACTTTGTGGACATCTGTGGCTGTCCCCCATAATGTAATACCATAGCTTAAAATAGAGTACACATAAGCATAATAAACATTTTTACATACTTCCAAGGAGGTAACCTGAATTAAAACACTTAAAGCATATCTTGTTGGACTAAGTTTTTTGTTTAGAAAATTAATATGTTCTGTCCATTGTAGTTTACTATCCAAATATATCCCTAAAAACATTACTACATTTGTGGGCGAGGCAGTAGTTTCTGTTCCAGTGGTTGAATTTCTCAATTTGAAAATTAAAACATTAGTTTTATCTTCATTCAAAAGTAAGCCATTTTTTAAAAACCAATTTGCTATTTCTCCAATTGTTTCTTTGACATCATCATGTAAAATTTTAACAGTACTTCGTCTGATGAGAGCTGTTGTATCATCTGCATAAAGGGTAAAGTTACAGATTTGACTTGAAAAATGAAAAGGTAAATCATTAATATATGTGAGGAATAAGAGAGGACCTAGGATTGAACCTTGCGGAACTCCATAGTTATTATTTGCCCAAGAAGAGTATTTGTTCCCAGAGGCGGTTCTAATTACTGTTCTTTGTTTTCTATCGCTTAAGTAAGACTTCAAAAGTTCAATTATTTGTCCATGAAAACCAATTGCTGTAAGTTTTTTGATAAGAATTTTATGATTAACACAATCAAAAGCCTTGGATAAGTCGCAGAACACACCAGCTGTGCACTGTGACTCATCCAAGGCCTTCAAAGCGCAATTTACAAAGTTATTTAAAGCTGATTGGGTATTTAGATTTTTACGGAAACCAAATTGTTCCTTGCAAAACTTGTAGTTATTTTCCAAAAAGCTAGATAATCTAGTGTGAAGAATTTTTTCATAAACCTTTGAAACATTAATGAGATCGGTCTGTAGTTCTGTACTTCATTTAAACAACCTTTTTTGTGAATGGGTACTATTTCTGAGAGTTTTAGTAGTTGGGGAAAAACACCTTCTGCAAAAGATTGATTAATTAGTGTAGCCAAGATGTTTGATATTTCATTTGCTGACCATTTCAATAATTTAATGGGTATACCGTCCCAGCCACAGGCATTACTGTTCTTTAAACTTAGAATAGTTTTTTTTACTTCAATTTCATTTGTTTGACGAAGATTACCTAATTTTGTCACCTGAACTGTAGGATTGTTAGCATACAGATTGATATTAGCACTGTGGCATGTTTGGCAGCTTAAGTATATTGACAATGTTGGAGTACTGATAATTAAACAGTTCCGCCACGACTACAGCATCATCAATAATTTCATTGTTGACCTTAAGTTTAATGTGAGGCTTAACAATTTCACTTTTAACACCTACACCTAATTCTTCCTTTACAACATTCCACATGGCTTTGGACTTATTTTTTGCTTGCATTATATACCTATCATTTGCAGATTTCTTAGCTTTTTTAACAATCTTTTGAAATATCTTTTTGTAATTTTTTACATAGCTTAGAAAATTAGGATCATTACTAAATTTTGCTTCATAATGTAATTTTCTTTTGTTTATTGATGACACTGTTATCCCTAAAGTAACCCACGTTTTTGATTTACTTTTATTTTTTGCTTTAAAAGGTTTAACTGGAAAGATTTCATCCATACTTAATTTAATCTTAGCCAAAAAATTTTTGTAATTGTTATCCACTGAACCATCTAAAGATAAAGACATCAAATTACATCTCAAGCTATTAATAAATGGGGCGATGGATCCTTCAGGAAAACGTCTTCGATAGGATTCTACAGAGTTTGTTGATTTTAATTTAAATTTACTACTAATAGGTAACTGAAGGAATAGAGCATTGTGGTCAGACATAGATAAATCAAGATTCTCAAAAGGAGCTTTACCATAATTTATAGAAGTTAGAAAGTTATCAATGCAGGTTTTTGTTGTTTTTGTTATTCTTGTTGGCTCTTTGATGTTTATCAAGAAACCATGACTACTAATTATATTTTTAAATTCTTCTACTAAATTACTATTCTTTTCTAAAAGGTTAATATTAAAATCAGCTGCTATAACAATTTGTTTCTTTTTTGCCTCAATTTTTAAAACAGTTAGGAAGCTTTGAAATTTTTTAAGAAACAAATTACTAATGCAATTTCCTGGTATTCTATAGACTGATACAATTAACAAATTAAGACCTTCAATCTCTGCAAAAGACCCTTCAAAGATAAACTCCTCATTGAAAGTTTTACTTAGATCTTGTCGTGATATGGTAGAAAGGGAATCATGGACTAGTATACAAGATCCACCTCTAGAGTAATTCCTGAAAAATCCATCCCTCAAACTGAAATTGTGTATTCTATTTAACAACAGTTTATTTGATTCTTTTATATTATGTTCATTAAAGCAAATTATTTTAACATTTTTTGTGCTTTCTAATAAAATATTTATCTCTTCAAATTTTTGCTTAATTCCTTGAATGTTGTAGTGCATTATACAATTACTTAGATTTTTTGACAACATACTTATGTGATTATGTGCTATGTTTTTTGTGTTGTTGTCTCTTTGAACATTAAAAAAGAATTGTTAGATTCAAATTTACTATGAATAGGAGTGCTAATTTGTTTGCTTAAATCTAAGTTTATGCTAGGATGTACATTGTTTGGAATTTTTTCAACAGGACTATTTCTTAAAGTAAGGCACTGAACATTTTTAGGATCACCATTGCTCTGCTTTTCACTTAACTTCACCACCTCACTATACTGTAGCTGGTCTGGAACCACAGGAGGGTCGTTTTGCAGGGTTGAGTGTAGGGTTGCCTGAGTTACAGTTGCTGTTGAATGAGCGCTGATGGGTTGAACTGCCGAAGGGGTGACTATAGATGGTGAAAGTACTATGACAGGTTGTGATGTAGAAGTGGTGTTTGGCCTGTCATCTTCCAGCTGTCCATTGCCATCAGTGTCTGGGATGGTAGGAGTTGCAGATATGAGGGTTTTGTAGTGATTTCCGATAGATGTATATAGACTATTCAAAAAATCACAGTAGTTTAGTCCATTTCTCAGGTGGTTTCTAGATTGTTCCTCAAATACAGTTATTTCAATAGGCGCTCCTGTCGTTTTATGAAACTGAACTATATTTTTTGCAAAAGCATCAACTGGTATTCTGTCTCTTGAGCATCCCATTGGAGAACATATAAGTTTTTTTAGTTGACGCTTCTTAAGGGGAGATGCCCAGTTTTTCGGTCAAAAAATTAATTTTTTGTTTATTGCATTGAAAAATTCGTCATCTTTTCCTGATTCAGAAAATATATAATTTTAATATATTTACTACAGTCTAACAATCATAAAAAATAATGTAAATAGTACTACACACTCGGTTTTAGTCACAATGGGCTGAATTAGCGTCAATTAAATTTATGTTAGAAATTTAATTTTGTTGAATGGTTGCACTGAATAAATGTTGTTGCTAGGTTAAATAGTCAACAAAAATCTTTTTCTGTTTGTTTTTCTTTCTTCATAACATATGTGTATATAATAATAGTGCTGTTTGTGATGAGGAATAATGTGGCATAGGGTAGGCCCTAGGCTTGACTTTAAATGAGTTTTTCCGAAACTGTGTTTTTTTAATGTTTAGGTACCATTTTCCAGACTACTATAAGTACCACTGACTTCAAATTTTTTTCTGTTACTTAGGACATCATGGCCCACAAAGTGTACTAAAAGTTTGCTTCTATGTTTAAAAAAACATTAACAATAAAATTAATTAATATTTGTAAAATAGTGAAAAAAATTATATATTTTGAAAATTTTGATAAAATATGATTATTTTGTTAGAACATATTTAAATTAGTACAGTTTGTCTTAAATGTCAATACAAATAAATAGTTAAAATTTGATATGCATAGCTAAAAGGGTTCATTCTTAAATGGTACCTAAACAACACGATGTTTACCCATATAAAATGCATTAAATCTAAAAAGTGGGCATCTCCCCTTAAAATCTTGAGTCAGCTCCTTAAAAGCTAGGTTATAATCTTCCACTTGAGGTTTGTTGTGAAACTTAGCTTTGGTGACCAAGCCATATACAGTTGGGCCGTCTTTAACTGTCTGACAGGTAAGGTGTCTGTTGAGGAAGTCATTAGGAGTGGGTTTTCCAAAATGTTTTTTAAAAGCCACCGCAACTCCTGCACTCATATTTTTATTGTCAAAAACATCTGCTGAAATGCAATGTGCTAGTGCAGTAGATTTATTTTGTTTGTATTTCCTAATAGATTTACCCATAGAAGATTCTGTGATTTTGATTGTTAGACTGACACATATACTTTTGTACTCTACAATAAATTACTATATTGTACTGTCACCGACTACAAAACACCAGTAATACAAATTGTGACATTGATATTGCATTGACACTTCGAAAAATCAAAGCAAGCTGAAATCTTAACTGTCAATAACAGTAAATAGCTTACAGAGCCGCTAAATATCAATTTAATATTTAAAAATATTATAGTAATTTATTATCTGAAAATCTTGAGATACAATTAAAATCATATAACATTATTCCAGTCTTATTGTAAGACCATATCTACAACATAACTGACACTCTTATCCGTGGATATTCCTATCTTTACTATCATAATTATTTTACTATAGCTAAGACTATCTCCTTGATAAACACCTATCCTAGCTAACTACCAATTAACTATCTAACCATCCTGCTGTTATGTTTGTGTCATACGGACTTATAGCACTCATTTAACAAAATAAAACTTACTAATTCTCTACCTACAACTTCTGATACTGTTCTTTATCTATGTTCGCGTAAGGCAGACATCCACAGTTATTAGTTTTACAAGAGTCAGGACTATCTCTTATCTCTTTCTAACCACATTTATAACTTCTACTCCCACGCTAACCCTTTAATCAGTTAACCAAAAGTTGCATTCTTATCTGTTTCATATCCTCAATGGTGATTGGGAATTCCGAATGTGTCTGAGTTTTTACACCCAAACGCAATTATTTAAACAGAAAATAGCATTGGAAAAAGGAGAATTTAGAATTTAATACTTCCTATTATAAAAACTTTGATTTTTGAGATCTGGAACAAAAACCCAGCTCGAGTTTACATCCAGGCAACCTATTTAAGACGTTACCATTTGCTTCAAGATCACTCTTGAGCAAAAAACGTCACAAATTTAAATTTAGAACCCATTGCATTTAGTGCTCTTTAAAGTGCAAGTTCACCGAGAAAAAAGACTTGGTTTTAAGTGTGGTTAACTTTATTTAATATAGCCTATATGACATTTGTATATAAAAACTCCTACGGTACCATTAAAAACATTAAATATCTGTGTATATAATAACTATCCGGGTTGCTCTTATCCATTTTCTCTCCAGCACATTTTTCTGTTGTTATGCAGAATCTCCCTTAATTGTTTATCATAATCAATTATTTTACAAAAAAAAAACAGATCATCAGTTTGCAAATTAACTATTTTTGTTTATCTTAAATACGAATATGGAAAATAAATAAAAGGAATTGATTGTTTTGTTGGGAGCAAAAATGTTAACAAAAGAATATCTGATCAGCTTAAAGAGAACTATTCAACCACAAAGATATCAGGAATCAATTACTTTCAAGTTTCAATAATGAGCTTGTTTTAATTAGGTATTTTTTTTAAGAAAAAAATATGATACTTCTATTGGCCGACCAGTATTTTCTTGATATTGTTATTAAGTGTAAACTTTGCCTTGCAGATGAACTAGGAGATGTTTCCATTGCAGACATAGTTAAAGAACGAATATTAAAGATAAAAGACAAAGAGAAAGAACAACACAATGGACAAGATGGACTATAATGACAAACAACAAAATTTAAGAAAATGAGGACAAGAAGAGAAAAACAAGGGTAAAGAAAAATAAGGAATTAAAGTAACACAACTTTTTCTTGGATCCAATTTTTATTTTTTTTATAAAATGTGACAAGCACAACCATCAAAATATTTTATACATAAATTTATAACTATGTAAATCTAATTGACATGTTGTTAACTTTCTTCTAAAGCAAGACTTTTTGGAAAATTTTGAATGAGTGAAAAAACTATGCAAAATTTTAAGTGTGGTATTAGATGATAGTTTGAAAACAATCTTGTTAGATCATTTTGATTGAATTGTAAATTTTCACCTCAGTTTAGTGCCATGTTTTAGGGTAGTATGACTTGAAGAATTTCTATATATCTCACATTAAGGTATAATGTTAAAAAATATACAGAAAATGTTGTTAAGTCTTAATGAAGCCTTGCCAATATGCTCAATGTATATTTTATAGTAGCAAAATTTATGTTAATAAGAATCCTTATTTTTCAAAATCCTTAAATTTTACTAATGATACAGTATTGCTGTAACAGGGGTATCTGTTTTACAACTATTGTAGTTGAACTTAGATTTTACTAAACTAGATCCTTTGCAGGTCTTGTTTTCAACATTTAATATGTTGTCTTTCTGTAGAAGTAAAAGCTTTAGTTTTACTTTTATGAAAGCTTTTATGTTAGATTGGTACAACTTGAATATAAAGTTAATTAATTATTAGTTATCCGAGATGTGCTGAAGATGGGTTAATAGAAGGCACATTTAAAATTAAAGTTAAATGCCTTGGATTAAAGTGTTAAGGTTTTGTTAGTAAAACAAGTACTAATAGCATTAAGTACATTTTAAGTTAATTTAAAGTAGAATTAAGTTAATTTTAAGTAAAAGTAAGTTATTTTATTTTTTTAGTTGAAAAATTGTGCAATTTCATACTGTCATTTACTTACTAGTATATTGTGGCGTTATTTCATGTAATATTGTACATTTTAGTATCCAATGGGTGATTGATGAGATCTGGTTTAGCCAAACTTGAGTTTAAATACAGGGTATTTCAAATTGTTTTGCTAATCTTAAAAGTCTTTTTGATGAGATACAATTTAATGGTTTAGCTGCAGCACGGCAGGGATGAACAGCTGACGCTTAATTGGTTTGCTTGACTGTAGGACCAATGGCAGTTGTTGGCTGGTGTAATTCAATATATAAAACAATATAAACAAAAGGTTTTTACCGTTGTGAAATCTGAAATGTCACAGGAAATTGTAAATACTAACTCGTAACATGATATTCCCACGATTCCGAGCTGACATCTTTGGTTATGGTTAGTTGTGTGTGTTCCAATTTGATTTTTTATCTTCGTATTACACATTTAGCTATATTCGTATTACACAACTGACTGCTGATAACTAAACCTGATCTCATCAACTGCCCCTAAGTACTTTCATAATAAAAGAGCTGAACAGTAATTAATATAGCACAAAGCTCTCATCATGTCAAGATGAGTCGATTTCCGTGTTAAGGCAAATAAGAGATCGTCTAGTTACTTGCTGACAATCTATTGGGTTTCCTTTCCTCTAATAAATTTTGTAAGACGGTATGAAAGGTATGACAATTAATTATAAACTTTGTTGACAAACTTGTATAGGTTAACCAGAGTAAAAAAGGATCGAGGAGCAGCAGCTTGAGTTGTTACCTCACTTTAGTCCCCCCCCCTCCAAAAAAAAATTAATAATACTCAAGGTGTTTTCTGGCCAAACTGGAAGATATGATTGATAGGCTATTAATATGATTCAAACATCATGCAACATGCGCTATTGCATTGATTATCCTATAACCACTTAACATAATTATAAGGAAATTGTATACAACTTTGCACACTATAAAAACCCTTATTCAGGACCAGAAGTAATGTTTATGTGGTAATTGCACCTTGAGTCTAGTGTACGCAACAGGATAAAACTTGAAGGATCTATTACCTATCAGATATTGGATTTGTTTGTATTCATTTTCTTTATTTTGACTTATGTTTGTCAAACAAAGGAATTTAGATGGTTAGCAATTAAGTTTTGTTTTTGTACCATTGAGTGCCTGTAAAATGTAATTAATCTTTTGCAGAAAACTTGGATAATGACTGATTTGCATTTACATTTTGCTGTCGTACCTTGTGAGAAATTATTGCAACGTAGTTAGCATTTTTCCTAATAAAATAATGTATGCGATTACTTGGGTTTTTTTACCTCCCACTTTATAATAGTTTTGAATAATATGATCGGTATAGTTTTTGTTATTACCTTAAGACAGCAACAGCAGCTTGTATTTTAAGCTTAACATGAATGCAAAGTGATGGTAGACTAATCAACACTAGTAGACTTTTCATCCCATTATAGAATCTGAAGCTTGTTTCTCCATGTCTAGTTCATGTTGGTGACACTAGGAACTAGTTGGTGTTTATAATTAAATTGCTTTATTCAGCAAAACAAGGTTTTAAATAACTGATATAACAGGATACAAATTGTAAAAAATAAACACGAACCTAGTGGAACTGGAGAGAGTTAACAATACAGGGTGTCCATAAAATATTCATCTGGTTTTAAAATACTTTATTGAACTTACAGATTAATGAGTGCTACTACAAATTGTATGGATTGAAAGAGACAGATCTCAAGTTTTGTTTGATCACGAAGGTTGCTCAATAATCTGCCTGTTTGCAGCAAAACATATTTCCAGTCTATGTTGTAGCTCTGCCCAAACGTTAGTAAGCATATCCTGGCTTACTTTTGTCACTGCAACATGTTAAAAAAAATACCCTCGCTGCAGCAAACCTGCAGACCAAGCGAAGTTCCATTTGTCTGAATTTATTTTCAATTCAATCTATTTAAATAACAATAGGTTTAATGAGTACTTAAGTTTGCTGCTACAAGGAAACTAACAAAGTGGGGTTTTTAGTAAAATATTAATAGCTTAGTATAAAATAAATAAATTTGCCAAGTTTGATCGAAATATATCAATAAGCAAGCAAACTACAACATTTTACAATATTCTCCATAAAAAACATAGGAATTTTAAATTTACAATTTTTTGAATTTTCACTGTACAAAAACACTTTGATATAGTAAATAATTGTTTTTAAGCTCTTTAAAAAGGTCTAGAGAGGAATTGGGAAATTTTGTTTTGAGGGTCAAACATTAGAAAAACCATTATTTACCCCATAAAACCCCGTTCCCATGGTCCAATCATGCTGGTTCGCAAACTCATTCAAGTTTTCCCCGCTTTACACCTTTAAACCAAATTACATCGAAATCAGACAAAACTTACTCAAGTCCACGGACGTATATACAGGGTGTTTCAGTAAAGCGTAGCGGGCTACGCAGATTCAGATTTTACATGCAAAAATAAGTCGAAAATGTAGAATAACATTTTTTCAATTTTGGCTAAGTTTAGCCGTAATCCGCCATTTTGTATTTTTTTGAAAATAATTAATAACTCAAAAACCTCTGGAGGTATTTTTTATGAAACTTGGTATACACTTTAAGTCTGCAGGTGTAAATATTCTCCGAAAATATCATTGGTCAGACTCATCTAACATCAAAATGGCGGCCATTTAAATTTTTTTAAGCACAATGCCATGAAAACCAGCCATTAAAACAAAGTTTTAAATGGCCGCCATTTGATGTTAGATGAGCCTGATCAAAGATATTTTCGGAGAATGTTTATACCTGCAGACTTAAAGTTTATACTTAGTTTCATAAAAATACCTCCAAAGGTTTTTGAGTTATTAATTATTTTCAAAAAAATACAAAATGGCGGATTACGGCTAAACTAAGCCGAAATCAAAAAAAGTTATCGTACATTTTCGACTTATTTTTGCATGTAGAATCTGAATCTGCAGCATAGCCCGCTACGCTTTACTGAAACACCCTGTATATATAAGCAAACATCTATATATACTTATATAAATCTATATATATATATATATATATATATATATACATAAATAAACATTTGAACGAACGGTGTTTTTAGCCTCTGGGGACATCAAAATGAAAAAGTTAATCGGTCCCGGGCCTAGGTCTTACTGTCCCATCTACGGTAATAGCTACTTACCTATAGGGAAATTCGCTAAAAGTGATTTTTTAGACAATGTCCTACAGATAAATCTGAATGTTTTTGATGTTACTTATCTGAATGTTTGTACAGTGAGTATTGTATTAATGATTCGTTCTTGTATCACAACTCCAGTCGCTACAACAACCATTGCTGAAGTAAACTCATCTACAGCACTTGTCAGTTTGAGTGCAATACATCTACAACAGACTCACTGAAAAACACAGTCCCGTTTTTGACTAAAGAATATAAGTGGATTTTGTTAGATTTGCTGAGGCGCTTATAGTTATTTATTTAATACTTGTTAAAAAAAATGCACGTTAACAAGATATAGAATATCTTAGAATCCAAGAATTGCAAAATTTAACCAAAACTATTTCGTCTCCACTTTATTACGCTATGCATGGCTTATAAATAATTGAGAAGATTTCCTCATACTTAAATCAATTTGTAATTTCATGTATTGTGATAAGTTTACTGAATAAAACAAGTATTATCAACAAGATTTAATTTATTTAACACACAAACTACTATTAACATTCTTAATTAAGTTCTATTTAAACCACGTAATCATTCAGTCCCAGTGGTACACTTTTCCTGGAGTCCTAGACTTGACATCCCTTGCTGCTACATCCCTGAAAGAGTTAAAGATTATTGTAGTAAATCAATTATAATTATACTTACTTAATATAAATTAATTGAACCTTTAGGGTACACTAACCCTTACGAGACTATGCCTATGTCTGATAATTTGATTATTGGATGAAATAGGCAACTAGGAACTACAAAACAATTAAGATGTTGTAGAAATATTTTTTTTGCTTATGTTATATAAATGAAAAAGCTTATATGTAATATTTTCTCATAAAATAAACTGTACTCGAGTAACAATGAAAGAATTCAAAGTGATCAAGTAGGCCTACCTGTACCAATTGACGGTATTGAAGGACAAGAGACAAGAAATCTTCTTCTTTTTTTATAGGCTACTACAATATATAATAGGTTACGTACCTTGGTCCGTCTCCAGTCTTATCTTAGTCTATGGATGACTAGTTTCAGGTACAAAGACCCATTATCAAATCCTTTAAAACATCATCTTGAATTTAGTCAAAAATCTGACAGAAGTCTTCATCAATATATAAATGCAGGTCGACACATAAAGTTTAAAATTTGTGTATTTAAATTTTAAACTTTATGTGTTGACCTGCATTTATATATTGATGAAGACTTCCGTCGGATTTTTGACTAAATTCAAGATGATGTTTTAAAGGATTTGATAATGGGTCTTTGTACCTGAAACTAGTCATCCATAGACTAAGATAAGACTGAAGACGGACCAAGGTACGTAACCTATTATATATTCGAATATCAGTATTGGTGGCAAAGATGTTTAAAGCTACTACAATAGTGCACATTTACTCTTCAAAATTTGCCACACACAAAGTTTGATTTCAACCACCCTCATTATTAATACTTTTTTATAAATACTCATATATCATTAAAATCAATTAATTTATAGTATATTACATTACTAGACTGGTAAGTGGTGTTTTACCGTGCGAGCACGACAGTTCCCGCACAGGATCTTCGTGCGAGTAAAATATAGCTTACCGGGCGAGTAACGTATGATACTTTACATAATACTAACAGAAAAATTAGTACATTTTAAACTCATAACACAATTTGTTTAGGACATAACATAAATTATAATATTTTTATATTTCAGAAAATAAAATAGGCCGTAGCAATTAGCTGTTTATTTCCTCAGCTGACTAAGTGCACGGTAAAAGTACATAACGTTACATTTCCGTGTTTATGCACGGCAAAGGGTAAATTTCCAGCCTATCAATACGGATGGAAAAGTACCAGTTTCTGTGTAGTATGATGTAAATTTTTTACTTGTAATTTTTCTGTTTCAGTTTATTATGGACGGACGAGGATGGGAATGAAAGTGTCTAGATTTATAGAAAATGCTAGTCAGGCAAACCAGTTTTAAAATTCAATTAGGATAAACCAGCAGTTTTTACGTGGGTATAAACGGTTAATTCGGCAGTTGATTCAGGATTCAGGATCAACGTCTTAAGAGTTAATCTTGATTTTCATACAATAGAAATCTTGTTCCAAGGGCAAAGAGTAAAAGGCCCTCCCCTGCCATCAATTTTTATGTAAAACACTGGACATAATCAACATACCACAACCATCTAACATCTGAATGTATGTAACACATTTGATGTTCTTTTAGCATTTCTAAAAAATAAAATATCTAATTCTTATTTATGTTGTTTTTTAGCGAATTTCCCTATAGGAAAGTAGCTATTACCGTAGGTGGCACGGTAAAACCTAGGCCCGGGACTGATTTACTTTTTCATTTTGATGTCCCCAGAGGCCAAAAACACCATTCGTTCAAATTTTTATATATGTATAATATATATATAGATTTATATATATATGTGTCCGTGAACGCGGTAACTTAAGTAATTTTTGTCCGATTTTGATGAAATTTGGTTTAAAGGTGTAAGGCGAGATAAACTTGAATGAGTTCGCGAACCAGCATGATCGGACCATTGGAACGGGGTTTCCCGGTGGGTTTTATGGGGTAAAAATTGGGTTTTCTCATTTTTGACCCCCAAAACACAAAATTTCCCAATTTATCTCTAAATGGGCCATATTAAAGTGCTTAAAAAACAAATAATTTAGTATATCAAAGTGTTTTTGTACAGTTATTGGTAACGGAGAAAATTCAAAAAATTGTAAATTAAAAATTCCCATGTTATTCTTATGGAGAATATTGAAAATGTTGTAGTTTGGTTGTTTATGGATATATTTTGATCAAACTAGGAAAATTTATTTATTTTATACTAAGCTATTAAGATTTTACTAAAACACACTTTATTAGTTTCAGTTTCCTTGTGGCAGCAAACCTAGGTACTCGTTAAACCTAAATAGATTCAATTAAAAATCATTCAGAGAAATGGAAATTCACTTAGTCGGCAGGTTTGCTGCGGGGGGGGGTATTTTTTTTCATTGTGTTACTTTTTTCAGAGATTTTGGCGGCCACATTTAACCTTGCATTTGCACGTTCACATAGGCCTCAGGACAGTGCATGTAATGTATCCAGCAAAGCAAGGGAGCATTACAAGAGTGAACTGTACTGATAAAATTTAGTGGCGGACACCAGGATTCGAACCCATGACATTGCTGTCGTAATGACTTGCAAGTCTGTTATGCTACAGGGTTACGATAGGGTTAAATTACAACACTTTAATAATGATGATACATAAACTATAGATGTTTATTTAGACACATTGAACTGTCTAAATCTTACAGTGCTTAATGAATTTTAATTTAGCTTTTTCGCAAGTGGTCATTCGTGTTTACCAGGTGCTATCTACTTACTTTGAGTGAGTGGCTGCAATGAGTTTCTGGTCGCTAGCTAGCAACAGTGGTGGCTTAACCTCATGACGTCCATCGCGAGTGTAGTAGTAGTTGCTAGAGAGTTTGCTATGAGGACCATCTGGCAGAACTGGAGGGGGCTGAGTACGAGCAGCATAGTAGTCAGCAAACCTCAGTGCTTTTGTGTGTGATCTCTGCAAAGTTTTAAAGTTTTTTATATTTATTCTATTTAATCTACATGCATTAGTGTCTCGATTGAGCAAACCTAAACCGGTCGAGGCAAGCAATAATAGTAAGCTATAAAGTAGAAAATAAAAGGCAGGTCCGCATAAGCGGCATTCGCCCAACACCGGCTTCGAACAGCGACTCGCCAAATCACAACTAGTGTGGATCAATGTTCATCTACTCGTTATTTGGTTATCATCAGAGCCTGTTATTTTCCAATCTGTGTGTACGAATATTCAGGAAAAGGCGGAATCTTTGTTCAATCCACGTATAAAGTTTTCAGCTTGTGTTTTGGCAAAAGAGTTTTGAGTTGTTTTCAGTGAATTTCCCATTAATTGAAAAGAAGCTACCATAGATAGGTGGCACGATAATACATCTACCTGGTGCCAATTTACTTACATTTTTTATTTAATGGTGACAGAGGACAAAAAGAGTACCGTAGGTAAATTTTATGCATGATATATTATCAAATTTATCCTATACAGTATATAGGAGATGTCCAAAAAGTCCCGGGTCGGTTAAATATTTTTCTAAATATTAAAAATAGAGCTACAAAACTTTCCACAAAGTTAATGGACATAAAAATCTATTTTATAACATATTCAGTGATCCGCTACTTCCTCAGAGGGACGGCCCGCTAGAAGTCAGAAGAAAATCTTAAATGTAAGCATAGGTTGTGTTGATATGCATGTCAATGAAAATGTCTTTATTAGTAGAATACGATGCCACAAATTTGAACACAATCAGACGACCGAGTCAAAAATGGCAGCCATTCAGAGACTCGTGCAACGGAGAAATTGTATGGTGCCCGGCTTCTGATTTATCAGTTTCTTGGACACCAGTCTGCAGCAACAGCAAGATGGTGGGTCCACTGAATATATGATCAATTGTTTATCAGTTTGATGTGTTATATTACGTAATAAGTAAATAAATATATCAATAATTCATTCTATGAGAGGAAGTTTGTTCTATTTTAATATTATTAAGTAGGCTACCGTAAATAATACGTTGATGTGTAAATTACAATCCGATGTGCACCCTAAACTGGTGACTAACCGTTCAGGGATTCCAAGACTCTAGCCCTGGGACGGTACTGGTGAGTAAATCACCGGATCATTTTCACCAATACATGTTCCCAAAATGCACCCAGTGTTATTCATAAAGTTTCTTTTACTCCATTGCAAAACGTTTCTTACTTTATGATATTACACTTGTAGGATGTGTAAGTTACAGTTTCTTAACTGGGCTACCCTAATATAGATTGAAACTATCAATTTGATTAGTAAACATTTTAACTAATAATTATTGTACAATACCTTGTCAATTAATCCAAATGTTGATGTCAGGTTAACAACCTAAATGTTTCGCCGTAAATGCGGCATCGTTGGGGTTACAAAACATAAGACATCGATGTCAATACGTTTTGTAACCCCGACGATGCCGCATTTACGGCAAAACATAAATAAATAAAAATGTCTTTATTAAGCGTTTCTCTGGTACACCAGCTTTTCAGAACTACTTTTGTCACTATACTGGATATCTTATCCTACTATTTGGCCATTATACACTTAGACAATAATTAAAAATTTTTTAAAAGATATCTTTAAGTTTTTCTTTAAACGTTTTGCTAGATGCAACAACCTTCAGGCCAATGGGTAGACCATTGTACAGTGAGGGTCCAAGGTATGAGATGCTCTTCCTCTCAAGCTCTAGAGAAACTCTTGGGAGGTGAAGCCTCCCACCATGACGTGTCCTGCGCTGGGAAACCTCATCGCGAAGAGAAAGCCCTTTCGCGTAAATAGTCAGGCTTACAAAGAGACAACACTCTGTGGGTCATGCAGCACGTCACCAACCTGCACATGGCTTCAACAGGAAGCAGACTAGCTACTTCTCGAAAGGGAGAGACATTATCAATTGTTTTAAAACAGAAAATGAAACGGATTGTGCAGTTTTGCAGACGTTGCAACCGATACATGTCTTCCCAAGAAATGCTGTTGCCATATGCTGGGAAGCAGTAGTAAAATACTGACAGTATTAGTGACTGTACAAGCTGAAGTTTTGTAGCCTCAGGCAACAAGCCTCTGAACCTAAACCTCTTAGTCTCCCTAAAGCTCGGAACTGGGAAACAAAGGTGACATGATCTGAGAAATTCAGGCGTCTGTCAATCACGATGCCGAGTCTTTGCCTTCTCACACACTACCATTGAGTCAAATGCCTTAGTAGGGTAAGCTTAGTCCAGCATAACCAGTGAACTGTACCTACCTTTATCTTTAGCATCTATCATATCACTGAAGAGATTTGTCAATGCAGTACAGGTGCTATGGTTCTTTCTGAACCCTAGGTGTGTGCGAGTACTCGAACCTTCGAGATTTTTAGTCGAGCTTCTCATTATTCGGCTCGGCTTGAGGCATTTAGAAAAAGCTCGAAGTTCGAGCCGAGCTTTTAATACTAAGGTAAAACTAAAATAACACTTAATTTGTATTGTAATTGAAAAATAAGTTACCACAATTCTACGTTGTTTATGCATTTGAGGTTTGATAAGCACGGACCTCGGCTCAGTCAAGACGCAATGATTATCCATCATCATTTTGAGGAGATACGAAAGCCTAACTACCACTATCGGGTTGTCTTGTCTTTCCAACACAGCTATTCGTATCGTAATTTACAACACAGTGCGAGTGTGTTGTGCTTGATTGGCTAGTCGCTATAACGACACACGGTTGCCGTGACAACCTACAGTGCGCGGCACTGAGAACTGCGCCTTGTGTGGGAGGGGAGAAAGCAGTTGAAAGGAAAATAGGAAGGAGGAAAATAGAATGACGTATTGCATCCAATGACGACTAAACAAAGTCTATGAGTCATGGTCCCTCTCAGACGCCATGCTGTCTACAAATAGAATAAAATAATTTGTTGGTTTTATCCAGCAACTTTATTGCTAGTTCTGTCTGGTGGACTCTAGAGGTCGTGTTTTCTTTAAAATTAGTTTCTTGTTATTTCAAAAATTTAAAATCTTGTTTAAAAAAATACAGTCTAATCAAAAAAATTGTTGACGATCCCAGTGTTACATAATAGTATAGCCTATAATAACTTTATATATAGTAGCCTACCTATGTTATTAAAGGACTCTATGATACATAAGGCTGTGGTGTCGGGTGTACTATTTTTGTAACTCAATGTAAGAAGAACTCATGATCAGGATGTAATAAATGTACTTCAATGCTTAAGCATGGTGTTTTAATATTATCCAAGTTAATCTTGTTTAATTATAAATATTACTTAAGTAATATTGAACATGGTGTAGGTGTGGAGTCGGTGTTATTTTTTTATCTACATAACATCGATGTGAAAGACTTTGTTATAGAAATAGAAGTAAATGAATTGGAAACTAACCTAACATGGATTTCAAGCCGCCGCGTGGGTTAGTAATTGACGATAATGTTGCTAACAATTGGACATTATTTACACAAAAGTTCAAAAACTTTCTGCTCGCCTCAGGGAATGAAAACAAGGAAGACAAGGTGAAAATAGCTATGCTGCTAAATTGCATAGGTGATGAAGGGATAGAAATCTACAACACATTTAAACCCGAAGAAGCTGATACTATGCAGAAGGTAAATGAACAGTTTGATAATTATTTCATGCCCAAGAAGAATGTTGTATATAACAGGTATAAATTTTTTACAAGAATTCAGCAAGAAAATGAATCAATTGAACATTTTGTAACTGCTCTGAAGAGTCTAGCAAAGCCGTGTGAGTTTAAAGAAGACGAGGAGAGTCTAATTCGTGATCGTGTAGTGATTGGTATAGTGGATAAACAGCTTCAAGAAGTACTTCTTCGAGAAAGTGACCTAACCTTGACTAAAGCTTTAAATCAGTGTCGAGCCGCTGAACTAAGTAGACAGCAAGCGCAAATAATGCAAGGTAAGGTAGGCCTAAGTTCATATAATAGCATAGGCTTACATGCCATTAATAATACAAGACCTAAGTCGTACAATAATGGAAGAAGTTTTAGTTCTCAGAATAAAGCTAGTAATACTAGGCCTAATCAAAAACAAAGCTACCAGTCTTCTACAGCACGTGAAGATAAAAAGACAGCTCAAACATACAAGTGTTATAAGTGTGGAACTGAACATACAAAGGCTAACTGTCCAGCGTACGGAAGAACGTGTAAAAAATGTGGACTTAAGAATCATTATGCCATTGGTTGTCAAAGAAGTGCCAATAAAAGTAAGCCAAATCATAATAAAACTGTTCATGAAGCTAAGCTAGGGTTAGAGGACATGGAAGATATTTTTATAAGTGCCCTATTCCAAGAAGACACAAGTTCACAGTCCAGTCCGCAGCATGCAGCCCAAGGAAAAGTCCAGTTCAAAGATGTGTCCAGAGAGGTCGTCGAGAAGATCAACAGCATGGAGAACAATAAAGTGAAAGTGTCATCGTGGATGCAACAAGTTAAAATTAATAATCAAAGTGTTAGTTTTAAACTAGATAGTGGTGCTGAGTGCAATGTGTTACCTGAACATGTAATGGATCAGTTGCAGCTATCCAAGGTCAGTTTAGAGCCTAATTATAGCAAAATCCTAAGCTATGATAATCAGGAGTTAAAATGTTTAGGAAATGTAATTCTTGATTCGGAGGTCAATGGAGTCAAATACAAAATTAAATATGTAGTGGTCAAAACTAAAAGTGTTCCTATACTAGGGTTAAATGCTTGCATAAAGTTAAATTTACTTCAAAGAATAAATAATTTAGAGTTAGATTCAGAGAGTTTAGCACGTAAAATGAAGTTTGTAGACAAGCATAAAGAAGTTTTTACTGGTATAGGTAAATTTCCTAAGAAATTACATCTCGAGCTCAAAGATGGTGCTAAACCTGTTGTAAATTCAGTCCGAAGAATTCCTGAATCAGTCAAGCCTAAGCTTAAAGAGGCCCTTGATAGGCTAACAGAATATAATGTAATTGAACCAGTTGATTATCCAACTGATTGGGTAAATAATATTGTAATAGTAGAAAAACCAGACAAGTCCTTACGAATATGTTTGGATCCAATTCAGCTTAATGAATGTGTAAAGTTAGATCCGTATCCAATTCCATCGTCAGATGAGTTAGAACTATTGTTGCGAGGAAAGTCTTATTTTACAGTACTTGACATGAAAGATGGTTTTCATCAAATAGAATTAGATAATGAAAGTAGCTTGCTAACTACATTCATAACTCCTTTTGGAAAGTTTAAGTACAATAAACTACCATTCGGGTTACGAGTAAGTCCAGAAATTTTTCAAAGATATAATGTTCAAATGTTTGGTGACATTCCTAATGTAGGAATCTATTTTGATGATTTTATAATTGCTACGGAAACAGAAACAGAACATAACACAGTCTTAAATCATGTAATGGAAAGAGCGTTAAAAAACAATGTTAAGTTCAATGATAAAAAGTTACAGTTTAAAGTAAGTAGTGTTAAGTATCTAGGCATGATATTTTCAAAAGAAGGTGTAACTCCAGAACCAGAACGTGTAAAAAGCATTATTGCATTAGAAGAGCCTAAAAGTAAAAAAGAGCTACAAAGTGTTTTAGGGGTAACTAACTATCTATCTAAGTTTGTTCATAACATGAGTCAGTTAACTGAACCTTTAAGACAACTTTTAAAGAAAAATGTTGATTTTGTTTGGACAAAAGATCATACAAAAGCATTTGAGACACTTAAGTCTAAGATTGCTGAAGCGACATCGCTTAAAATATTTGATCCTAAAATAGATTGTGAAATTTTTGTTGATTCATCCAATTATGGGTATGGAGCATGTCTTTTACAGCAAGGCTGTCCGATAGCATTTGCGTCTAAAGCACTAACCGATACAGAGTTAAGGTATCCAATAATAGATAAAGAAATGGCAGCTATGTGTTTTGCGTTGTCTAAGTATCATAAATTCATTTATGGTCAAAAGGTTACTGTGTATACTGACCATAAGCCTCTAGTTTCGATTGTTTCCAAGAACATGCATAAAGTTTCCAATAGGTTACAGAAGTTTAAACTAGAACTACTCAAGTATAACATTGAAGTAAAATACTTACCTGGTAAATCTAATGTACTAGCAGACTTATTGTCAAGGAAAGTTGATAAGAACATGAATGATAGTTATTTAAACAGTGAACTTGAAAAATCTGTAATGGTACATAGTCTAAGTAATCAGTTAAGTATGTCTGAGAGTAAAAAGCTACAGTTTAAAACTGCTACTGAAAATGATGAAGTTTTGAACAAGGTTATCAAATACGTTAATGAAGGGTGGCCTGGTTATAAAGTATTGGATAATGCATTGAAACCCTATCATAAGATTAAGGATGAAATTTCCCATGAAAATGGTTTGCTATTTTTTGGTAACAAGATCATTGTTCCTTCTGTATTGCGACAAAGTATGCTAAACCTAATTCATGAATCACATCTTGGTGTAGTTAAATGCAAAGCTAGAGCAAGACAAATTTTGTTTTGGCCTAACGTAAACAGGGACATTGAAAACCTAGTTTTAAGTTGTCAAATATGTGAAAAATATAGGTTTGCAAATGGCAAAGAACCATTGTTAAATCATGAAAAGGCTACTAGGCCTTGGCAGTTTGTATATAGTGACATACTAGAGTATGGTGGAAAAAATTATTTGGTTGTAAATGATGCTTATTCTAACTGGGTAGAATTAAGAAAGCTATTTGACAAATCAGCTAACAGTGTCATAAGAGTTCTAAAACATATTTTTTCGCAGTTTGGCGTACCAGATCGTTTTGTTTCAGATAATGTTCCTTTTAGTTCTCACATGTTTAAATCGTTTGCAAATGAATATAATTTTGAAAGTGTGACCAGTAGTCCTTTTTATCCAAGAAGTAATGGTAGATCTGAGAAAGCAGTGGCGATATGCAAAAATCTGTTGAGAAGGGCAAAGGACAGTGGTAAAGATATCGAATTGTTGCTATTGGATTAAAGAAACACTCCCCTTAACAATGTTAATGTTAGTCCAGCACAATTATTTTTAAATAGAGTATTGAAGTCAAAAATGCCTATAAATACAAAGGCATTAAATCCAAAAATAGTTCATGTCAACAGAGATAGGTTAGATAAAAAATCTAAGTTGTATAACGATAGGACATCAAAGTCACTATGTCATTTTGATAAAGGTGATAATGTTTTGATTCAAAAAGGTAAAGAGTGGATAAGTGGTAAAGTCATTGAAAAGTTAAACTTTCCCCCCAGAAGTTATGTTGTTCAGGATAGATATGGTCAAGTGTATCGTAGAAATAGAATTATGTTAAGAAAGTGTTATTCTAAGGTTATTCAGTCTGATTATTCTGATCTAATCGCACAAACTAATTTTGGGTTAGAAAATATTGAAAGGCCTAATCAGAATGAGTTTGAGAATAATGTTAACATACCAGTACCAGTACCTAATAGGCCAGTAACAAACCAAACCACTAGATTCGGTCGAACCATCAGAAAGCCTAACCATTTGAAGGAATATGTTTAAGTCTGTCTGTTCATTTGTTTAATCAACATTTGTCTTTATGGATTTAAATCATTTTGATTAAAAAAGGAGGATGTTACATAATAGTATAGCCTATAATAACTTTATATATAGTAGCCTACCTATGTTATTAAAGGACTCTATGATACATAAGGCTGTGGTGTCGGGTGTACTATTTTTGTAACTCAATGTAAGAAGAACTCATGATCAGGATGTAATAAATGTACTTCGATGCTTAAGCATGGTGTTTTAATATTATCCAAGTTAATCTTGTTTAATTATAAATATTACTTAAGTAATATTGAACACCCGGAGAAAATTAAACAACTCAATATGACGAATTGATCAGGCATGTCAGAACTTCTGCATAGCGAATTTAACCACTCGAGTCTTTCCCTCGAGATAACAAAACCCAACATTAATTATTGTTTTTGAAATTTCACAGTTCCAGGGTGCCCACGCAACAGGAATTCCAGGAATTTATGGTGGCTTGAATTTTACGGGAATTCTGTCCGAGATACGGGAACTTTGGTTTTTGACGTTTATTTATATTTTATTTGTATTTTATTTTTTTGAAAAATTGTAAATTTTTTATATAAGTATTGTGGAAATAAAACTGATTTGATTTGATTTGACGCTATTGCATAACACAAAGGAGGAACTATTACATTGGCAACGATATCATTCTATCTGATAAGAATAACTACACTTGAAGGATAAAAGATTGTATACGGTAATTCGTTTATATTATACCAACAAACTATTTCAGGAATTCTATTTTGGGACGATGAAAGATAAGGAAGAAACAAAAAGTGGTCACGTGTTCAAATGTAGTGGGCGACACAATAAGGCTGTAAACGAGTTCAGTTCAGTTCTTATCGTGATTATCTACTATTTTATGTCTTGACAATTCTGAATGTTCTTTAAAATATTAAAATAACATTGTATTTATTTAAAAATAGACTGGACGTTATTATTGTGCAAGTTTTTTTTAGGCTTAATAATTTAGATTAGGTGACCCTAGGAAAAGCTCAGCTCGAAAAAGCTCGAGCTCGAAATTTTTTTAAAAAGCTTGGCTCGGCTCGAGGTTGAAAATCAATACTCGCACACCCCTACTGAACCCTGACTGCAATTTAGGTAATATTTTGGGTACAGTTTCTTAACTGGGCTATAGTAATCCAGGGGCCATCAACATAGAATTCAAAAACTTTTAACTATATTAATTATAAAAAAATAAACTGTTAACCTAAAAAAACCAAACTTGCTGATAATGAAAAAAATCGGATAAAGGTTTTCTAATTGAATCGATAGTTTAATTCGATGTTAGGGTAGCCCAGTTAAGAAACTGTACTTGTTACATTAAATAGGTCACCCAAGCGCAATGTTTTTTTAGGATTTGTCATAGGCGAGAGATTCAAACAAATTTTTTTAGTTTCCCCATGACTAAGCTAGGCTAGGCCTAATTTTACTTCAACTACCGCACATTTCATCAATCATTGAAGCAAGACAAAAAGTAACTTACACCCAAGAGAAAATCCCGGATTGCTTTTACCACTGGGGATACATCTCGTAATGTTTCTGGAGGTATTTTAGGCATATTGTATTATTTTACCCTGGTTCCAGAAAACCAACACAGGTTATGATCTTCAAAAACAATGAATGAAAAAATTGAATGACCTCGGGCTCGGGCTCGGCACTCGGCAGACGGCAACAGCCAACACACAATCAATCCAATCCCGATCAGTTCAGTAGATTGATGGATTGAAGCGAAAAAAATTCACAATCACAACACAGCTGACAACCATTGAGCCGTTACAATATGGTCAGAAAGCAAAGATGATTTATTTGTTTATTTATAAACGGTTGCACCATTTTTTACAAGAAAAATACAATGTCTTATAGAACATTCGATTTTTGTTTGTTTACATTTTATCAGGCTGGGGGAGTCTTAAATGTCCAACAACCTAGCACCGACATCTTATTATTTTGTTGAAACTGAATAATTATTCCCATGTGGTCGAAGCCATGATCGACACTGTCGGCTATATGGGATCATAGATAAAAGGAGTATAGACACTTCTTTTAATCTATGATGGGATGTTGGTCAAATGGAAATGTTTCTGTTTCGGCTAAAGCTAAGCGCAAACGGGCGAGTTTTCGAACGGCCGATTAAAAATCGACTTTTATGTCTAGGTGGTAGGTGCACACTTGAGCAACATTTTTATTAGTTGAGGAATGGATTCTTGACTGTTTTGTTGTGATTTACTGTTCAAAGATAGATTTAATGTAAACTACAATGGGCTTTGTCGAATTTTGTGTTTGTAGTTTACTACTTAGCACGGTACAAAACAGCTGGTTAAAAAACAAATAAATACATTTAAAAAAACGTTAAAATTTAATTTTTAAACAAAGTTTATTAGTATGTAGCCCTGATAAACACAAACTATTTAAATATAATATGCCAAAGAATATATGTTAAAAATCATGAGGAAATCTAGATGCGTTGGAAATAAATAAAAGTCAGTAACAAAACATAGTTGTAATTTTGTAAACCTATTTTATTACTTTAAAAAATTGCAAGGTTAGTGAATAATAAATCAGTAGTACATAAATCAATGCACATCACTATAGTATATCATCATAACTGTATAAAATAATTAGCAATGTCTTAGCTGATTATAAAATCTACTGTTGGAATTTAAGATGACAAGTAGGCCTACTTACTTTCATGAATAAATTGAAGAACAGAAGAACTGTCCGAACCCCGAACTGTCGACTGAGTGTGCATGGACAGGTGCATGTTACAGACCCAGACGGCCGGCCGACTATATCGCCCGCCTGCAAATCTGTGACATTCAACCGATTTTTAGATCGGTGCGATTCTTCGATTCTTGGCATTTATTTGGGCCGTTCGACGGCTGCGGGTGGTTTGGTCTTTCCTGGTTTATGGTCAGGCGGGTTCTTCAATTGATCACTGTAGTGTTGCCGGTTTATTGACTTTTACCTAGACCCAGTGACTATGATTTCACTAAGCTCAGGTGTGAATGGTTCCTCTGTACCTTACTTATTTTTGTTAAAAAAGTAACTTTTACCCATAACAGTAATGACCATGAAAACCTATTGCTATCGTCTGATCATACTGGTTTGTGAACTGGATCAATTAAATCTTGGTTTTTGGTATACTCTGGTTTGAAGTAAATTTCATCAAACTTTTGCTGAAATTATTTATAGGTCTTAGTTAGTCTATTAATTATATTCAATTTTTGACTTATCTTTCACATATAAAACTCTTTAAATGCTTGTTTTTCATAGAGACAATTACTGACACCTTCGAAAATAACGAGTCAATCCTCCTAGACTCTGCGATCTGAACAAGCAGTGACGTAGCAAGGGGGGGGGTCCGGAGCCCCCCTTTTGGTCCTAAATATATATGTATTTTTAATTAAATGTAAAATTATATAATAATTATTATATAAATTATATAATAATAATTATATAAATTATATAATAATAATTATATAAATTATATAATAATAATTATATAAATTATATAATAATAATTATATAATAATAATTATATAAATTATATAATAATACTGTATTGACGTTATGGCTTATTATTTTCAATGCCATGAGAGCTAAAAAAAAAGACCGTTTTAGGGCCTATGTTTTCAAAAATTTTCCCAAACCCCCCTTCTACCTGGGCCCGGTCGGTTGACCCCTCCCATTTTGAAATCCTGGCTGCGTCACTGGAGTAAGGCTTTTGATGTGGTGTCCCATAAGCTATAGGTTATGGGCAAACTAGTAAAGTATGGTGTGGGTGGAATTGTGCCGAAGTCCTTGTCTTGTTATCTGGCAAATCGCAAGCAGTAGTTTAGTTTAGTTTTTCTAGTATGTGCCGTTAAAAAATTAACAGGGAGTCTCCAGACATTTTACTAACCCTGCATATTGACATTCTGACGCCATTAATCAATCCCTTATTGGGTAAAATATGAAGACACGGTAATAAGGTAATAACACAATAAGGTAATGTTTATCGAAAACATTACGTTCGTTTGACACGGTCGATATGTTTTGGTAGATCTTACGGATTGTGCATTGTCAATTGGCCTGGGGAAAAAAGTGAAGACCCTAGACCTAGACCCATCGTCCTAGCAGAGTAGAGTAGAGAGAGATGCAGGCACGGCAGATCCAGAATCCAGATCCAGATCCAGATCCAAATGAGATGGCCGCCACCACCGCCGCCATTGGCATTCGTGCTTCTTCGCTTCTTCTGATGTATAGTTAGTTATAGTGTAGTTTTAAGAAATGATGTGATGAGTGATTTTTTATTTTTAACCTTTTAAACTTAATATTTTAAATATATTTTAATTGACTGTATAATTTTAACTGGTTTGTTTTTGTGTCATATATAAGGAAAAATGTCGGACTTCTTCGATTTCAACGTAAGTAGGATACCCTACTCCTAACCTGTCAGAAGGTCCTTAGTTTTATTACTTTAAAATGTTGAGCCTATCATCGAAAATGCGAGTTTGAAAGGATGTCATCAGTAAAACGCATTTATTCAATTTTATGTTTATATTTAAGTAATAACTAGCCAGAACTTGCTAGGTTGGCCTAGCCTAGCTGGTTAAGCCTACCATGAATTGAACGTATTCCTCTTGGAGGGATGTGCCTACATTTTAAGAGTAGGACTGAGTCCAGAAGCAGCAATTAGCCAAGAAGGAAATAACTTAATAATAACTATTATTATTAAAATAACTTAATAATAATAATAAGTCTTATTTATCCTCATTATTTTTCTACAATTGCTTGCCTGTAAAACTGGGAGGTGCCTATAAGGTAGTAGGCCTAGGTATCTAAACCAACCTTTATGTAAACCAAATATTAGTGGTTTTGTTACTTGTAGGCCTGGCCTTAGCTTTCTTAGTAGGCCTAAGTCTCAAGTCATATAGAGTGTAGGTACCGTCCACTTCCTGGGTGTCCACTAAGGACCATGGTAATAGCGTCCCAGGTTAAGTATTTATTTATTTATCATACATACCAACGACAGAGCCATTTTAAAATAAGCAACAAACTGTTTCCAACTTATAACACAAAATCAATGTGACAATCGATAGAACAATAGAGAAATCAACAATAAATAACAATATAGACGACAGTAGCCTAAATCTTAATCATAGCCTAAATACCCTTTAACCCTTTGCCCTCGAATGGCTGGCCACAGCTGTTTCTGAGTCAGCTTGTCATTGTTCACGCAGCACCGTGACTGTCAGGTCATTCAGTCAGCACTGCTGGCCAATGTGGTTTCTCTGTTAGGTTGGTCACCATTCTGCCAACCCAGCTACACCATCTTGGATCATGTCTAGGCTAATTTTGTTTTTGTCGGTCATAGTAGGCCCCTACTTTTGTGCTAAGGTTTTACACAAATTAAAAATAAGTTCAAATAGCCTAGGCCTAAGTCTAATATTACCGTAAGTTATTAACTTACCTATATTTTATTGAAAGCTAATGAATTAAGGAAAACAATTAAAATTAGTTTACTGTTTAACCCTTTTGCCGCCAGCATTTTTTCATTTGTATAATCGAGAACCGTCGAGGCCATTTTGTACTTAAACGCAATGTAATGTAATTTATAAAATGGCTAGGCCTACAGTAGGCTATAACTTTTTTATTCATTCAAATATTTTTATAAAACCTTTTTTTCTAGAATTGTAATAAAATTGCCTTTATAAAAATACAATATCTATAGCTTGGTTTGAATGGATTTTTTTATGTTAGAGCCTATTAAATGTAAGTGAAAAAAATTAAAATAAATAAATACTTTGAGTACAACCAAGATAACTAAGTTATAAGAATAAAAAATACTTTATCAATAAGTTTATTTCTGTTGTTTTTTATTAAGAGTAAACGCCTATACACATTTGATAGCAAGCATGCAACATTTTAAAATCCTACCTAGTAAAGTAAGCTTCTTTTCATATTCTTTAATATTCTGTGAGTCGAGGTGCTACCTCTGTTTAGTGCTGCAACCTACGGGAGAATTACTAAAACAACGTTCAAAAAAGTGTGTTGTTGGATGGTCACTGATACTGGCCTGATGAGCTGACAGGGAAATTAGTAGTGGCAAGCAGTGCTGGCCGGAGGCACAGCGCCGTGTAAACATGACAAGCTGTAGAATGTAGACGTGTCCAGCAGGGCTGGCCATTCAAGTTGAGAGGAACTTTCCTAAAATTGCTCTGCGACCGCAAAGGGTTAACCAATTGGGGTCAGGCTAAAGATGTAGATAGGCCTAACCAAAATTTATCTGTAGACCTGTAGTTGAGTAAAACTTGCAGGCCTATACTAGATCCATGGATCATATCTGCTATAGGTAGCATACAGTATTAGTTGACAGGGTTGGAATTTATTAAAATAGCTCAGGCTAAGTTAGGGTCTTAAGTTAGATTTTATCTTTTTCTGGCCCAATAGGCTAGGCTAGCCTATTCAGTCTAATTGCTATTGGTCGCTAATGAATGGCATTAATAAGGCCTAGGCCTACACTTAATTTCTCTCCAGCATATTATAGTTTTATTTTATTATCTTAGTCCTAGCTCTTAGTTTTTTCAAACTGCAGTTAACTTAGACACCTGCGCCCTTAAAACTAGGATACCGGTAAACTTAAAGATAGCCTTTATTTAAAAAACCAATCCCATTAACCCTTTCAGTGCTATAAGATGATATATCGGTGTGTGTCGAACGCAAACAACGATAAGTATATCGTTGTTATGTTAGTGTTTCATCCAATAAGTGCTAACGATAGGCTGTATCGTGCCGGCGTGACTTTCGATCGTGTGAGTTTAAATGGAAATATCGGTTGACTTGGTCATTGTTTCAAACAGTAATGGTTTATTTTAAATCGTCATACGATCGAGGCCCGACAAGTTAGGCCTTTATTGTTTCTTTGCACTTTTGAGATAGAAAATTTTATTTTTACCGATATTTTTCCTCTCGCACTAGACTTTGCCCACATCATGGCAAGCCTAGCACTTTTGGGACAAAATAAGTAGATAGATAACTCTACAATTTTTTTAGAAAATTACAAATAATTCTAGCACCGAAAGGGTTAAGTAAGCTATTTTAGTTCAAGGTAAGTACGGTAATAAGTTAGCCTAAGTTACTCAAAGGTCTTATCCAGGCCTTATTTTAGTCAATAGATTGTTAGGCTATTCCTTTAAATATAAAGGTGTAAGTTAATGTAATAAGTGAAAGTCAAGAAATGGACATGGCAAAGATAAGTTATGTAGGCCAAGAATTGAAATGCGAAAAACAAATAAATATCAACTATGACAACAACAAAAAATAATCAGACTGACAGGTCAGACTGAGAGGTGATCGTCCATGTAGGCCCTAGTTCGCTACAGAGTTGTAGGATTGGTCTAGAAAATTAGATCTAAGTTTCACTTTTTTTAAATCTTTTAAATGGTAAATTTCTTATAACTAATGGGAGTTTATTGTACAAAGTGAGTTGATGGTAAACATGACAATGTAGGGTTTTCGCAAGTCTTAAGTAGCTAATGTACCGGTAGCCTAAATAAAACAAATTATTCAAATCTATTGGCTGTTCTATTGGATTTATAATTTTTTTTTAAATTCATTTAAAAAACTTAAAAAGATTTCTATCTGACTTTATGAAGTTTTGTTATTTATTAGGTTAAATCTATAGTCAAACAACTTTTCATAGGCCCTATCCAATATTTAGGTATTCTTAAAATACGGTACTATTTCGTGTTATGAACCAGTACATACAGGGTGTCCATAAAAAACGTTTCAGGACTTTGGGAAATGAGTCCTCATTCTAATAGGAAGAAAAAAGTTGATGTAAAGGTATGTCCGAAAATGCTTATTTACCAAGCTATCCGCTATTTTGTTTTTTATACAAAAATAATTCGCAAATAATTATGTTTTTAAACTTTTTCAGACGTCCATGGACAAAACCTTCGAGGAATTCGATGATACAGATTACGATGCTTTGAATAGCGAAACTTTTGGACCCATGGATACACCAGGTAAAAACAACTCTTCATTTGTAATTTTCTTAATTTTGGATATTCTTGTTTTATCTATCTGAGCTATAATCTTCACTTCACAACGACAAAGAAATTGAGTGAGGTTAGATCAAAAGTATCGTCATGCCTTGATACACCCATTTTATCGTACAAAATCCAAATAATAGATCAATACCACTCCTTTTTACTTCAATAACATCTAGTGATATTAAATGCCTGATTACATCCAGATTCCTATTACTAACAAATTAAAATAGTAAACGATTATACAGGGTGAGTTTAAAATGAGTTCCCCCCCTACTTTTTTCTACATTTCTTATGATATCAACTTCGGACCACGTCAGATCATTGTAGTGTAGTAAGTACTTCGTTATGACTGGGTAAACATTTTTGGCCGCTATCTTGGATCCGCCATATTGGATACAAATTTTTTTTTTCAAATGTGAAGGTAAGGTTGTGACCCATTGTTTCAAACTAGAATTGTACGCTCATTACAATGCCGGAATTAGTTTTTAAAAATCTTGATCCGTTCTAAAGTTATGAGGACTTTTTATAACTTTATTTTTAGCCCATTTTAACATTGTGCATTTACAAACTAAGAACATAATCTCAAAATAGTGCTAGATAAAGATAAGTATACACCACCATTCATTGTCGACCTATTATCACTTGGTTATGACGGATGTTTTTTTTTCGGCCGCCATCTTGGATCTGCCATTTTGAAATGTGATACTGTAAATTAATTTAAATACGAAGGTGGTGTTGTGACCCATCATTTCAGACTACTTTTTTATGCTAAATTTAATGCCGCAATCCGTTTTGCATTTTCATATTTGTTTTTTGAAATATTGGATAATTTTAATATTTCATCAAGAAAGCCTGAGAAACAAAAACGGATTGCGGCATTGAGTTCAGCATAAAAAAAGTAGTTCAAAATGATGGGTCACAACACCACCTTCATATTTAAATTAATTTATCACATTTCGAAATGGCAGATACAAGATGGCGGCCGAAAAAAATACATCCGTCATAACCAAGTGATAATAGGTCGACAATGAATGGTGGTGTATACTTATCTTTATCTAGCACTATTTTGAGATTATGGTCTTAGTTTGTAAATGTACAATGTTAAAATGGGCTAAAAATGAAGTTATAAAAAGTCCTCATAACTTTAGAACGGATCAAGATTTTTAAAAACTAATTCCGGCATTGTAATCAGCGTAAAATTCTAGTTTGAAACCATGGGTCACAACCCTACCTTTACATTTGAAAAAAAAAAATTTGTATCCAATATGGTGGATCCAAGATGGCGGCCAAAAATGTTTACCCAGTCAAAACGAAGTACTTACTACACTACAATGATCTGACGTGGTCCAAAGTTGATATCTTAAGAAACGTAGAAAAAAGTAGGGGGGGAACTCATTTAAAATTCACCCTGTATGTTTATATGTGTATCAAACTTAACACAAAACTTGAGTGTGGATTATGTTTTAAGCTGTACTTTTGCTCAATATTACACCATGGTTACAATTAGGCACTTGTACACAGGCCTACCTATTTATATTGTTCAGGAGCATTGATCTGAATATTCATTTTACACAACTAGCTTTCATGGCATTGGCATTTAACTATTTGGCTCAAAGCATTCAAGCGTTTAGACAAAAACTGTTCTGATAGTTGATAACCTAGTTTTGTATTGTAATTTAATATAGGCCTAGTTTTGGGATGTTCACTTTCAAGTCAATCTTCACGATCAAGTAATTGTATATGCAAATATAGACTGGATTTTCTTCAAAAACTTGTTAGCGAATTTCCCTAAAAGGAAGGATCTATTACGATTTGTGGCACAACAAGTCCTAGACCCGGGGCCGATTTACTTTTTCATTTCGATGTCGCCATACAGTAGGCGTTATTAATATACTTTATAAAATGGCCACCAGCAGAAAGAAATCCTGATGAGGTTTAATATGTTTTAAAAGGTTTAAAATGGAGGATTCATCAGTGCTTCATCAACGACACAAAATCGTAAAAAAATGCATAGAATATTATTTTTTGTTTCTTTGTAGCTAAATTTTAAAAGTAGCTTAAAGTGGTTTAAATACCTGCATTTAAGTAATCCAATTCGTTGCTTATGTTGCAACCGGTTTCAACTCCGTGGAGTCATCTTCAGGCGTCCAAGGATATTCTATCACTTCATTTGAAGGTCGTCATAGTTTAAAAAAACGAATATACACGTAACACGAACATTGAACACCGAACACCGACGTGTAACATTTAAAAAACATACAAAGTTGCTGAGAAGGTTAGCGACGCGTACCGTCCGGATGTAAAGTCTAGACTCCACTTTGTACGGGTATGTTTTTTAAATGTTAAACGTCAGCGTTCAGTGTTCAATGTTCGTGTTACGTGTATATTCGTTTTTTAAAAACTATGACGACCTTCAAATGAAGTGATAACTTATCCTCGGACGCCTGAAGATGACTCCACGGAGTTGAAACCGGTTGCAATATAAGCAACGAATTGGATTACTTAAATGCAGATATTTAAACCACTTTAAGTATTATACAGTAATCCAGTGGCTAAAATCCATCAATAAGAAAAAGTAGCTTCCCCAAAACTGCTGAGAGTCAACTGTTTAGTTAAAAGATATGTGATCAGGCCTTTGCCCATTATCTAAAAGTAAAGATTGTTATGAAATCTGAATTTGTTGATTTTAGATGGGGATTGGGAAGAGACACATGAACAGTTTGCCATGAATATAGAAACCCCCAAGGAGCCTAAAGAGGATAAAGTAAGTATTATAGGCTATCCTAGAAATACATTGTGTGAATGTTTAATTTATTGATTAGTCTATATTAGGCCTACATGTAAACATGTATAAAATGCATTGCAAATAGTATTTATGCTAATGATGTGGGTCGGGTAAATATTTAGGCATACTCAGTGAGTAGGCCTAAAGGTGGGCGTTTTTTAACATAACAGAATGAATAAAAGTGTTGCGGCCGCGGCAACACGTTGCGGAGAACTCCCTGTTATTCTAATAATGTATCTATCTACACCACGTTGTGGGAAAGCCGCGCGGACAACGAAAACAAAAATATGCATTGCCGTTGCCGCAAAGCTACCAGAGCAATGATAACTTCGGAAATGAACTGAATCATTATTAGACTGTTGTTATATACATTTTGAGAAAACGTATTGAGATAGAGAGAAACCCCACTACTGCAATTACCTGCAGGTAGAGGGTGTGGGGGGTGAGGTGAGATTCTGTTGTGTTTGACAGGAAACTCTTTATTGTGGGAAATCCATACCTGTGCTATTTGCTCTTATAATATCCAAATATAGTTTGGTTTCACATTTGGCCTTAAGTATCGGTTCTGATCTCATAGTCCGAGTGTTATCTCTCTCGCTTAATGATTTAAGCTAGTTGAAGTTCAATACAATTTTTTGTAGTTGGTAAAAATATTATTGTTGTTAGTAGTGCTAATAGTTTTTTAGTTGAATAAATGAATGAATGAAGTGTGTTTATTTCTACATAATATATACAGAAAACAAAAACATACTTTCAAATACAAATTATACTTACAAAATATAAACTAAGACTAAGAATAAAAAATAACATTTCTGTATAATTTAATTCAATTGATTATATGAAATACAGCAGACATAGTCAAGTGCTGCCTGTGCGTCTGCTGGGTTGCTATTTAAATAATTATAGTAACCAAGTCATATGGAATTATTGCCTATAAAAAAAGAATAAATGTAATAGGTAGACTGTTGCTTAAAAAATTATTAGTTTGGAGAAGGAGATTTATATGAATTCACTATAAATCGAAAAGGTTTAATTCGTACATGTAGGTACTCATTGTAAATGCATTTAGTTTTTGAATTAGAATCTGTTTGAAGAACAATGTCTTCTAATAAAAAAATTAAAACTAGCTATATGCAGAGAAATTTTACTGTCGCAAACCAAAACTTAAATAATACTGTAAGGTAAGTGATAGCACCTTTCAGTAATTGATCCCAATTGATTGATTGATCTTCCAATTGATTTATGCCAGGGTGAATAAAAAGTCAAGACTCCCTCATCTAATATTTTTTCCAAGTTAGGACACAGTAAAGTCTTCTTGTACACAGACACAGGGTATTTTACCTGTAGAACTTCACATACCCGGCTATCAGTACTGTGGACTTGGAACGAATTTAAGGATGAGATTAACAAGAGGTGATCCAGACATAAATAAATTGGATGCTGCATGTAAAAACCACGATATAGCATACTCAAGATCGAACTATAGTAAAATATACACAAATACCCTTTTGGTGGTCGTGCAAACTTAGCAAAAAGTTTCATTTTATAATTTTGAAAAGTTTTAGTGTCCCCAAAAAATGAGGGATTATGGGCTCAACTGGAGATGACTCTATATAACATATATTGACCTTTAAACATTACCAATTTAATTTTAAACAGTATGATTAAATTGGCATTCTGTTAATTACGTTTTTTTAACCCGCCCTTATGACAGTGTGTATCCACTTTTTCAAGATCCGAATCCGGTACCGACTGATTCTTGGATCCGCCCATCACTAAGAAATACTAAATTGAAACTAGTTTGTAGCTTGTAGCTGTCTAATCATAAATATCTGGTTATTTTACCTCTTTAATATGTGAAACAAAAAAAGCAAGTAATCGGCAGAAAGTTTAACACGTCAAGCTTTATATAAATAGCTTAGGTAGCAAAAACATTTCTCAACAACAGATGAGCCATAGTAATTTATTTGGCTGATACCACATATTTTAGCAACTTTGTTACCATTTAATCATTATTTGCCATAAAACATGTTTAATTAGGTTGGATCAAATAATTTGCTCTTCAATGTTGACATGATTTCTATATTATTATTGCTACAGCTTAATTATTCTTAAATGTAAAATAACTAGGAAAAGTCAATCTTTGTTGTTTTTAAATATAAAACTTAATTGCTTCTATCATGTGTATATAATCATAAATTGCTCTATTATTATTATTTTCAGAGCAATGAAATGGAGCAGATGCTTGCATCGCTTACTATGAATTGTATCTTCGATGAAGATGTAAGTAGGCATGTTTTTACTAGTGTGTGAACTGTGTGCAATGGTAGGAAACTAGTGATGGTAAAAACCAGAAATATTTTAAATTCAAAACCAAAACCAAAACTTAAGAAATCTTATCATGAATCTCAAAAAACCGCATGCAAAACTTTGGTACTTGCCTGGCTAAGGTTTAAAAATACAGGTAATAATTCAATGTTCACTAACAAAACTTACAGAAATTAAAATCATAACCCAAACAGAATAACATAAATACGAGACTTAAAACCAAAGAAACATAATTTTTTATTAACAAACAAACACTAAAATAGATAAACTCCTTATACTCACATCAAAAACATGCGAAATGAAAAAAAAAACATGAATGAGAATAATATTTACTTTAAACCTATAACAACAAAATTTTTACCAACAAAAAAAAACGGAATTAATTTAACTCCTTTTGCAGTTCTAAGCTTTGATTCAAAGATTGAATCTCGAAACAGATACCATTCCAAAGTACTGGTGGGTTTGAAATTTAACATTCGGTTTTGTTTTGCCTCATCACAATAGCAAACTGCAATATGCTTTAAATCCATGACAGCTCCCCATTTGGATGTACAGTAGTTTATATGCTTATATGGTTAAAGTACAGCACTACAGTGAGTTGTAATGTGCCCAACTTGCTAATCTCAACCGTAAAATGGCTAGCTACAGAATATGAAAATATAGTAGAATTACTATCATTTGGATCAATTGGGACTGGGCCCCATTGGTAAAAAAATCTGTATGAATAGGTCTTTCACTTATAAGCACATTTTCAAGAAAGGGAATTGGCACTTGGCGGATGACTCATTCCCCACCGATTGATAGGAAACTACAATAGACTCGCCACATGATGGACACAATAGGCACACATTCGGTAAAAAATAACCGCAAACTGCAGAGAACTTAATTTTCCTGAGCGATTTTATTTATTTAATATAATAAATAGGTTGCATACCTTATAAATCCGACAAACAGCTCATTTTGAAAAGAAGGTTGTCGCAGTTGGATGTTTTGACAATGGCCGATACAAGCCGAAACATGTAAACAACCTTCTTTTCAAAATTAACTGTTTGTCGGATTTATAATGTATGTAACCTATTTATTATATTGAATACAACAGCTCAGGAGCTAGAATGGAAATGAATTTTAATTGATTTATTTCATTCGGCTTGAAGTGATCCCGATCATGGGAGTATTGCTTTACTTTGAAACATGATTTGTACAATATATTTAACGTCAAAGTCAAAGTCAAATTGTTTATTTCAAAAATTTAAACAATACCTACAATGCACAGATATAAGTTATAAAGAAAATTACATAGAGGCTGAATGGATTTAAACTAATACAAACTTGATTTAAAAAGTGAGCTGAAACTGTTCCTCTTGATAGAATTAAATGAAGGACAATAAGAGGCTAGTTTGTATCACCGTCCTACTAGGATTAACAATTTACAGAACTGAAGGAAATATTTAATTTCACATTCATATCTTCTTCACCAAACTACAATGTGAAAATTCTACTGTGTTTACTTTCATGTTTTATATTAGAATAGTAAATTTGTCTCTTTAAAAGTTTTCTGTGGAATGCAATCGATGGTAGTTTATATGCAACAAATCATGTTTTATGAAATTAATGTTTCTATTTTCAGCTCACTGAACTGAGAGGTAGTGTAAACGGGTCCTCTCAGCAACCTCCAGCTCCAAGTGTTAAGGCTGTACCATCAAGCCCATGGGCCAACAATTTAGCTACAAATACTGTAAGCTAATACTGTAACTATTTTATAAGTCATTTTTAGTGTTTGTTACAAAAGGTGTATGCTGCTCAGAATACTGTAATGCTCACAAATACTGTAACTATTTTAAAACGTCATTTTTAGTTTTTTGTTATGAAAGGTGTACGCTGCTGAGAATTTCAGCTGAGTCAAACCTAAATTTAAATTATAATCAGATTTGACAAAATACTATTCTTAATATTGTAGGTTATGAATAACATTTAAATGCTGTTACAGAATATGAATTGATAAATGAATAATTAAAGAAAATAATTAATGACTAGATGGTAAAAATTAAAAGACACTTTTAGTGTAAATAGAGTAAAAGCTCTATAAATTGCTCAAACATAAGCCTTAAGTTTTTTATATATTTCTTTACCTTTACAGTAAACTATTCCCTGCCTAATTAAATCCCCCTTTCAAAAAGATGTTGAAACTTAAACCCACGTTTGTTTGTACGGAAACAATTAACAATGTAACTCAATTAACTTTTCCTACAGTCACCCGACAAAGTTGGCTTCCTTGTACTGTTTATAGTACAGAAAGCTGCTAATTGCTGCATATTTATACTTTGCCGTACGGTTTATACTTTGTCGTACGGTTTATACTTTGCCGCACATCAGGATTCCAACGAAACAACACAAAACAGCGTGGTGCTATTATGCACGTAATCCGTGTACGCTTGGAAATAGGTTGGCAACACTTAAAGATAATAATACTATGAGCAGCTGATTGACTATTATAACTACGATTTAACCTGTCATTTCGTGTTTATAGTTTCGATATTTCTGAACTTACTGGACTTTTCTTTTAAACGTTTTTAAAACATTCCTACGATCTTAATAAACAAGAAAATACCTTTAAAGCATTTTTTTAGGCACGGAAACCACTTCAAATTACAAAAACATACGGAACTATATTCTCAAAACGCGGAGCACATTTCTTGCCGAGGAAAAATAGCGGAGTGATACGGACCGCGGGTACTACTTTCTCTAGGGCACCATTTGTGTTGCCAGCTGAACCTAAAAACGTGTTGTATAGTGTTTGAAAGACTATATTTATATGCTTTATAGTGACTGTAGGAAAAATATAATGTGTAACACGAGTGCAAAAGGCCTTTGCTGCCTCACGATTTGCTTTTGTCGAGATCATTCTAAACGTTGCATTTGTAAACGTTGCTCTCGTGTGCAGAAAATTGCCACTTTGCTCACTAGTTACACAAATAACTATACTATATCCTTGTACTGACGGTTTAAATTGGTTTTGCAGACGGGAGTACAAAACTTCCAAAATAACCAGATGAAAAATACTTCCCGAGACTTTTGGCCACCACAACATCCAGCCCCATCTACACCATCAGCTGGACCTGGCAACAACTGGCCACCTCCCAGGGTATGAACTGTAGTACTAAATCCATCAACTAACTGTAAATAGCTTTGTTTGTGTTTGACTCTTTTTGTCGGTGTAATGGAATAATAGTTAAGCAAAAATCTTGTACTACTCTCCAGCCTTTTGATTTCCAAATACTCCTCCTGAACGGATGAAGCGAGTTTGCACAAAATTAATACAGTAATAGTAAACCAACTATGGTATAAATCTATTCTGAAATAGTTCATATCAGACTTCAGGGCTCAGTCCTATGGAAATTTAAACTTAAGAAAATGAACATGGGTCTTGTGGTTTGAGTAATCGCCAATAAGTAGTTAAATTCTGGCTGGTGGCTGTCGGCTAAATCCGGCAACATCAGGAACATTGCTGCAGTGTACCTATACTGCTCCGTTTGTTTTTGAGCTCCGTTGTATTCAACCTAAGACCGTCAACGTGTATTCAACCGTCAACGAAGAATTAATTGTGAATATAAGACTGTAAATAAACCGTGTATTTCATGTTCAAGTTTCATAGCAGTTAAATTGTGTTAATTTTTAGACCTTTTAGCGAATTTCACTATAGGGAAGTAGCTATTACCGTATGTGGAACAGTAAGACCTAGGCCTGGGACCGATTTGAAATGAAATGAAATGAAAATGAAATGATAAAGTACTTTTATTTACAAAATTTGTACAACAATCAATTTTTAAGCACTAAATACAACAATGGACATAAAGCCCGTCTGTTGCGGCTGGCGTACCTGGTTAGCAATTGTACAACAGTAGCTAAATTGACTAATGTAAACTGTACTCATAAATTAGATCTAAAAAAATAAAACAATTAATTTTGTTTACAATTGTTTACTGTGTAACAAATAATTGATCGTATGACTGAGTTAAAACACAATTGTTTGGCACTGAGTGGGACTTCGTTGCTATTTATAAGATTTCCCCAAAGTGAATTAATAGCTAATTTAGAAACTTTTTCTTTTGCTTTAAAATGTTTTACCCAAGATAATGAGGGAGTTGAAGTAATACCAAGGTAAGTATATTCATTCACCACTTCAATAGGCTCGCCTTTGTACCACCAACGATCAGAAGACCCGAGTTTGCCTTCTTTACGAAACACCATAACTTAGATACCATAACTTTGGATTTACTTAGATTTACATGAAGATTCCAACGTGCACAATAACTAATTGATTGATCATATGCTGGAGGACATTAGCTGATGGAGAAATCTGTAAAGCCTACTCAATTCCAGACCGAGGCACTTGTACCGTTGTAATATTGTTTTAAAATATTTAAAAACTTTGTTGACACACCTAAAGATGAAAGTTTGTACATTAATGATTTTCTATATACAGTGTCAAAAGCGGCGCTAAAATCTACAAAAAAGCAGTATAATCTTTTTTTTTTTTTAATTGCAAATGTGCCATGCATGTTAAACTAAAAATATTATCAATTGTTGAATAATTTTTCCTGAAACTCAGTAAGAATATCTTCGTCATTGGCCCATTTAACTAACCTATTATTTATTAAACATGAAAACATTTTACCGATGCAATCAATAACAGATAGGCCTCTATAATTTGTAACAAAATTTAAATCACCTTTTTGTGTAAAGGAAAAACAATAGATTGCTTAAAAGATTCCAGAATTTCTTCTTTTATATAATATTTATTTGAAGAAAGGACAATGGAGCATTTTTGTAAAATTCATACGGGATTCTGTCCAGACCGGGCGCTTTCCCCGTTTTTACTTTATTTAGCACTTCCAGCAATTAATATATCTCAAAATCCCGATCTAATCTATTGTCTAAAACTGAAGGTTCAGCATAATATATCTCCGCTGCTAAAAGCGGGGGGTTTAACAGAGTTTTAAAATAACTATACCATTCTACTGGAGAAATATTTCCCACCTGCTTATCTGATTTGATTTTAAAACTGTTTATCGCATTCCAACACTTTTTGGGGATCGATCGCTCTTATCAGTGTGTCGACAAGGTTGTTTCGATAAGCCAATTTTTTACTAAAACACAATTGTTTATATCTTTTATTTTCTTTTAAATACTTGACTTTTATTTCTGATTGATTAAATTTTCTGAATAAATTCAATAATCTAACAAATTTCTAGAGGACGGTTTTAAATGGGCTGATTCTGTGATTAATCTGGTGATTTGATTTACATCTTCTTGAATGCAGTCCGCAAATTGAAAATTAGAAAGCCTTTGACTAATCTTGTCACAATATGACTCATTATCTGTACTGGTCCAATTTGACTTTGGAGTATTTTACATCTATATTATTAACGTCTGCCATCCTGGCGGCTCGTAAATATACGTTAATTGTAATTTCTATCGGCAAATGGTCGTAGCCTGGAAAGCTTAAAACTTTAAAATCCTCTATCAAATGCAAGCAATCTAATTATGACCCACTAAATCAATTCCTGAATTCCCGGTTTGCCGAGAATTAAGAGATGATTGATTATCAATGAAATAAATTTGTCCCCCTTTGTTCCTCCCAAAATAAGGATTTCTTACAGCAGAAATAAAAACCATTTTAAAATTTAAAAGATGTTTACAAACAAAATCTTGATCCTGATCTGAAATAAACTTTTCTATTAATATTATGCAAAGCTATTAATAAACTCCAAAAATTGAGGGTCACTGACCTTGTTTCTTAAACCACATACATCATATAACACAACTTTACACTATGATTTTATTCCAGTCCTTGACGATGTCCTCTGTCCTGTGGCAATGACTGTCGGTACCTGGGTGTTGGTCGGTGCCTGTGTGTTGGTCGGTACCTGGGTGACGGTCGGTGCCTGGGTGTTAACATTCGATGCTTCCGGGTGTGCTTGGGTGTTGACGGTCTGTAGCTTGGGGTTGACGGTCAGTGCCTGGGTATTGACGGAGACTAGCATACGTTGACGAGTTCCGGAGCTGGGACCGATTTACATTTTTTTATTTTGATGTCCCCATATACCAAAAACACTATTCATTCAAATTGTTGTATGTAGGCCTATACAAATTTAGATATATATATATATATGTCCGTGAACTTGATAACTCGTGTAATTTTTGTCAGATTTTGATGAAATTTGGCTTAAAGATTTAGGGTGGGATAAACTTGAATGAGTGCGTGAACCAGCAAGATCAGGTCATGGTAATGTGATTCTTTGGTGTTTCAAAGTTTTGTTCAAAAATTGTGGGTTTTTTTCAAATTTTCACCCTTAAAACAGAAATCCCCAATTTTTATCATGACCATCTTCCTACAAATAAAGGTTATGGAGAAAATGAAAAAAAACCTGTACATTAAAAATTCCTATGTTATTCTTACGGAGGAAAAGAAAAATGTTGCTTGGCAAATTTATTTATTTCATCCTGTTACTATTTTGGTCAAAATAACACTTTTAAACCTCCCTGTAGCAGCAAACCTAAGTACTCATTAAATCTAATGTTATTTAAATGGGGAATAAATATGTCTTGTTTATGGAAATGTTGTAGTAAATATCCAATCTGATAAATTAATATGCACTTAGTGTGCAGGTTTGCTGCGGCAGTGGTATTTTATACTATTTGATGTACAGTTTAGTCATCTTTACATTATTTATTTATCAATGTGTTTTTATTGATTAGATGCCAACTGTGGAGGAAATTGAGTCAATGATGATGACGAAAAGTGACCCTCAAAAGCCACTAGCACCATCGGCAGCCTCAGTCCCACCTTCCATTGAGAATGAAAACAGAAACTTGGTAAGCTTGTTCAGTTTTATTGTCGGTTCTTAAGATTTCTCTTTTACTAGAACATCCAACTCTTAAAATAAGGGTATATTTAGCGGGATTTGTATCAACCATGAATAACTTATAAAGCATAAATTATCAGATATAATAAAAACGGGAAAGTGTAAATCAATCACCAGACCACAAATTTTATGCCGTAGTTCATTTATTCTTTTGTTTGATTGCTTGCATCTGTGATTGTTACAATTGTCATGTGATTGTAAAAACACCTACTAAAAATAACGATGGTTTATGGCAACTATATATCAAACTATTATACAACTTATACAGTACTTATGATAAGGGAACATACTCTAAGACCATTGGGAACTATTCAAGTGTACTGTACTAGAAATCGTAATGACATTGCATAACTAGTTTATAATAGAAATTATTTAATGAGAAACCTACTTTTTCTGGTGTAAAGTAGGGATGGGTCGATTCCATCTTCGATTCTCGATTCCACTGATTCTTGGCTTAATATCAGAATCAGGAATCGATCGCCTAAAGTCGATTCCGATTCCTTTGATTCCAGGTGGTAATTTTTCCGCCGACTGTACATTAGCTTATATGGATTATTGTGTAATAAAGTTTATAGTACGTTTGTATTTATTCCCTGATTCATCCTCCTTAACTGTAAGAAAATGCTAATTAAGAAACATTTCACATTCAACACCTCATTCCGGACTGTCATACATGTCGTCAATAAGCAGACAAAAGAAATGTTGAGACACGACAGTTGACAACTTGACACGGGCGTGGCAGCTCAGATGAGTCGAATCCGAGTCTCGAATCCTAAGAAGAGATTCGGATTCGAGATTCGAGAATCGCTGACAGAATACGCCGACTCGCCACCGCCAGCCAGCTCTATCTATAATAAGTCTAAAAACTTAAGGCCATGGCTTGAATAACGTCTTAGTTGAATATGTATTTTAATAGGGATCAAATCAAATCAAAACATATTTATTTTCCTTACCTGTACATGGGTACAAAAATAGTGTAAAGTATAAAGTAAAAGTACTAAACTAGCCTAGATATAAACACATTTTAAGTATGAATATTTATCCAATGAGTTCCTCCATTGTATAAAGCGCCTTTCCTATTAAATGTTTTTTTTAGTTTAGCTTTAAATAATTTATAATTTGATTCCTCTTTTATAGAGGCAGGCAATTTCCTTAGAATTAGTGATCCAGCAAAAGTCGGTTTCTTTTTGGAGAATTCTAGCTTATATGTTCGGTGTTGGATAGGCCGATGACAGAATTTCGCAATTCGATAGGTACCAGTTCTGAAATTTTACTCACGATTCTCGATACCGATTCCATATAAAAACTCATATTTTTAAGGAATTTGCCATGGTCAATCTTTTGTTGCTCGTTTAAATTCTGATCCAGACAACCGGCGTAGTTCATGCTAGCCCAAAATTATCGTGCACTCTCAGTTATTTATCGTATCTAATTGTGATAAGTAAACGGAATCAGGGAACCACTCTTGCTTTTTACGAAACGAAATAGTCATAGACTGAAAACATCCAAATGGAGGCAACTCTGCTAGAAAATCGAGACGCTGTAAAACGTTATGTTGGTACCATTAGAAGAATCAATCAGCTCATTGGCTGTTGGCAATTGCAATACCCTAGTTCCCAAGTACTATTCCCCTAGTAAATATGGCGGCCAACGTCTCTCATCTCAATTCTCGCATTCATTGCTACCTTCGGTTGTTGCTCTAGTTCAGTGCGAGCAACTATTGCCGCCATTGCCGGTATCGGCCTTGATCGCAATAAGTAATTGTCTGTGTTCATGTGTGTGCGTGTGTGTGTGAGTCTGTGTGTTTGTGTGTGTGTGTGTGTGTGTAGACAGACACTGACAGGACAGTAAATCTGAAACTGGGCAGACGCAGGAGGCATGACAATTTAGACAATACGATTCCCAATCGATGCACGACTGCGGATTGAATTGATGTTTAGTATTTATTATGTAAAAATTTTACTAACAGAGTATACTACTGTAACGATCAACGAATTTAAAATTAACAAGTGTACCTACAACCATGAACTAGACACGAGAAACGAGCTTGATAATTTACAATGGGATGAGAAGGCTACTTGTGTTGTTTAGTCTATGGTTCAACCAGCTTACTTGGAAAATAAAACAACCGTGTATATCCCTATTTTGTTTGCTTTAAATAAAATTTTACTTTAAAAAAAGGCAAATAATATATTTTTGTCAGTGTAAAAAGTAGGCCTACCGACACCATTTCTTTGACACACCATTGGTTCGTCTTGAGCTTACTCCAAACTTAGCTATATTTCAAAATCTGCGATATTTTTTCTTTTTCCTTCACTCATCTAAAATAACATACAATTTCTTAACGCACAGCCACATTTTTGGACTTGGACGACTTGGTTTTGGCGTTGGTAATGGTATGGCGCAATTAAGTAGGTGCCTATTACCTAACATAAAATGATGTTGATAAAAACATTATATCCATATTAGGCTATGGAGGTTGGGATTTCTTTCTTTCTTTCTTGATTTATGGCAGGGAAATCTGTTCTACAGTAATTGACAGATCATTATTTTATTTAATTATTTAATTTTTCAGAATACAGAATTTTAACAGAAAATTAACTAAAAATCGTGCTATACCAAGGCCTGGGTCATGAATGATATATTATTAATGGTAGGGGAAAAAGGAAACAGTGATATAAATAAGTAAACACAATCACATAACTTTTTATTTTTGATTACATAAAATATAGTTTTTGTAGGCTTGATTGGACTGTTGAATTTGTAGCCTGTATATTTTTTTAATAACATAATGCAAAATCTCAGTTATCAGAATTAAATTATAGAGTTTTAAAAAGTCATAAATAAATAACATACTTTTTAAATGGTGAGTTGGGAAAATCAGAAAAAAAATTTTGTTATTCAACCAGGCTACTTCAATGGTATTTTACTCTTACTTACTTATTAGAACTTTTTTTACTTATTAGGAATCGATGGAATAAAGAATCGGGAATCGATTTCCAAGTATCGGTATTGGAATCGAAAAAAAGAGGAATCGACCCATCCCTAGTGTTAAGGTTTTTTTCCTAATGACCTTAAAACAATAACTGAATTGAAGAATATTAAAATAAAAATTGAAAGAGATTCAGGATTTTAATAGTTTCTTGGATTTATTCTATTTATTCTATTCTTGTTTTATATAAATTCAATCTTATTTTTTCAGATTACTAGATCTGGCCATCATAATGGCAACTTTGCAGGTGTCAGAGGTGGGGCGATACCTCGACACCCACAGCCGCCCTATCATGCTGTCCATCACCCTTATGGATACACCCAGGGAATGCAGCCACATTTAATGCCAAACCAGCCTAGGGGTTCGCAGGGTCACAGCGTGCACAACATCCATAACCACCCCCTGATGAGACCCACAGGTGGGAGGACTCAAGGTACAAACTGCTGACATCTTCCACTCCAAACAAGCTATTGATTTGGTCTTTATTGCCGGATTTAGGCTTTAAACTTCTTTTTTTTTTCTTCTTTCAATATAAGAATATCTTCTTCCTATAGGTAAATTTGCTGAAAACAGCAAATATGTCATTCCATTTTGGTTATTGAGATCATTTGATGAAGACTTCTGGAGTAAAGAAAGTCTTAACACATTTGCTGTGGCTGCGTGATGTCTGGCCGCTGCCGGGAGCGTAGACAGCAGTACGCTGTGTGGATAAGTGCACGAAAATGTTTGAATTTTTTAGTTTCATCCAATAGGAAAGGCATCTCATGACATGTGCTGTGTGCCAGTTGTTGTGGACGTAGTTTTACAAGAACCCAATAGATAGCAGCACTAGACAAAAAAACTGCTAGCCAGCCCTCAGTATTGACAAAAAAGTAGGGGCAAAGTACCCAGGTACACCATTAAAAATACATCAAAAAAGGGGTCAAGCACAATTTTGAGGTTAGGTTCCTTCCGAAAACTACAGTACTGTACATTTATTATTGTTATTCTATTCCATATCATTAAATACAAGCCTAAACCCTACACTACAGTTGTAACAGAACCTACCACTAGGGGTCTGCGGTACAGAAAATTTAAGGTCGGTACGGTTCGGTACGGTACAATATTTTGTACCTCGGTTCTCGGTACAAAATCGGTACGGTACGCGGCTACCCATATTTTTGCGGTTTTCTTCTCAGAACTGTATTTAAACCATTATTTTTAACTTTAATACATTGACATTACTATGAAAATGGATAGTATTCTACATTCATGGTTTTCTAACAACAATTACTGTACCACACATTAAAACAAAACCTTTTACTACTACGAGGATTGTGTCAAGAAAAATCACAGTTAAGATAAAGGCTTTACCTATTTTACTCTGAGATACTTTGAATACGGTAGCCATGATAAAGTGGTTTTAAAATTAGGATGGGAGTATTTCAAAAGTTCCAAAATCGGAAGATCTAAAGAAAATATTGCCGATCGGAAGTTCCAAAATCGTAAGATCCAAAAGTACAGTCATAACTAGAAGTATAAATTTATTTCTTAAAGTAAACTTATGAAATAGACTGTCCGTTTCATTTTGGATCTTGCGATCATATCTCGGGTCGGAAGATCCAAAACTCTAGTAATCAGATCGGAATTTCCAAAACGCTAGAACTGTTGCGTCTCTCAGATTGAAGGCGTTAAAAACACGTCGTCACCAGCAACGTTAATGGTTATTTGTTTTGTTAATTGATGTTTTGAATTAATATTTTTGTATTCATATTTCCAAGTACACACAGTTAAATACACACGCATTCATATATAGATGTATATATATATTTAAATAAAGTGTTGGTATTGTTTACAATTTATTTACAGTCAATAGTAAAATAACTTTTTTTATTTTTAAAAGATGGTTTAAGTATTAACCTTGACAATAACAATACTAAAATTATCTGGAAAACGTCTTAAAGAGATAATAACTTATTTGTATAGCTTATGAAAATGTTTGTTTACGCCGTAAGAGAATCCATAATAAATCATTTGAAAAATGAAAAGATAATGAATTTGTCGTGGTTTATTTGAGCTGAACTATTAAGTTATAATCGTGTACTAGTAACCAACGCTAAATATTTGAAGTTGTTTCCGGTTGTTGTAACAAACAGGTAGTTTCAAATTAAATTTAATTAAAATTTTTATGTAAAATTATATTTATTTTTCCCACAACTAGCGAATGTCTGCTGTAACCTAATTCAAGTGAAATGTTATTTTTTTCCTCACAAGGAATGTGTTTTATCAGGAAATGTAAAATTTTCAACTGTATATCAAGCATTTGCGTATAATCAAGTTTTGTTGTAGATTCTATTTGTGTAAGTAAAAGGTTTTGTTGTAACAATTTTAAGTCATGTTTGAAAATATTTATTGTTCTGCAAATTATCGCTTAATCGTTGAAGATATCAGAATTGACTTATACGACATAGTTTTTTTGGTCTTCATATGTGTAAATAGCTGTTCTGAATTATACTCAGTTTAAAATTTAAATGACTAGACTCGATTGCCGTGTGTACGACTGACCAACATGTGTACATAACTCCCTTTACTATTCAAATACTGTTTGCGTAACTGTGATGTATATGGGTTGCGCTCTGAATCACAAGGCACTGTAATTACAGAGGGTCTATTGCATTCACTCCAAGATCATTCACTCCAAAAAGTATTTTTACAATTTATTTGCCGGTTCGTTCGCTCCAATGTTCATTCGATCCAAAGGGTACAGTCAGCTCCAGAAGTAGACGGGCCTGTGGAAAATACAAATTTTAAAATGTACTGTACATTGGATCGAATGCACATTGGAGTGAACGAGCAGTATTATTGAAATATGTAATCATAGTAAACTGTTGCATTCACTCCAAGATCGTTCGCTCCAAAAGTGATGGGTGTTGCGTTCCCCAATCTGCAGGCTCGCGGCGCATTTACTGTCTGATAGTGGAACCATACTGACGTATAAAAAAATGAAACGAATCTTGTGTTCTAGAGCTCAGAAGTCAACATTTTGAACATAGATGTAATAAGATCTTAACCCATATTTTTTATTTAATTATTTTCTCTTTGAATTTAGTTCGATTATAAAAAGTCTTGACATTTTTAAAATTCAAAATCACAATGATCATGCTCTTATTTTATACACCATAGCCTTGGACATAGTTGACGTTGAACCTAGTGTAATTGTTTGGAGGAAATTATCAGAGGTGCAGATAAGAAACAGACAGAACGCATCTGTTGGTTAACAGATTAGAGGATTCACGTCCTTATGCCACGAACTGAGTAGAAGCTGTAAATTTTGTTAGAAAGAAATACAGATTGTCCCATCTCTAGTCAAACTAGTAACTATATATGTCTGCATCACGCGGGTATAGGTAAATAACTGTGTCATAATCTGTAGGTAGAGAACTTGTAAAATATCGACCTATCTATATATTTAATACAATCTTCTTATATTTAGATTAGTTCTGAAAATCTAAGATTTATGTTGAAAATTAAAAACATATTTCCCATAAGAAATACTTTGAAAACGGGGGTTTCACATTTTCTTTTTTGGAGGCAACTTTTGGCTGCCTTTTCTTGAGTATTAGTATCAGTTCACCTTCACTTTGGTTGATTTTCTTACCGTTTTTGAAAAGGTATTTTCAAAAAAGCTAAGCAACTTACAAATGGTATTAAAGTGTGAAAATACTGAGCAAGATGTATTTTTTTTACTTTGTACAATGAAATCTAGACTTTTATTGGACCGATTGTTTATTTTTGGGTCGTTGGAAAGCCTGATTCGTGTAGAATTTCAAATTATGATGAAAGTTTGATTTTATTAAATATTTGTGGTGAAAAAAATACATTAAATAGGTTGTTTTCAAGTTTCCATTTGCACCAGTAGCCAACTATATGATGCGTTTATTGAGTATTTTGAAGAATTGCATTTTAGTAATTTGTAGGAAATCTATATCTATTTAATCTTATATTATTTCAGAATATCACCTTCCACTTTGGTCGAATTATTCCCCATTAAAAAATTGTTGCCTACTAAGCGATCTCCAAATTTATAGTTGTTATTAGAGATGTTTGTTGTTAAACTTTGTACAACTAAATATAGACTTATACTGGACCGATTTTGGTAATTATTGGGTCACTGGAAAGCCTAATTCGATTAGGTTTGCAAATATTTATGACAGTTTGATTCGATAAAAAAATAATATTAGTGGTGACAAAATAACGACAATACATAATTGCGGTTTTTTTTAGATTCTATTTCCAAGTTCCTATTTATTTATTCATTGTGAAAAGTTATTTGCAGAGACAAACTCTGAAAATTAATTGTACGATTATGGTTTAAAGGCTCATCCAAAATGTTAGGTTCGTCCATTGATGCAGAAGCAACGTTTAATTGCCATGGAACGTAAGTTTTCACGTAACGAACATTTTACTATACTGTATAAAGATTTTATGCATGAATACCTTTCTCTTGATCATATGTCTCTCATAGATGTATTGTCATTAACTCCGCAACACTATTATTTACCTTATCATGGGGTTTTAAAAGAATCTAGTTGAACAACTAAGCTTGGTTTGTAAAATGACAAATGTATGGATCAGTGCATTATAAAGAAGTTGCTAATCACACGATATTTATAGTTATGTTTCTAAACAATTGAAATGTAATTACAAATTATTTTTTAGTCAAATTTTGCAACTAATTATTTATTTACACAGTGTGATAAAAATTGGTGTTCGTAACACAAAGCCATAGTGTCTTTTTGGTAAATTTACGTAATCGTATTTCTGTACCAAAATGAGCCTCTTTCCCACCAATTGATGAAAACTATTGTACTTGAAATTAAATTATGGATCTATTGTCATGCTTAAAAGGCCTGGCTCACACGGTCGATTTTTCGATCGGCCAATTAAAAAGTCGGCCAAAAATAAATCGCCCTTGATTTATGTTTAGGCGCACACGTGGCGATTTTTTAGTCGAGAAATTGATGTTTTTGAGTGCGTTTAAAGCTATCCTAAAATGGACTTTGTTGAATTAATCTGTGTAAAGAAAAAAAAGAAGACAACTTAAATATTGGGTTCATCCGATAGTAAGTCAGAGACTATTAAATCAACAGTTTTATTAACTATACACTTTACGTGATGACAGTAAAAGTTCTTTAATTACTATAGAATGTCTGTTGAAAGTTTCAGTTTTTATTATAACAGCTGTGGCCTTTTGTAACAAATAAAACAACACAACTCACACTGAAGTTCACTGACTCCTGTGGAGAACAACAAGCGACAGGCCGATTTTTTAGTCGACCGTGTGCGCGGACTGATAACAATCTGTACGTTACAGATTTTCGGGCGACAATCGCCTCGCCTACGAATCTGTGGCAAAACCCAGATTTTAAAATCGGCGCAATTCTCGATCGCCTG